TCCAGATGACGGCGATGCAACGAATAGGAAGTTGATGCTGATGATAAACATGCTGGGATGCTGGGAGGAAAAAATAATTTGGCGCGCTTGCCTTCTGCCGGAGCATAAGCGAGTCTGGGCGGCTTCATCTCCTTTGAATGACGGTACGAATATCTTCGAGCTGTAAACAACAGTAGTGCTGAAACAAGCGTTTTTATCTAAGTTACCATACTACATCTATATAAAACGACCGCTTTGTCGAATGTGTTGTGGATGATCTTGCTGACATCTTGCTGATGAATAGATAGTTTAGCAGCTTGAGCCACAGGAGAAGATGGAGTGTTTATTTAATTATGAGTTGATACTCGGAACCTTTTAGAGGCGGGGAACTTATCGGTTAACTTTCCGCTACAATATTAAGCGCCCGTCGACGGGCCGTAGACATCTAGCTCCTTAAGCCTGGTTCTGGCTATCTATAACGTATTCGTACGGTAATATGCTACCTACCTACATATGCTCCATCTCAAGCAGGGGGAGAACTATAGAGTACCTTCCTGGCGGCTATAGTGTCTCGTGACCAAATGGTCCCCCACAGGTCAGGGGCACACTGTGCGTCCAAGCTTAGGGCCCGAGATAAGTGTAAAGCTCAAGCACCCGCACAGAGCATTGTGTATTATAATCGACAGGAGATGGCACAACAACGGGGACCAACCCGCGCTATGCAATATGATGGCAGTTTTTCGCTCCCAGAAATTCTGCTTGATTTTGAGCAGTCGGAACGACTACACGTTGATTCTCTAGATACCCTTTATCTTTGCTGTAGTCTTATCAGCTATCTCATGCCTTAGCCAAGTCTTGGCGCGCCTAGCCCTTGTAGGCTTCCCTGCTCCGATAAGACTATCTCATGACTGATTGATACTGCACCCCGTTAAAGGACGGAGTCCAAGATTATAATGAGGTCTTACTGGTATTCATATTCAGGCACGATTTCTTAGCTTATAGAAATCATCAGTCATTGATGATGATCACTAATCATCGTCGACAAGATCCAGCAGAATCAAGGACGAGTGCGTCAGATTGACTATCGCACCGCAGAAAGCCTTTTTTCCACGGGTGACCAATAAAGCAATTCTCCTTCAAATCCCCGGGTCTTGGCTAGAGGGATAATTTCTTACCAAGCCTGCCTATCGATTGGTCCTGTTACAGCAGGCAGCTTGATAGGCCCGCGACTGCGATAAGCCCTGCCACTAGATATTAACTGTCAGAATGTATATGTCGACCTCTCCCCACCTTCTGATGCAAACCCTCGGATGTCAGTACAGAGTACAGGGTTATTGAATCAGCTGCCCTGTTTGACTTCAGTCAAGAGTGTTGACATAGAGAAACTGCCTCTCATATCAACTGCACCTACTCAATCCCGGTTTTCGATATCTAGAGACTCATACGGAGAAAGGTAATATTAAGCAAGTCAGATATATCCAGATTTATTGTCACGGTCAGCTAACAAGTCGTTTGCAGATAAGTCTGACAATACCATCATGGAGAAAAAAAGCGAGGTAGTCTTCTCGTCCAGCTCAGTATACGACAACTCGGACTATAATGAGAAAGTGCAAAGCAACGTTGACATCAATCCTGCGTTTGTTGTTGATCGCGAGCGTATCCTTGAGCGCTTGGTCTCGTCGGGCGATGCTGAGGATATCATTGGCGAAGGAGGAGAGAGCTATATATTCGACGCTGTTGCTACAATGACTTTGGAGGAAGCAAAGCAAATCATCACCGACTCCGTGGAATTACATGACAACGACTACAACTTCCCTGAAGAGACTTTGGACAAAATGAAACTCCTCCTTCAGGGTCCCATGGCGTATGGACTTGGCGAAGAAGCTTATGAGATTGATATTCGATTGGAAGCGAGTCTTGTCAAATATCACTCGCCTTATCCAGAGGTGCGATCTTGTACCGCACCGTTTGACGATCCCAGTATTCCGGTCGAGACAATCCGTTCTTATTTTCTCGGTTTCTGTTGGGTCATCGTCGGCGCGTTTGTCAACGAAACGCTAGGTGAACCCAGACAGCCTTCCATCAACATCTCGTCGACTGTTATGCAGATTCTTCTGTATCCTTGCGGAAAGATGGCCGAGCGCCTTCCTAACTGGAAAATTCGTCTTTTTGGTAAGACGTACGAGTTGAACCCGGGACCCTGGTCGGCTAAGGAGCAAATGTTTGCCACTATTATTTTGAATGCTGGTGGTCACTACAGTAACTTGGTCAACTATATCATGGTCGTTAAGCTCGATATCTTCTTTGGAAGCAACTGGGTCAACTTTGGATTCATGCTTCTCATGAATGCTTCCACTCAGCTTTTTGGTCTGGGAATGGCTGGTGTGCTCAGAAGATGGGTAATCTATCCCGTTAACGCCGTCTGGCCCACTATCCTGCCAACTATCATGCTCAATCAAGCTCTCCTTGGAAAGGAAAAGCAGCAGTCTATTAATGGATGGACCATGCCTAAGATCAAGTTTTTCTATATCGTTCTTGTGGCTTCGTTTGTCTATTTCTTCTTCCCGGATTTTATTTTCACTGCTCTTTCGACCTTCAATTGGATGACATGGATATCGCCTCAGAATCTGAAACTTGCAATTATCACTGGCTCTACCCTCGGTCTAGGATTCAATCCGATCTCTACCTTTGATTGGGCAGTGATCAAGAAGAATAATCCACTCGTCCGACCTTTCTTTGCAGTCGCGAATCAGTACATCGGTGTGATTATCTCAGCTTTTGTCATCTTGATCATGTATTGGACCAACTACAAAGATACTGCCTACTTGCCAATCAATACTTCATCGACCTATGACAACACCGGTGTGAAGTATAACACTTCTCGGGTTATTACCAATGGTCGATTCGATATTGAAAAGTATAAGCAGTACTCACCTCCATATATCACTGCTGGCCACTTGATTCTTTACGGAGGTACATATGTGACGTACACAGTTTCGTTTGTGTTTACTTTCCTCACTGAGTGGAGAACTCTTAAAATGTTTGTGAAGCACAGCTTCCGGAAAGACATGTTCAGAATTCCGCGAAGCTGGAAGGAGCTTGTGTCTGCGAACGAAGAGTCTGTGTATGAGGGTTTCAACGATCCTTTTACCCGCGAGATGCGCAAGTATCCCGAAGTTCCAGACTGGTGGTTTATCAGTGTTTTGATTATTTCCTTCGTGTTTGGTATTATCGGTGTTGCGGTCTACCCTACTGATACCCCGGTATGGGCGGTCATTGTGATCATTGCAGTGGGAATTGCTCTCCTGATCCCAACTTCTATCATCTACGCAGTCACTGGATACATGCTGGAAATGAACGAGCTTGCGAGCTTGATTTGCGGATATATTATCCCTGGAAATGGCATGGGTAATGTCATCTCTCGTCTATATGGATATAACACGGATGCTCAGGCTGAGACGTTTATCGGTGACATCAAGATGGCTCATTACATGAAGATCCCCCCCAGAGCGGTCTTCAGAGGACAGGTCTTTGCAGTGATTGTGCAGATTTTTGTCACTATTGCGGCCGTTTATGTCGTGCTTGGACTACCAGAGGTTTGCACTTCTACCCAGGTCAACAAGTTCACTTGCCCGTACTCTCAGGGTATCTACACAGCAGCTGTCTTGTACGGTATCATTGGACCTGACCGAGTTCTCAACGATGTCTATCCGGAGATCAAGTACTGCTTTTTGATCGGTGCCGGTCTCGGTGTTATTGGATGGGCATTGCGGCGTTACTTCCCCAAGCAGATGAAGTATTTCCACCCTTGTATCATTGTCTCGGGCTTCACTATCTGGGGTACTGGATACAACGTCTCTTACTATACTCCCGGATTCATCGTTGCTTGGGTTTTTATGTGGTATATCAAGCGTCGCTACCTTGCGTGGTGGACAAAGTACAACTACATTCTTGCTTCTGCGTTGACCGCTGGTGTCGCCTTTGCGGCAATCGTCATTTTTGCTGGCCTGCAGTACCAGCAAGTGAGTTTGACCTGGTGGGGAAACACGGTCTCAGATGCTGGAATTGACGGAACTGCGAATGGAAGATTGAAGGAGATTCCTGCTGTCGGATACTTTGGTAGAGCGGTGGGTGAGTTTTAGGTTTTATTGTTTCTTCTGCTCTCAAATGTTGTGCGTGTATCGCTATAATACATTCTCTCGTATTATCCCATTTGTTGATCAGCAAGTCATTATCCCGTGATGATCCCAAATCCGAAAAGTGTTAAGCATTCGCCGTGCGCAGCGGATGATAAACCGATTCTAGCCCGCCAAATGCTGGTGGCAGCTAGAAGTAGGCGTAGACAATAGACTATTAAAGTTATACGCACCCCGATTTTCCACCGCTAAATTCAATGTCCCTAGTCTCCACACTCAGGCTGGACGGACGTCTGCAGTCTACACAAAGGGCTTGTGCACAATCCTGGATTTTGACTGAAAGACACATATGGATGTATGATGAATATCAATGCCAAGAGTGTATAGGATTACCTCTTCTTAGCAACACGGCCGCTATCAATGCTCGAGAGCACAATAGATGAAAAGTCCCAACTCCTCTCTGCGCTTAAACTTTGCTAACTTCACCATCCCGATTACAATGCCCTGAATTCAACCCTCGCTTACTCCCCAACTTGCACTCCTTATCTCAAAAGGCGCTTACAAGGCCAAAGCCAAACCCGGGGGCTCGTAGAGGCAGCCCATCCAAAACAGCGCTCTACGCTCAAGCGGCCCAAAATGATCGCAAATCGACTCTAATTCAAAAACTAAAATGATCTGCATATAATAAGAGGTCAATAATACCGCTAGGCAGTCTAAAAATCTGCAGAAACGGGCTGGCAAGGGGGAAAGGGGGTTGCGTCAACTTGGGCAAGTGGGAACAAGGGTCAAGCTGGGTATTACCCTCCTTTGGGACCTCGCAAAATACCATACAAAGCCACTTGCATGACTAATTGTAGCCTTGCTACTCGCTTTGCTTTTATAGAAACCCGCCTTCCCATGAAACCTCCGCAGCCTACACCTGTGCCGTCTACTCAATCCTCTCCTGAACTGTTCAACGCTTGTGTGCTCCAACTACTCATTCATTCATATCTGCTGAACGCCTACGCTCTCGTAATACCACTCATTTTCTTCATCGTTCCTGCTCGCTTGATGTGCCCTTAGCGCTCGTCACTGCATTTGGCTACATTTCTTTCAACGCACTTCACACTTTGTCCAATGACCAGACGCTCACACTACTTTTCCTTGTCTCAACCCTTACGCTTCCTTCCCTTTTCACTACAACGTTCCTTGCAGATTCCCATACCAGTCCACTCAAACGCTCGTCTTTTTCAGTAGTCTGTGTCCTCGTGTGACGCGCTTTCTGACAACCTCTCCAGCTCAAGCGCGCGCACTCTCTTAAACCCAAGAGTATTCCGAACTCGTCAAACGCGTAGAACTGCCTGCACGCTCTTCAGCCAAGCCGACTCAACACTTAACCGCGCTGCTTTGTTTTCTTGGTACTGTGTTTCTGTACCCTTTGTCTTTTGCTTTGGCTGTCGTTTGATGTGCGTCGCTCTTCTGTTTCCGTGTTTCTCTTCCTCGTTTACGCTTCCTCGACGTTGACACTGGCGCTACCCACCTGCACCACCCTCCCAAAGCTCGCGAGTGATCTCGTTAGCTCCTTACTGCGCTTACTGCGCGCTTGTTGGCGAAGCCCATTGAGCACGTTATCTTAACGCTACGCTGACGCGTCCTTGGTCCCATCTGTCAACCACATGCTCTCCAAGACCTCCTCACTGGCCTCTTGTTTTGCTTTTCTTGCATTCTTCCTTCTTTGCGCTTCGTCTCTCTTTGCTTGTTGTCTGTCGCTTTTGTTTTCGTTTCTTTTTCTGTACTTCCGCTTACTCCTCAACGCTAGTTCTGCTCTGATCTGCTTCGTTCCGTGTTGCTAGTCGCGCCTTCGCTTTCGTTACATCTTGTCTGCCCATGCGCTCGTCTATGTAGTTGTCCGTGTTTAGAGTTTTTCTGTCTGCCTTTGTGCGCCCCCATTTCTTCTGTCTCCGTCCTTGATGTTCATCGTCGCTTGCTGCTATAATGTTCAAAAGTGCTCTTTGGGCGATGCTGAGGAGTTAGGGTTCATTATGTAAAGCAAGCTTGTGTAAATGCTTTGGCGTGTAGGGTTTGAGTTTTGAGAAATAATAACAGCTCGAGTCGACCACAGTAATTCAGCATATTGCTGCCTCTTCGTCGATTTTTTCTACTTCCTCCCACTTTTCTTATCTTGCTGATCTTCTGCCCTTACGATTTCCGGACTCTCGCCCACTCCCTCCCTTATTTCCTTCACCCTCACGCCTTCTTGCCTCTCGCTCTCACGCTTCCCACGCTCTTTTGAGAAGAGTGCAACCTTACAGGACTCCTCAACACACTTCTCCTTCTCACCCGCCTTGATCTCTGTCCTGCTCTTGCGCTCACCCCACACTCCTCCTCTCTTCCTTCCCACGCCTCTCTGTATACTCCTCGCCTCCATCTCCTCTACGCTCTTTGAACCTTGACGTCGACACCACTTCTTTCACTTCCTTGCTTGTCTCTCGCTCGCACGCCGCTTCCTATCCCTACCAACAACCCCGACACGCACCGTCCTTGCGTTTCCTCACTCCTCAACCTCCCTCAACCTTGCCGCCGACTCTGTCTCTCCTCACTCTTCCGCTTCCTTGCCACTTACGCTTCCGTTCCCCTACGTCTACGCCACCGTTGACTGTCCAGGCTCTTTCATGACTGGACTGGACCCATCCACAAACTCCCAGCTGAGGTCTCCCTGATTGCGCCCAACTACCTTCACCTGCACGCTCCCTCCCGCCTTCTTTGCCTCTCGTTCTTACGCTCCCCGTCACCTAACTCTCTTACGCTTCCTCAACCTGGATCCTCGCTTTTACGCCAATACCACCTTGGGAGGATATTGTTGGTTTTTGTTGCACCTTTACCTTTGCTTCAGGGTCTCGCCCCTTGCTCCTGTGCATACCCAATGCTAAGCTCTACTTCTCTTGCCTCTTACCTACGCTCCCCCTCATATTGCCCCCGATCTGCTGATCTTCATCATCATCACCTCAGTCGCCCATACGCTTCCTCCAGCACTGCAGCTGCGTTAAGATCGAGTCTGTTCTTGTTTACTGTCTCTGTCCCCCAGACACAAGTCCTGTTCAATTCCTTGTCATATTTTGATAATAATAATAAAAACAATAATAGTCATGATAATATGCATATACTCCCCGATAGCGTGGGCGAGCTTGCTTTGCTACTCGATTTGCTTTTATAGAAATCTGCCTTTCCTTTAAAACCCCACTGGCGCGTCGGCCTACTCCTCCTGTGCTGGCTACTCATTCCTCTCCTGAACCTGTCCAACGCTTGTGTGCTCTAACTACTCAATAATCTGCCGAACGCTTACGCTCTTGAAGTAGTCCGCATTCTCTCCACTGTTTCCTGCTCGCATGTCTTGCTCTTTGCTCTCGTCGCTGCTGTTTGCCTCCTTTTCTTTAACCATCCATTATTTTTTTTTGAACAGCGTTCTCGTGCGACGCGCTTTCACACAGCCTCCAGCTCTACATAAACCCTACTCTCTCAAACCCAAGAGTATTCCAAGCTCGTCAAACGTGTAGAACTGCTGCTGACGCTTTTTACCAAGTCGCCTCAACACCCAATTGCACTGCTTTGTTTTATTTGTTGTATATTTCTGCACTCTTGATCTCCTTCTCTGGCTGTTGTTTGATGTTTGGCGCTCTTTTGGTTATGTAATATCTCTTCCTTGTTTGCGCTTCCTCGACGCTGACACTGACGCTGCCCACCTTGACTACCCTCCCAAAGCTCGCGTGCGCGCTCTTCAACTCCTCCTTACTGCGCTTACTACCTACTACACGCTACGCAACAAATCCCATTAAGCACGGTACCTTACCGCTACGCCTACGCGTCCTTGATCCTGTACGTCAACTCTACACGCTCTTCATAACGTTGCTGACCTCTGGCTGTTGTTCGCCTTGCAGGTTTCCTTCCTCGCGCTTCGTCTGTTCTTGTGTAGGGTTTGTGTAGCTTGTCATTTGTCACGCATTCACTTTGGTTTCTTGTCTTCTGTACCTTGCGTTTACCCGATGCTGGCTTTCCTCTGCTCCCTTCCGTGTTGTCTGTCGCGCCTTTATCGTCGTTATATGATTTCTGTCCTCACGGTTACCCAGTGCGCTAATACTTACTTACTCTTCTTACTCTTGATGATTATGTTCTCACGCTTCTAAGTCCGTCCAACTCACGCTTCCTTGCTATTGACCGATAAACTCTTCTTACACGTGTCGGGCGCATCCAATGGCATGCTCTTATCCTCGACCAAGTCTCCTACGCGCGCTACTTGGCCCCTTGGCTTTAGCTTGGCCGTCGTTCCCACCTGCTGAGAGTGAACCTCCAGAGCCAGTCTCCGTAGGTTCGTCGATCTCGTCAAAGTTTCCATGTCCTGTACTCCGCTCTAACGCTTCATCGAAGTTGACGCTGATACTGCCTCTCATTCGCCTCACGTTAGCATACGTGTTGTCTCCTCTCCTCTCAGGCCTCTGTTCCCCCAAGTCTATGCTTTCTATCCTAATGTCAATTACAAACACAAACACAAACACAAGCTCCAGGGTGAGTCCCACATAGCGAGTCAAGTTGGATACCACTTGCGACACCGCTTGGGCGCGTCAACTGTTTTCTTCTGCTATTGCTTGCTGGTCGAGCTTTTATTTCCATTTGTTGTCCTATGCTCTCGCGCTTACCTGACGTCTTGCGACGCTTACCTGCCTACGCTCGCCCGGTGCTTACCTGACGCTTACCTTACCTTACGTCTTCATGCAGTCGCTTCTACGCCTAAGCCCTTCAATGAGCGCTATTTTCTACCAGCTGCTCCTCGCAGACTTCGAGAATAAGGAGAGTCGCAAAGCTTGATGATGATGATGATGATGATGATAAACCATTTATGTTTTAAGTCCGTTGCAACAACCAGGTAATGACAGTGGTCGCAAAGATTATGAGAGTGGTGGAACAGTGTTTACCGTAATAAGGTACAATAATATATTCAATACAGAACAGTGATCATACAAATATACAGAACTCACATGTACCTACGCCGACAACAGATGATAGTGAGACCGACATAATAATAGAGGTACATAGACAGATGCAACAGATATACAGGTGAGCGCGCGGGAAATCAAAAGGGTCAGACAGGTCGACAAGAGCCAGAGATGACGCTCATTGCAAGCATCCATGTGATGCTATCCCCCAAAGCCATCCCCATGATCACTACTCGTGACTTCCGCAGAATCAAGTCAGCCTCGATGGGCAGCGTCTGTGATCTCCATCGCTACAAGACAGGCATCGTCGTCTTTTCACTGGGTACAGGTCTGCATCGATGATCTTGTTTCACACAAAAGCATGAAGAGTAATCCTAGCCATTAGTTAGCAGAGACCAATGATATAAGCAGTCGACGACGACCGTACAGCAGGAAAGACGGTGCAGATAGACAGTAGCGTTACTTCTTTAGGCAGATACCAACGTGTAGTTCGATGAAAACGTTTCGGCAGAAATATGTTGTACAACGGCAGGACAGATATATAGCGAAGGTAGGCCATTTCTCTCATATGAGATGTTGCAGTATTAGCCCAAGCAGTGGTCGAAGTATAGAACTCTTCTGGTTCGTTCCAGGACGGAATTTTCGGCGGGAGGGGGGACAGCTAAATGAACAAAAGAAAGTCAGTAAAGCTCAAAGGAACGAGCAAGGGGCCATAGCAACGTTGTACATACGTTAGACTGAATATCTTTTATAGAAATCACAATCACAGGCAGTTCAGAACAGAAACCCGGAATCGATCCTGGGGTTCATCCTTTGCCTGGCTAATTTCTAATGTTGCATTGGCCAATATGAGAGACGAGGTTGTCGCACGCGGCGTTTGAGCGCATCATGTATATGATCGTTGGGAAGGCATGAGAAAAGGAGCATTCTGTCGATATGAAAGTCGTTGATGTGCTCTTTCCATTGTAATTCGTGGTCGTAGTGCTGTCGCGATCGCGGGGCGGGTGCCGTCCGTTGCCTCCCTCGGCTATCGACTTGTTCTGCGATGAGGGAGCGTGTGCCTGTGCGTCGAATTCGATCGGCTATCGTGCGTGCTTCGGGCTCGCTGCAGCAAGTGGCAATGCACAAGAATAACGTGCTTGCTTCTCGCTGACAGGCTTTGTTTGGAATAGGTGCACGGGGAGGGTTGTGGCTGAGGTGAAAAAGAAGTCGGAGGCGAGAACGGAGGTGAGAAAAGAAGGGAAAAAGAGAGATAGAGAGGGAGCAAGGGGCCCTGAATGTCGGTTATTGTGCCTGAACAGGGTAGGCCTAGTATTATTGAGCTGAGCTTTGCAGGAACGGCTGCAGATTCTTGAAGAAGCAGGAGCGCTGGTGATATATGAAAGGCGCCTGAATAATCATATTAACATAAAGTGGCGGTTGGATTCGCGCATATCGAGCAGGTACGCTGATTGTAATGTCTCAAAAGAAAGAATAAAGGTGGGAAAAATCATTTATCGATGAAGGATAGAGTCCGGGGAGAGTTCTCAGTACTGGAATAAGGGGTTCGTTTCCTGTCATATTATCATGTCGCCAATCTACCATGCTATCAAAACATCATCAATATTATCAGCGTAAAACAAAACTCTTTGATGCTTCGTCAATAGGGCTATCTAAGTAATATATGAGCTAATTGTTTTGGTCTTGCTATTGTCGAGTCATCTTCTATATATGATCGTTCTAGTCTAGCCATTTGATCCGCAAAAGAACGCTGCCGCAAAAGAACGCTGATTGATAAAAAACCGCAACACTCTTAGTATCTGCTCATCAGCGTACTGGTGTACCTTTCCAAGCCATGGTTCACACATGTGTGCAACACCCCGCCCATTCACCACCGAAGCCCTCTTGATCTGGAAGATATTGCAAAGGGCGTGTACCTCGGGATATGTAATAATCATCGAGGATCAGCTCGATCGAGCTCAACATCAATATGTACTTGCTGTTCCATACCATGACCGGGCGTGCCTCGTTCGGTCAAAGATTCCGCAAAGTGTATTCTACACTGCTGAGAATTCGCCGTGTACCTGCCATATTTGTTCGTCCGTTGTCTGGAAGTCAACGGACCACAGCTGACTCACACCTTTTCCTCTTTCAGAGCACGTTCTTCATCGTGAGTAATCTTTTCCGTGTGGCGACCGATCCTGAGCCACCATGTAAAATGAATGAGAACTATCCCAGCTTCCATTATGGGATCCACGAGGTAAATGACCATTCCCACGTAGTCACGGTACCCTGTCGAACCATCGGCTTTATTTTGAGGGAACCAAAGAGAAGCAAAGGATAAAAGAGCACCAGACGCATCAATGCTGAGGAATATGAGAGAGATCCCTATGGCCTGTCCGTGGTGTTTTGCAAGCTCAAAATATGGAGGCACAAGTCCGCCGGCAAGGCAAACAGCCGCAAAGATTCCAAGCATTAAAATCGGCCAGTAATATGGCGAAGGATCCGATTGGTAGTGAGGTGAGTTGCGAATCGGGATCGCTGCAGCAACCTGGAGCCCAGCGCCTACTATCGACGAAATGAAGAGAAAAGCAATAGCTTTCTTGACCGAGTAGCCCTTTCCATAGTAAAGGCATTGAGCCCAGGTTATCAGACAAAGAGCAGTAAAAATCTGCGGCTGCACTTGGAGAGCAATATCCGCTGACTGTGCAATGAAATACATTCCGTAAAACACACCAGCTGCCGCCCAAAGAATCATCATCGATACTGGGAAGCCATCAGTGGACTTGCGTCGGTAGTTTTTCCAGATCTGAGGGATGAGCTGGATACACCAAAAGACTGTCCCGATTGTCGCGAGGATTGTTGCTATCTGGAAAAGAGGAGTGATTAGCATATCTCTGGATATACTGTACGCTGTAGGTAATGTCAGAAGGCAAGCAGCTGGTTTGATACCTTATTATTATCATCCGAATCTGAAGAAGCCATTGTATGTGCTGCCAGTGAAAACTGAGTCTATTCACAGTCAACATAGAGATCGATAACTCTGCAGAGTCACACAGAAAGAAAATAGAAACAGAAGTTAGAGAAGTGTGAGGGAGGCCGCTGTTTTAGAGTCTTCAGCGCCAGAGACCATCAGGCCGAGCCTGGGCCGCACAGTGACATCGCAGTGACATTACAGTGACATTCTTTCGTCATATCGACGGTCTCACGCTTCACTTTGAAGATATTGGGTATCCGACATCCACCTGAGATGCTACTAAATAGCCACGGCAGCTAACGCCCGATAAATTGCAAATTAAAAGAAAGAACATCGCATCAACTATCTGTAAAATGTGGACCAGATGGAAGATCGCCGCTCTTCAGCGATTAGGTCCCGAGCGGAGCCGCGCGCACTGCACACTACCTAACTTATGATGACAGTTTCCTGACGTCATCACTCTCATATCGTCAACTTGCTGGACAGTCATGTTCAAGTCTACCAAGTCTACTATATATTTGAAGGCGCTAGGGTAATGGAATTGTAGATATTTCTTATTTCTTCTTATTAAATATTGCTGCAAATCTAAAACAGACTTCAGCTGTTACAGATTAAAAGACAAAAACTGACAGACAGACCGTCCCATTTCAATAATGCAGGTTAGGCTTCTCTTTCGTCTCAAAAACGGCCTGCATAGACTCAATACCCTGCTCCACCTCTAAGCTTTCTCCGTTAAGCTCACTCTGCAGGTTCTTTGTCGCAGAGTCGAGATCAAGCGTGTATCTGAGCTGGGAATAGAACTCAATAGGAACAGGAATGTTGTAGTAGTTCAGCTTCAGGCCTCTACGCTTGAGCTGAATCTTTTGCGCAAAGTAGATCATCGGGATTGTCGCGGTAATAGGGACCATTACCGCAAAAGCGACCCAGTATCCATGAGTAGGCTTGAATGCTGGAGCATCCTCAGTGGGAAATACGACGTTGGGAATCCAAGCGCCCATCGCATAATAGAAAGCATTAGCAAAAGCGGGGAAGAAGCCTCGAAGCTCCGCATCGTCGTACATCACATCCTCCGCCCAAGACATCAGAAGACCCCAGTAAGGGGTACCGAATCCAGGAAGAATGTAAGCGGCGAATTTGGCGCTGAAGCCGATGTCCCAGATGGCAAGCATCAAGTTTCCGACGATGGTAAACAGACATGCGACAAGGAACAATTGCCATCTGCAGTAGTACATGTCAGAGATAACACCATAGACGTATGCCATGACAAAGCCGATAACGTTCGTAATGGTAGGAAGAATGTTGATCATCTCTGTGGAATAGGTTCCAAGATCCTGGAGCCACAGATTCATGTAACCAGATCCGTTCAAAACGAAGACGGCGTAAGGGAACGAGAATGCGTAAAGACGCCAGTCCAAAAGAAATTTGTAGAGTCTCTTGAGAGTCATCTTTTGTCTGCCAACACGGCCAATCTCCTCCATTCGCTTGATGGCGAGCTCCTTCATAGCAGGAGTAAGATAGAGCGCACGAGTGTTGTTGGGGAAGTCGGGGATAGCGAAAAAGCCCAAGATTGCGACAGGGAAAGACATGATTCCGTTGATGAGGAACATCCATTTCCAAGCAGGCACGCCATCCAGGCCATCCATAGTAGCATAGATACCAGCCATGATGTAACCAGAGCAGATTGAGGCAATAGCCCATGATCCGTCATAGATAAGCATGCGCTTGGCCATCTCCGAAGGTTTGTACCAAGAGGAAATCATCATAGCGAATACTGGGTAGCAAATTGCCTGCGAAGCGCCGATAAGGAAACGGAATGCGTAGACTGCTTTGACGGTCTTGCAGAGAGGGATCATAAAAGTGAACAGGGTCCAGAAGAGCTCGCAGGTGGGGACAACGAGGGAGGGACGAAACTTGAAAGTCACCATTTGCATAGGGATTGCCATGGAGATTGAGCCGACGTTGAAGAATGTACCAAACAGATTGTACTCATTTCCGTACAGCTGGAGATCTTTTTGCATACCGGAGACGTAGGCGTTGTAAATACTGCTCTGATCGACTGATTTGACAAAGTAAGAGAGGGTTGAATAGATCCTGGAAAGTGAAGATAGTCGTCAGCAATTGAATTGGAAAGCAGAAAAGAGACTAGCACGAGAGTGTCGACTTACAAGACTCCAGCATCCAGACGGTTGATGAATGCACGTTCAAGAGGGTCCTCGCTACCAGCAGAATCCCAGAAATAGCCAAGAATTCTTTTGTGAAGTGGCCGGTTGTCGACTGGCTTGTGCGAGTAATCGACAGGTTCTTTCTTTTCATAGTCTGAGACCTCGCCAGAAACGACCTCCACGGTCTTCTCCATCTCGATGTCTACCGACTTGGAATCGTGGTCAGACATTGTGGTTGTATGGGGAGTTGCACCTGCAAAGATAATGACTGAGTATTGCGAGCACAGAAGCGGAGCGCCGGGGAGGGGAGCTCTGATGAATATATAGTAGTCTATTGTGGCCGGCCGGTGGGGAGTCCGTGCTGAAGGAGGTGAAATAGAAATAGGATTTTTTGGCTGGTCCAGCGGGACCTGCACCAGAGCATTTCAGGGTACTCCGGTTCGGCAGCGGATTAGAAGAAAAGTTTGTTTGCCCCACTCTGGATTACAGTTTGGCAACACTCCTCTCGGGCAGCACAGTCACCGAAACTCCTGCTTGGCTCGTAGAATAGACGTCAATTAGACGTCTGCCAACGCGGAGCAGATGTGTATCATCTGCGGTATCTTCTATCTTACAGCGTTAAGGAAGAGCAGAACCGAGACCGTCTCGTGTAGGGTTATCGCCCCTCTATCGGGCGCGGGAGTCATTCTGGTAATGCGGATAAGCAAATCTTAATTAATTGTCGCAGACATAATATTCTTGCCGCGACCTAGTCATATATTGATTGTAGTGTAGATAGCGGGCTCGTGATAAGAAAAACCCACTAATCATCAGACTCCAGCGCTCTCGTGTTTGTCTGAACGAAGGCAGCGACCTGCTCACAAAACCACTGTGGACTGTGCTCCCAGTTTGGGCCTCCTTGTTGAATGCACCGTTCAAGCGCTATGTGCAGCAGACACTATGCTTGCTCCAACCCACGGACCCCCCGGCCGTATAAAATAAGACGGGCGCGATAAGGTATTAGCTGAGCGCAGCAGACCGCGCAGGAGAGAGCACAGATACTTGTCTGTGCAGCTGACAGACTTGGGAGGGCCTCCTCCAGCTAGTACCAGCTTCTGCTCGCGAGATGATGAGATAGAATATCATTCACGCTGAGGCGAGTCATCGGCGCCCGCGTATTGAGAAGACCGATGAGTAAAAAGCGAGTCAGGACGCTGGCGCACCGAGTGGCTTCATCAGTATCAGCGAGATATCACTGTCAAACCGTTGCCTCTGGTGGCTAATACCCGCATTCTATCACCGCCCGGTTGCAAAAGCCAGTACTTGGGTGGCGCACAATTCATAACATAAACTGCTGCTGCACTCACCCTACAAAGCATGTCTTCATACTCCGCGAGCAGGAAGAGCGGCAAGAAGTCCCCGCGCTTATTATATCGCTATAGCATAGCGAGGTGGAGTTCGTGGTTGGCATATATAAGTTTTTTCTTATTGTCCAAGCGAGAGCGTATTAGTTGGAAAGAAAGAAGTAGCATGTGTATATGGGCGAGGCCCGGCGGTTAAAAACAAAAGGCAGATAACTCCGCTTGGTCCGGCATCCCATGATTCCTGTTATCTGTTTATCTCCTATCCCCACGTCTACAATCGCAGTATCGATAACCGTATCGGGCAGTAGTGAATAGGGAAAAAGAATCAGGTTAGAGATGTCACTGCCTTCTCAGAGAGGAGTCGTAGGAACTAGTTGCTCCGTTTAGGATCGACGATGGCGTTTTCATCGCGGCCACCGACAGATATGCATCCACATTTGGATGGGAGTCATCAGGACTTGCCACAGCGATGTCTGCTTATGGAACTGACGTCCCTGAATCCGCCACTTAAGGCTAGCAGTTCCATATCCATCAGCATCTTGGCTTTCAGCAGCCGTCTCTCTTCATAAGTTCTATCGGTGGCGTCGGTCGCCTATCCACCGTGTTATCCCCACCACGCTCAATCGGAGCCTTCCGACTCAGATTGCTTCTTATCTATCAGCGCCCCCACCACCTATTGAAAGCTTTTCTGCTAAACTTTTTGTTCCAACGCCCAAACTGATAAGTTGGCACCCAATCCTGAACCAGCCCACGTCTCCTGGCAAACAGCAAAACATCAGAATCCGTTCTCGGTATTTTAGCCTTACGCACATGCTCTTAGTATGCTCTCAGTTATCCGAGCGCGGTCTTTGGACCTGTACGCAGAGATAATAATAGGTCATTATCTTACAACTTACAAACGAGTGGTCTCCGTTAGTCATTAAGACCGCTACCAAGAGGTAGATCATATCAAATGCAGAGATACGTTTTATAATATCTTACTTTTTGTTTGGGCCTTTTTATACTGTACCCATCAGCACCTGCTCGGACTCCACCGCTGCTTGTTGAGCGTTGAGCTGCCTACTACCCAGCCCACAACGCCGCATAAGGATGTTTAGGTAACCGGTCCAACGGCTCTTAGTCATAGCTGCTCCAATCCTGCCAGCCAGCCGAGGCTCGCCCCACCCTTACTTCACTTTTACTCTGCTCTGCTAAAAATGTATGTTGCGAATATCTTGCTTACATCAATTTATATCCTGTAAAACACCTATCTTTTCTGCACTCCTTCTTCACCTACAATACAACAAAGGCAAGTTACATAACAGAAATACCATCACCAGCGCCAAACGCTTTGATTCCAGCAGGGCGCTTGTCCAGCAAAGCCAAAGGAACGATTCCTGAAACATGCATATCGGGTCCGTAAACCTCCATAGGGATGTCGAGCTCCTCTCCACAGTTCTTGATAAGTCTCAGACCTTCCTGCCAGTTGGGACCGCCACGACGGACGTACATCTTCACGCCATGAGCATGCAGCTGAGACTGGTAGTCCTTGAAAGCACGAATGATTCCCTTGAAAGTAGAGCCGACCTGGGTAAAGTTGGCAATACCACCTCCGATAAAGAGAACCTTTCCGCCTTCGGCGGGCGAGCCACGGGTCATCAGATCCAAAACGGTCTTGGCGTATTCGTAAGTCTGCGTCTCCGAAGGAGCACCTGAGTACTCGCCATAGTTGGCAATGTCGTTGGCGTATCCAGCTGACGCAATCGCATCAGCGTAAACAACTGAAGCTCCGCCGCCAGCGACAAGAGTCCATACCCGGCCAGCCGGATTAAGAATGGTCAGCTTCAAAGAAGCACCAGTTTTGGAATCCAGTTCCGCAATGTAGGCTTCCTCGGTCGTGAGCTCGCGACCAAAAGGCGCAGGGAAAACCATTGGTGGACCAGCATCGATGTTTGTAGTAGACTGGGCAACCTCAGTGATACCAAGAGCAGCAGGCGAGCGAGCAATCGCCCATTTGGCACCACACTCAAACTCAGCAGTCTGGTCGAGCTTCGCAGCCAAGTCGAGGTAGTGAACCTCAACTCCAGAAGCGGTAGGAATGACAACAAGAGGGTTGATCTCGAGATACGTGAACTGCAAATCGACGTAAACAGCGTAAAGACGGTTGATGAAGTCGACCAGGGTTGCGTGCTGAGCCTCCGGCACCTTGGAAAGCAAAGTGGAAACAATTGTGGCATTGGAAGGGTAGCCCGACTCCAGATCAACCGGGATCAAGAGCTTAGAGGCCTTCGCGTCGACGTCGCCAACATCAACACCACCCTCGTGGTAGAAAAGGATCCAGTCCCCCTCACGGACCGAGTTGATGTTGATGTAGTACTCAGTCTCCTGCGCGTGAGGAACAAAAGGCTCCACAAGGAATGTGCGGAGATATCCCTTGATTCCCTCGACAGCGATCTCCTTGCCAGCGCGGGCGGCAACCCACTCGCGGGCCTGGCTCCATGTGACGTTCAGCGACAGCAAGCCGGATTTTCCTCGTCGCTTGATCAATTGATCTGGCTTAGCGACAAACTTGGCGCCCTCCTGAAGAAGCCAAGGGTAGGTCTTCTCGGCCGCGTCCAGCACGGCGGTGACGGTCTCAGTAGAATCATCGGGGAAGGTGAGAGAGGCTAGACGCGGCGGAGCGGGGACGAACGAGGTTGCGGAAGCCTCCTTCGAGATTGCGGGAGAGCGAGCCAGGAAGTAGGCAAGAAGCGCCTTTCCATCGGCCTCGTGAATTGATTTAGCAGACATATTTCAGAAGGTGTTTGTCCAATGACTTTGGAATATGGGGAGCAAGAAAGAGGAAGGTAGACCGGCTACCCGTTCACTTATATAGAAACATACGCGCTTCTGCTGCAACCGTGTCCGTGCTCAGCCTTACCCCGCAGCATGCTCAAATCTGCCGCAGTCCAGTCTGGACGCGCCGTGCTCAGAACTGCCTCTGCGTACATATCCGCATGACTCCCCAGTCCTCGCCGAAAGAGGTTTAGCGGGGCGTCGTCGCGTACCGCCTATATTTACTGCTTCCCCAGGATCTCCTGCGTCCTCCTGCTCATACCTCCCTACAACCACATAGCCTTGTCTTCCTCTAAATGGCTTCTTCCGCTCCAATTGAACCTCCAACGGCCCCGGCTTCGCCCCTGCCTGCCTACCAGCTTTTCCATGACAAGACGCGCGCTTTTGTCTACGGAATGCAGACTCGGGCGTGCCAGGGCATGCTTGATTTCGACTTCATCTGCAAGCGTGCAACTCCCTCGGTTGCTGCAATTGTCTACCCTTTCGGTGGACAGTTTGCCTCAAAGTTGTACTGGGGCACCAAGGAGACTCTTCTCCCTGTCTACCAGTCTGTCAAGTCTGCTGCCGACAAGCACCCTGATGTCGACGTCGTTGTCAACTTCGCGTCCTCGCGATCTGTCTACTCTTCCACAATGGAGATCCTCGAGATCCCTCAGATTCGCGTAAGTCTGCTCCTACAATGCTTTTCCTATTCAGTTTTCTTCCACTTTTATTCTTTGTGTGCTAATATGTTAACCTTCCATAGACAATTGCAATCATTGCAGAGGGTGTCCCCGAGCGCCGTGCCCGAGAAATTCTCTTCAAGGCCAAGGAGAAGGGTGTTACCATCATTGGTCCTGCTACCGTTGGTGGAATCAAGCCTGGATGCTTCAAGATCGGAAACACCGGTGGCATGATGGACAACATTGTTGCTTCCAAGCTTTACCGACCGGGATCAGTTGGCTACGTGTCCAAGTCCGGTGGTATGTCCAACGAGCTCAACAACATTATCTCACAGACTACCGACGGTGTCTACGAGGGTATCGCTATCGGTGGCGATCGCTATCCAGGAACTACCTTCATTGACCATTTGTTGCGTTACGAGGCTGATCCCGCTTGCAAGATTCTTCTGCTTCTTGGAGAGGTCGGTGGTGTTGAGGAGTACCGTGTGATCGAGGCGGTCAAGGCCGGAAAGATCAAGAAGCCAATTGTCGCTTGGGCTATCGGTACATGTGCGTCCATGTTCACCACTGAGGTGCAGTTTGGCCATGCTGGTTCGTTTGCCAACTCACAGCTCGAGACCGCGGCAGCAAAGAACGCTGCGATGAAGGCCGCTGGCTTCTATGTCCCCGACACCTTTGAGGAGATGCCTGCTGTTCTTGCTGACCTCTACGAGTCTCTGGTTAAGAAGGGTACCATTGTTCCCAAGCCTGAGCCTGAGGTTCCCAAGATTCCCATCGACTACGCCTGGGCTCAGGAGCTTGGTCTCATTCGCAAGCCTGCTGCTTTCATCTCCACCATCTCTGATGATCGTGGACAGGAGCTGCTTTACGCTGGAATGCCAATCACGGAAGTGTTCAAGGAGAACATTGGCATCGGTGGTGTCATGTCTTTGTTGTGGTTCCGCCGCCGTCTCCCCGATTACGCTTCCAAGTTCCTCGAGATGGTTCTTATGCTCACTGCTGATCACGGTCCGGCCGTTTCTGGCGCGATGAACACAATCATCACCACCCGTGCAGGCAAGGATCTCATCTCTGCTCTTGTTGCTGGTCTCCTTACGATCGGATCCCGTTTCGGCGGTGCCCTGGATGGCGCCGCACAGGAGTTCACGACTGCTTACGATAAGGGTCTCTCTCCTCGTCAGTTTGTTGATACCATGCGTAAGCAGAACAAGCTCATTCCCGGAATCGGTCACAAGGTTAAGTCGCGCAACAACCCTGATATGCGTGTCGAGCTTGTGAAGGAGTTTGCGCGCAAGCACTTCCCCACGACTAAGTTGCTTGACTACGCCCTGGCTGTTGAGTCAGTCACTACATCGAAGAAGGACAACCTGATTCTCAATGTCGACGGCTGCGTTGCTGTCTGCTTTGTTGATCTGGTTCGTCACTGCGGTGCTTTCACTGCCGAAGAGGCTGAGGACTACCTGAAGATGGGTGTTCTCAACGGTCTGTTCGTGCTGGGCCGATCCATTGGTCTTATTGCCCACTACTTGGACCAGAAGCGTCTTCGCACTGGATTGTATAGACACCCTTGGGATGATATTACGTACTTGCTTCCTACGATTGACTCGCTGGGCGGGAAGTAAGTCAACGATCTAATATCAGTCACGCTGGGTTTAGAGTATTGCACTCGAGCACGCTGGGCGTGATGGGAGTAATTTCGCGGGACGAATATTATATGTGTGTAATATCAATCAATTTGACTATTAAAACAGTGAACATGGTAAAATATCGAGTAACTTATAGATGATCCCTGGTATCGTCCGATATAGCATAGCAGGGTTGTGTAGGGTTTATCGGCTTGGCTCATACGCGTGGGGTAACGATGCATGGCCCCCCACGTTCTCGCTGGTATGAGTGCGATTCCCCAAGTATTTTAGCTCAAGTTGAATCTGCTCGACAGTAATATAAAAAGCAGCTTCCGCTCCTGCAATTGCGATGATCGTAAGGTTCCGCTACCGCTGACTGTGACTCGCCTTTTTGGTCTCCTTTAATCAATCTTATCCACTTTGAAAATGAGCGACGTGGGTGGTTATCTCAGGAGTTTGTTCTCACTAGAGGGTCGTACCGCTCTAGTTACTGGAGCGACGCGCGGTATCGGTCACGATATCGCACTGGCTTTTGCCAAAGCTGGAGCCCATATCCTTCTCGTTCAGGTATTTATGCAACGTTATTCGAGTCAATTCTCAGTAATACAAAACCATAAGATGAGACTAATCTGACGGAAATTGTATAGAGAAATGATAACGAGTCAACCAAAAGCGAGATCGAGGCCGTTGGCGGAACAGCAACTATCATTGTCGCCGATCTCTCAGTACGTGAGCAAGTGAAGTCAATAGTACCGAAAGCGATCGAACTCGGTTACAATGTCGACATTCTCCTCAATTGCGCCGGAATTCAACGTCGCCATCCGTGTGCCGAGTTTCCCGACGAGGACTGGGATGAAGTCATTCAGGTTAACTTGACCACCGCATTCCTTCTCTGCCGTGCTGTTGGCAAGCACATCTTGGACCGAAAGGGAACTGGCAATATTATAAACATAGCATCGCTGAATTCTTTCCAAGGAGGCCTCACAATTCCTGCCTATGCGTCAGCAAAGGGTGGAATTGCTCAGCTAACCAAAGCTCTCTCCAACGAATGGGCTTCGCAAGGAATCAATGTTAACGGAATCGCTCCTGGTTATGTTGCGACAGACATGAACGAAGCTCTTATTGCCAACCCTACGCGTTCTAGACAAATCATGGAGCGTATCCCCGCCCAGCGATGGGGTTCTCCTAGTGACTTTGAAGGTGCGGCGTTGTTTTTGGCGGGCAAGGCTTGCAAGTACGTCTCGGGTGAGATTCTTGTTGTTGACGGAGGATGGATGGGCCGTTAATCTGGTATTCTCCGGACTCTCATCCAAAATTCATCAACTGTAAATCATATATTGCATTTTTACCAAAAATATAATCCATATCCTACTAATCTATGCTGGCGGAATAAATGAAGCAAATAAGACTGCTTGCACCCCAATCCAAGTTATCATATAACGAACCTCCCATAATCCCTCGTGTCTCTTAAAATCGGCTTTGCAACGTCTAACCAAAGTCTTTAATCCCCAGCCTCGGATGACCTCGCCCGCTTTTTCAGGCTCGTCGTTCATAACCCGTTCTGCGACATACCAGTACACAAGCGGCATACAGGTACCGACTCTGGTGATGATCTGTACGTGCCATAGCAGCAGACTCATTATGCCCATCAGTGCCTGTATTATAACATACGGTCGCAAATGCGAGACTCCGGCATAGCGCTGGAATGATCGATAAAATAAGAACCAAGTCGGAAATGCGAAGAAGAAGTTGGGAATCTGCCAAGTTCTCCAGTATTTGAAAAGACCGTTGTCCCAGTAATAGCTCTGCACGAACTTGTAGATCAATGGCGGCATGGCTTCGCACCACTCCCGGCCAGGACAGTACCTGCAGTACGCAAACACTTGACCACTCAAGAATCCAGCTCCCACCAAACTTCCACCGACGATGATGCCAATTGATTTACCGTATTTCCTGCGAACGATAAATGACTCGTACAGATCGTTCAGGAAAACGATTCCCCAAAGAATTCCATTTCCGCGAATACATGCGGTAATCGCAAATGATACACCCGCCAGGACGTGGAAATTGGCCTCCCGAAACACAATTCCCAAGAAAGAGAAATATGCAAACAGCGTCTCGGAATAACCGGCCGACATAAAAATTCCGCCGGGAGAGATGATAAATAGTAACGCTGAAAGCAGTGGAAACATTGATCGACGACCCTTTTTGACTGTGTTCGATTTAGCCGGGCGAATGAATTTCTCGACGTAAGTGGACGCGATATAAAGGGTAACAACTGCCAGGTAGTGAAACGCATGAGCTATTATAATCACTGCAATTGCGTAAATATAAATGCTCTCGACCGGATTGCCCATATCGTCAATCTCCTTCTCCAGTCCCGGCCATGCGTAATTGACGACAGGCGCGACCAAATACTCTCCAACCACCCTTATAGTGCCCGTCCAGAGCCAACCATTAAACGCCCATTCCTGCTCGTATATATATCCGCGCTGCGCAATTTTGATGAAGAAGACGGTATCCCAGACTAGAAATCGCGGAAGAACGTAGTTTGCTATCCAGGGCACCTGTGTCGATGTGAACAAAAGCTGCGAGGAAGTGTCGTACTGCTGTGTGACCAATTGAGGGATGATGAAGAGTAAAGACTTCACCAACACAAATGTTGATGTCAACAGAGTGACATCTGCTGAATTAAGAACTGAAAGAATCATGTGTCATGCAGGATACCTCGATGTTCTTGAAATCTCCTGGCTGGAATCTCGCCGCAGTGGACGCGCGACTGAACAGTTCTAATTTTTGGTGAAACCCTAAAACAATAACTCTGAAGGTAGCTCAGACTCGTACAGAGCTATTCCGATCCTACCAGTCATTCAACCCAGTTTAATGATTAATTATTCCCGTCATCCGTATTATATTATCTGAAAAGCTGCTCACTCATTCTAGCAGTCAAAAATCACAAAAAAGAAATGCAAAAAAAATGTGAAACGGACAGGAATTGAACCTGCAACCCTTCGATTGACCAATCAAGAACTGGAGTCGAAAGCTCTACCATTGAGCCACCGCTTCTTATATTAGTTTTTCAGAATTATGCCCTATATGAGCTGAGACTGAGTTTGTAATATTTGCGGATTCCAATCTTAAGTAATAAGACCAAATATCAACTAGGGAAAAGTATGTATTGAGCGTAAAGACTAGAGAATAAACAAACAGAAGGAGCGTCCCTATTATAAGGTGGCGCTGGACAAATGTGAGGTCACAAGACAAGAAGTGGCTAAAGACAAACTAAAGATAACAAAGTAGAAGTATGAAAGGTAAATGTAACGCTTCTCAACACATACTGAAAAACCCTTAATAATCAATAACATAATCAATAACAATAAACAATAATAATCAATTACTCATCACGAGTGCAGTGCAGAGCACATACACTACAGAGTTAATGTCTTTCTCTGTCTGCAAGCATATTTCAGTCTTTTTTAACTGTGTTTATGTTCTTCTGTCAATTAGTATGCTATACTTTAGGTAGGATGGTTGCACTTTGCGCAGGGGAGGCAATATTGTGCATAGTGTCGTGAGCTTAGTCAGATTAGGTATAAGCGTATCTGGAGGATTTAATGAATCTCAGCTGTTTACTACTCCTGTTTATACCTGTCTATTGATATTAAAAGTAAATTATTGATCTCTTCAGTGTATATAATAACATTCTTGCTTTTGTTGAGGTTTTTTATGCATATTTGCAGGCAAAGAAGCGTAACTTCTTTAACGATTACAGGTAAGTATTCAAGTTGGGAATTGGTGTTTCGCGATTGATACTTGGGATATTGCACAATGGACGTCTCGCTCTAGCCAGCTCTCCAGATACTGGTAAAACTACACGTCTCTTTTTTTGAACAGTTTCGTGAGTCTCATCATATGATTTAAATTGCGTGAACTTATGAGGTACCAACGTTTGTATTATTTAAAGTATAACCATAATAGAAGACAAAGAAAAAATATCACCGGCATATCCTATACTGTGGTCCAAAAACAAAGACTTCTATAAGCATTCACTCGCGATTTTGGAGTCTATATCTGGGCCTTCAACCGCGTACTGTGGGATCTAACAGACGAGTGCTTCTAATTGAGAATAAAATTCCAAACACACTCTATCTTCGTACAGTGTTATGGAGCTTATGCTCCTTCATCATAAAACCAGTACCAGCGCACATGACACATAGAACGGTGGCTAGCATGAAAACTGCCTTGACGGCGTCAAGATACGAAACTGTGACTATTTCCTGTAACTCAGGCGAGAGATGGCCAATTTGGTCAACCGAGCCAAGAACTTGGCTGATTATCTCCTCCGAACCCGGACCCGTGATGCGTGCGTATAGTTTGGAAGCCAGCACGTTCTGGAAGACAGCGGTCGAGAGCGAAACACCGAGAGTCGAGCCGGTTCCCTTGAAACCATACTGGATAGAAGTTGAAACAGCCTGGAACTCTCTAGGCACAGCTGCCACCAAAGCAATAAGCGTGAGTGTAAGGTAGAGGCCGAATCCAAAGCCAGGAATGAAAATGGTTCCCATGATAAGCCATCTAGGGGTCTCAGTGCCTACGAAGCAAAGAGCCAGGGAACCCAGAAACAGTGATACAGCAGCGAGCACAATCATCGGGAAGTAGCGACCCGTAGCACGCATGTAATAACCGACGACCAGAGCACCGACAGAGTCTCCGAGGAAGTGCGGGATCAAACTGGAGCCAGATTTGGTAGGTGATACGTGGCGGACCGAGGTGAAGTAAATTGCGATGTAGTACAACTGAGCATAGTAGATCATGTTCATGAACCACGATGTGAATGAAGAGCCGAAGACTGTGGGATCTTTGAGCAGATGAAGAGGAATGATAGGCTCTTTGGCGACTCTCAATTCGACGAATAGGAATCCGACAAAGAAAAGTATTGAGATCAAAAGAGACATAAACACTGGGATACTGAACCAAGGGAAATATACACCGCCGATGCTAGCAGTAAGCAAGAAGGATACCAGCGCCATGACGAGAGTGAATGATCCCAAGAAATCGATACGCTTCAGTTTCGATCCGTCGACCTCCTTGACTGGCAGATGCAAATTGAAAGTGATGGTAACAATCGAGAGAGCAATGATGGGTCCCTGCGACAAAAACGCCCAGCGCCATCCGAAAGCCTCTGTGATAATACCACCGACAACACCGCCAAACGCAGCACCGCAGCCCCAGAGAATGTTTCCAATACCTTGCAAAACACCACGCTGGCGGAGAGGAACAATATCCGAAAGAGTGATAGCAGTGAGCGACGTCAAACCACCACCACCGATACCAGTAAGAATACGTGCTCCAACCAAGAACCAGAACGAAGGTGCTAATCCACAAAGAACTGAGCCAACGCCAAAGGTGATGTTGCAGGCAATGAGAACAGCTTTCCGGCCGTAAATGTCCTATACAAAAACAGCGCATTACAACGGTCAGCCAAACATATGCAACCGTATGCCAATCACCATTAATACATACCGAGATTTTTCCGTAAATTGGCTGGACAGCGGCAACACTAATCATGTAGCCAGTGGCAATCCACGAGACCGACCGAAGTTCGTTGAACTCCGAAGCAATATGCGCCAGCAGAGTTGCGACAATGGTTCCATCGAGCGCAGCAAGGAAGATACCGACATAAAGCGAAACGAATACGGTGACAAGCGCTCGCGACGAGAGCTCTTCTTCTTCGGCCTGCTCAGCTTCAAACTCGGCTTGCTCTATTTCAATCTGGTTTTTGTCGACCGTCTCGGCCTCACCTAGAAGCGGAGCAGCCTCTTCGATTGTGTCCGAGGCCACTAAGGGCCCTGCTGTTTCTGTGAGTATGTCGTCTCCGGCCATTCTTTTTGATCAATCCCTGTATATAATCCGACTAAAAGACGAAGACGGCGAAGTTTTTGTATGTGTGTGGATTTGTGCCTGAGCGGGGACGCACGGGTCATTCAATGCTGGTTGCGGATATGCAAGATAAACAGCGTTTGCTGTATCAAACCCTCGAAAACCACTAACTCTGCCACTTGCGACTACCCTTGGCTTCAGATTTTGAATGCGAAGGATCCGAGACTCTTCCAAGGCTTTAAATATTCAGGAAGGAAGAAATAATAGTCAGACTGTCGAGCATTGCTTCTCAAATCGAAACTATCGGAGTGGTGCGCTGTCCGTGCTCGGGCTCTTATCATTCCCTTCTGGTAATATAAACCTTATCTGTTTACTTATTTTATTATGGTCAGCATTTGAGTCATATCAACCGCTATTAAGAGTCAGCTTTTATCGCAGAACTATTCGGGAAATATACATTAGAAAAGGAAAATAAGAGACTACCGTTTCATTTGTGCAGAAAATCGTATTCGGCTACTCTAACCAAGACAACATATTTATGAGAGATAAATTCAGCCGATATATCAGAGATACAATTTAAATAACGCAACAAAATGATAAACCCAAACTATATATACAAAAAATAGAGCAAAACCAGTACAACACTGAACGAGAGACACCTTAATCCCAAGGGTAGACAGATTCCATGTCACCATATAAACAGAATTTCAGCATAGGATATTGACCATACCAAGCAGAATGATAAAAGACGAAAAAGCAAAAGGATATAAAGTACACTTCCATGAGACAAAAAGCTCGAGCTCGCGCCGTGAAACCAAAATAAAGCTTTAGAGATCATCCAATCTTATCCATTCCTTCAAATTCTTAGTTCCCTCCATAGTGCCTTCCATGCCGCACCAGACGGTTGCGAGGACGACGACGAGACAGATGACCACAGTGATAGCCCAAGCTCCTGCTTTGTCTTTCGTTGTCATATCTCCCGTGTAATCAGCAGAAGTGCCCTTTGTACCACCGGAAGCATCTCCAGTAGATGAACCGCCAGTGGAATTTGTGTAAGGAACGTCTGCACCATATGCAATCATAAGTTGCTGAGTCATCTCAAGCGCGGCCATCTGTTCTCCAAGACCGTAGCTACCATCGTAAGCACCAGTAAGCCAGGTGTAGCCGCAGGTAACACCATCGGTACCGCCGCTGCAAGTAGCAATAGCAGCGGCCGCAGAAGCCTGGATAACGGGGAACAGAGTGTCGTAGGTGTATGGTGCAACTTGGATAGTGAGACCCATGAATCTGGCAAGGTAGGCTTTGAATGATTGCTGATCAACGTCGCAGGCGGCAGAAACCTCGCACGCGGGCTCATAAACAATATCAGTACTGTCTGAGATGAAGACATGAAGTGTACCAATCAAGCCGTCTAGTCGAGTCTTCCAGGTATCGGCAGCAGTCGAGTTTCCGTTCTCGTAGGTGTAATTATACATATAAGCGCACCCGGCCATAAAGACGCCCATATTATATGTCCATTGGATCGAGTCGATGGTCGCGCAGTCATCATCGGTGCTAGCACCATCGTATACGAAATAATCGGATGTGATCAAGCCGGTGTCCTCTTCCCATTGCCAGACCTTTTCAGCCCAGTCGGCATATGTATCATTTCCAGTATATCGTGCAAGTCTGCCTCCAAGCTGGAGTAGAATACCGTTCGAGATTGAGTTTTTGTAGTCGTATCCGTTGTTGAACACAAACTTTTGCCATCTAACTCCACCGTCGCATACGTCTGTTCCCCAGACGAGGGCAATAGAGTTAAACACAGCCTGGGCAAGAGCAAGCCACTGGGGTTTGTCGTCTGCGGGATTGGTAAAGTTGCGCTCGGCGGCTTGCATAGCGGCAAGTCCCCAAAATCCTTGATCGTCGTTGCCAAGAGACGAGGTTTGGTTAGCAGGCGCGTAATCCCAGTTGTCTCCTACTTGAAAAATCATTCCATTCAAGATCAGATCGTTGTACTGGTCGTCTCCGGTGTAAAACTGATAGTCGATGAGACTCTGGAATCAAATAGTCAGTATGCGATCTTAATAGTAGCTCAAATATGTAGTAAAGATAGTAGACGTACACCCCAAGCAGCACCACTCTCCCACCAGTAGTAGTCGCCAGAAAAGATTCCGGGAGTGTATCCGGACTCATTGCCGTGGTAGTAGTTCATGAGACCAGAAGCTATAGTTGCACATGCTGATATTATAGAGTCTTTGTGGGAAAAAAGAGGCCAGTTAGTATCAAATCGCGTCGACAAGGGAGCAGAGAAAGAAGAATGTGATGTACGCACCTTCGCTGGATGTATCGAGGGTGATTTGAGCTTTTGCAGGCCGCACAAGGCTAGCCGCCAACAGCAGTAGTATGCCGGTGAAAGAGCGCATTGTTTGGCTACCGATTGCAGGCTTATAGAATAGAGATCCGAATAAGAGGAATGTGTGGAGAAGAAGGAGAAGGGCAGGAGTAAGATGAAGGCGAGGCAGTGTTGATTTGTTTATTATTAGCATAAGGGCACAGCCGCCGCCAGCCACAGTATTTACATTCAGCCACACCAATTTGCCCCCTTGGTTTAGAGCGCGAAGACATAATTTGGACCCGCGACCTGCATAGAAGACCAGACAGAGGATCCTTAAATACCAAAACAAACCAGAGTCTGGAGGGAAGGGACACTCATCCACAGAACAAGGGTCCAGATGGCGTGGTGGCCAGTCGATCTATAAAGCTAAGAGCCACACGGTGGAGTGCGCGGCCCCTCCGTTGCTCGGTTTGTCTCGACTCGCGGTGTTGACGAAAGCAAAAACGGAATGATTACGTAAATCTTCAGTCAGGCGAAAAATCCTGTCTCCGGACTCGGGCGCAGCTCTTCGCGGTCGGAACGAACCGGACTTAAGCGATTTCGCGTCTCGGAAGCCCTGCTTCTCCCGCACAGGATGGGGTCGTTTTTCACGACTACTTAAGTCCGCCGTCGCCCACACTGCCGCAACGCATCAGACAAGACACACAATGGCGATAGTCAAACCGCTTGTTTACCTTATAGTTGGTAGCACCCGTGTCGGGCGTGTGGGACCGACTATCGCGACCTGGGTCAAGGATACGGCTGAGTCCATTACCTCAGCTATCGACTTCAAGATCCTTGACCTTATGGACTTCGACCTTCCCCTGCATTCAATTGAACCCCATATCCCCATCACGGGAAAGTACACCCAGCCCGAGACCATCAGATGGAGCAATACGATCAAGAACGCGCAGGGCTACATCTTCATCACGCCCATATACAACGGCTCGTTTCCCGGCGTGCTCAAGCTCTACATCGACTACTTGAAAAAGGAGTGGGCAGGAAAGCCAACCGGAATCGTGTCCTACTCTCACAAAGGTGGTAGTCGTGCTGCGACCGCACTGGCGTCGGTCATGCAGGGTAGCTTGCAGGCGAAGGTCATTGATCCTCCCGTCTTGATGATGTTCGAGGACGCGGTTGACAAGGACAACATGGCGACCGAGATCGAGGGATTCAGCACCCGCCAGAAGGAACTGTTGAAGCTCATTGGGACGATGTGCAAGCACTTTGAGATTGAGCCGTCGACCAAATAGTCGTCGGATGAGTGCTAGTGTGGACTTTGTATAAGCCACGGATAGACTTTAGAATGTTTAGTAGCATGCATACTGTCGGGGCATTATAGTTAGAGATAATCATCGGTCTAAATATCAAAGTACGGATAAGTAGCTGCGATAACCAATCGCTATTCTCGCTGCGAATAGAATGACGTACACGCTGTTCTAGAAGCCTGAATACGGATCCGGAGTTAACTAAAACTCTATGAGCCAGCGCTTTGATCGGCGCCATCGATAGCCAGATCATTATCATCGCCTCCAACCACCTCGTCCAACCACCTGATAGAACACCTCCACCGCGTGCTAGTATTCCTTCCACTTCTTCAATCCTGGCTTCCCTACAGAACATGCGTCCGTGGTTCTTCCACAACGCGACCGCTCCTCTAGACGATCCCTCGGCTCCCTTGCCTCCTCCGTCCACTCCTGCTGCTTCGTCGATTCCGATCGAAAAAGAAACCTCGTGGACTCCATTTACTCCAGAAGACAATGAACGACTTGAGAACGCCTGGAAGTCGATCTACATCACCAAAGATCATGTAGACTCGAGCGACGCAACCGTCAAGAAGGACAAAGGTAAAGGCAAATCAAAGCAGAATGTCGTGAACGTGATTGTCGGCGCTGCCAGACTATATGCTGTTCAGTTCGTCCCTCCCGCGCAAGATAGCGAGGATCAGCACGCAGAGTCTTCTTTTAGTGAGAATGGACCTCAGAAGGCCGACAGCACAACTACCTCCGACACCACCGAAGCAACTTCTGCTTCCGCTCCAACTCAGCTCGACTATCAGAAAGTTCTAGGTCCGTGTAAGATGAAGATGGTTCCAGTTTATTGGCATGCTATGCATGATACAGCCCATGTAATCCGTGCGACCTGGTTCCATACAACGTCTTATCCACCAGTCCCGCTCCGTGATCGAAATCTACGCCCTCGCGATCACGAACACCGTTATGCCTCGCATCCGATAACCGATCTGGAAATGGCCGCAAGGCTGGAGCATGGCTTTCTTGAGATGCAGCCATGGTCTCCGTCATATATTGCCGAACTGAAAGCTGTACGAAAAACTGGTCGAGAAGCAGAGGAAAAGATCACGGTTCCGATCTCTGACGGATATTCAGTCGTGTACTGGCCGTTGCCGGTGGACACTGAACACGAGAACCGAAGATTTGCTGCCAACAGAACGGACGAGTATACGCGGTACATTCCCCACTACTTGGAATTATCCAACGCGATAGACAGTCACGACAACAAAAAAGAAGGCTATGCTGTTTTAATTCCAGAAACTATCATTGTCCGCACTTTTGCCGGGCGTCGGTCTGGAATTTCCAGAGGTATTGCGTGGGTCTTGGGCGCTATTTCTCGTCGTCCTGGCGGTATGGAGGTTCGAATGCCTGGTAAGGGTATCGAGGGTGTTGTTAAGCGTGGCTTTGATTATGATGACTGGATCCGCGGCGGCGGCAAGCATCCCCAGGGTCCTTGGAGCGCTGCAGATATCGATCATCTGGTACTTGTGATTCATGGTATCGGTCAGAAGCTGACTGAACGCGTTGAGACCTTCGACTTTACCTATGGTATCATATTACACTTTGCTTTACTTGAAATGAATGAGACGCTAACAGTCTGTACAGCAATCAATACCTTCCGAGTCCTCATGGCAAAGCAGCACGAAAGTATGTCTCTATCGCACCCTCCTCCTGCAGTTCTTCCTATCAATTGGCGGCGAAAGATCAATTTCGATTACGAGGACGTGACTTCGAAGGACAGCAGAGAACCCGGCCCGGTGCATAAGGCATACTCGTTAGCTGACATTACTCCGCCTACGATTCCTACCGTACGAAATATTATCTCGGATGTACTGCTCGACATTCCGTACTATCTGTCTCAACACAGACCGAGAGTCTTGCATGCAGCGACGGTAGAAGCAAATCGGATCTATCGGCTGTGGATGCGGAACAATCCAGGGTGGAAAGGCAAGGTCTCTATAATCGGGCACTCTTTGGGTTCTGTGATCGCCGTCGATATTTTGTCGCGCCAGCCTTCAATTCCTCCACCTCTATTCTCACAAGTCGAAACAGGAGATGAGAGAGCTGAAATTCAGCTCGAATTTCCTGTGCGCAATTTGTTTGTCGCAGGAAGTCCCGTTGGTTTCTTCTTGCTTTTGAACAAGGTCAATTTGATACCTCGCATCACTTCAACCGCTCGTCTGGTTAGCATCTCGCAGAATATACCACCGACTCTGGACGAATTTGGAAATGCTATGCCTCCTATCAGCGAACGGCCTGAAGATATTGGTACGAATAGAGATGGTGTTTATGGCTGCATTGCTGCCGAGAACATCTATAATGTCATCCACACCTCTGATCCGATTGCGTACCGACTGAACCCTTGCGTCGATCCAGAGTATGCAGAGACTATTGAGCAAGCCTTGCTGGCTTTACCGGCAAATCAGGAGGGGTTCTTCCAGCGCCTATTTACGCTCGATAAGAAGCCGGTCAAAGTACCTTTCAGAAAACGGATACGAAAGGTACGAAAAACTTTCACGGAGCGAGCGCGGAATTTCACTGGAAAGATTGCTGTTTCGGTGACCCGTGCGGTTAATCCAAATTTTCAAGCTGGTGAACAAATTGAGGAGAATAGGACCGCGGCGAGGCGACATAGGAATAACAACGAGGAAAGTCGAGGAATTCTCGAATCTAGCTCTGACGACGACTCTCTCGATTCTGATGAGAGCGATGATGACGACGATAGCACAATCGCAGGTGAAGGTGATCTAGAGGGCGATGAATCTGGCAAGTCGAGAGATAAGTCGGGATCGGCTAAGAGACCGCACTACAAGTCCAACTACTCATTCACAAGAGGTCCTACAGCTGGATCATCCACCTCCGGTGACGCAGAGCAGAAGAGACGACGCAATGCGCGATTTGAGCGGATAATCAAGACCAGGATGCATGCACTGAATGAAAACGGACAGATAGATTACATCATACATCCCACCGGTGCGCTAGAAAATCAGTACATTAGCATTTTGACTGCTCATTCAGGGTACTGGGAATCGAAGGAGTTTGCATATCTGGTGGCGGCGGAGTGTGGACGGAGTCCTGGCATCGAGTACACGTTGGCGGACTTCAAAGCAAAGATAAAGTCGTCTTAATTGTCTCTCTGCTTTTTATTCAATTGGTGTGGCTAAGATTTGCATTCTCCTACTAATAGCATATTTTTTTCATTTTTAATATTTGGGTTTTTTTCTTCGATACTGGAGCAATGATGAATTGATTGTTGCGGACTACGATGATTTTGTGAATAGCTTATATGAATGAGATATCTAGTTACTATCTAAATACGCCTAGCCAGCACGATGATATGCGACCACTGAATTTCAAGAACCTTGTTCTCCGTCCATCCCATAGTTTTCTTCAGCCGGTCAAACAAACGATCAACAATATCACCTCCTCCGCCCTGAACTCGCGAGACTTCTTTGTGCTGCTTGTTATAGTTATGGAAGCTACTCCAGGTGCGAACGTACTGCTCGTTCGCGGCAAGAGTCATTTTCTTTCCAATCAGATGTTTGTCGTTCGGGTACTTTCCTGGGATGTACTCGATCCTTTCGATGTCTTCGAAAATATCTTTGGGTACTTCGATATCACGGAAGAGATTGCGGAGTACTTGGCGGCCTGGTTCCCAGTATGGACCTATGATTGTAAAGTAAGGTCAGCCCCTCTGTATTAAGATCTGTGTCGAAAGCACTCACCCAGGTAATCCTTTCCGTAAGAGAACTCCTCGATTATCTTGTTTGCCTGCGGGGCCCCCATGTACTGATGATCAAGATATCCGAAAAAGGACAGGGTACCTCCAGGTCTGAGAGTCTTCGCGCACTCTTTAAACCACTTGTCGTGCTGAAACCAATGCGCAGCTTGCGATGCAACAATCATGTCCGCTGTTCCGGGATTTATGTAGCTCAGGTCCTCGGCGGCTGAGACTTTGAATTCGATGTTCTTGATCTCTTTCGCAGCTGCGTTTTTGGTCGCGACATCGATCATCCCCGCGGAAGGATCACTGCCGATAACGTGTGCAAAGAGCTTTGTAAACGGAATGCTGGCCGTGCCTGGACCGCACCCTTGGTCGACTAAAAGGTTCTTGGGACCTTTGTGGTAGTCGGTAAGGATAGAGTAGAGCTTTGGTGGGTAGCTCGGACGGAAGTCTGAGTACAGACTCGCGTTAAAGGTGGAGTCTGAGAAGGAAGTCATTGCGCAAATAGGAAGAGGCTAGGCTCTGCGATGTCAATTATACTCTGTGAAGTGCAAAAAGAGGTTCTCTCAAGCAGCAGCTAGCTAGTGGGGATATCGCACGGTATTTAAGGTAAGCAGGAGAAGATGACGGCATCAGCAGGGAAGCCACAGATTGGGATTTCCAAGCGACAATCGGTCTCCAGACCTGAGCCGCATGCGCGCTATGAACCTTTACCGGAAGCATAATTGACATCGCGGGGATTTGTGAGTAATAGTACTGGATGGTTGATAAGGAAGTACTGAGGAGGTGCTGGTGCGTCATGGGATCTACGAGTGTTTTCTACAGGAGAGGAGCGATTTGTAAATAAAAAAAAAGGTAGACACTAGCAATCAAATGCGGTTCAGAGATGATCCCTAGTGACAACCCGTTGATGATAATATTGATGAAAAGCAAAAACGAAACTGAAAAGACTTGGAAAAGGGTCCGACGAGGACTTGAAAAGCGTGATATACGCGCGGGAAAATCAAGCGACAGAGCCCAGTGAGTGATTCGCCTCCAGCTCTGCGCGATTAGGTGATTGTTTCTTTTTTTTTGGTTTTTGGCGGGATCAAAGATAACCCTATTTCACAGAGAAAAGAGAGGGTATTCCGAGCCAGTACATTGCAGAGGCCATTGGTTTTAACGTCCATAGGCGACCGTACAGCAGGGGAGATGGTGGTGCAGACAGACAGGGGGGTTACTTTTTGAGGCATATACCAACATGTGTTGCGATGAGATGACTTCAGCAAGGGCTTCTGGACAATGGGTATGAGACAGAAACGAGGAGGGGTAGACCACTTCTCTCATCGGATGTTGGGGTATTAGCCTGAACAGTAGTCGAAGTATAGGACTTTTCTGGTTCGTTCCAGGTTGGATGGATATGCTGCAGAAAGGGTGGACTAGAAAGTACAACAAGGGTTAGGCAGGAGTTGCAGAAAAAAGCTAACAAGGGTATATACATACTTCGGCCGCTATTATAGCGAAGCCTTGACCAGCGATTGAAAATCTTTATAAACAAAGCACGATCATAGGCAGTTAAAAACAGAAATCCGTAGGATGATCCGGTGCCTAGCTGGTCCTTAAGTTGCCGTTTGTCGATACGAGAGGCGAAGTTGTCGTAGACAGAGTCGAGGCCGTGAAATATCAGGGCGTCGTTGAGGCGGATGCGAGAGAGATCCACGTTAAAGACCGGGGATTGTTTCTCTTCGGGGATCAAGTCGTCGTCGTCGTGGGCGGCGAAGCAAGTGCTGGGCTGAAGGCGTCCGTAGCCTCTCTCGGTCGTCGGGTTGCCCGCAGAAGCAGAATCGAGCCGCGGTTGCGCGTATGTAGGGAGATGTCGGCAGCGACGGTGCATGTGGAACGCAGCAGCAGTATGCGATGCACTGGAGGGGCGTGTTCCCCTCTGGCCAATAACCATTGTTGAAAAAGCACGGGAAGGGTGGGTGTTGAAGTTCTTGAAGTAGTGAGAGGTGAGTAGGAAGAGGAGAAGAAGAGAAGAAGAAGAAGAAGAGTGGACTTTTTATATTTTCCATTTTCGCCTTGTTCGAACAAATGTTACTCGAAAGACGCGTTCTGAAATAGTCAACAAGGCTTTTGTCACGTGTGTTGGTCACAGTCACGTGACTGGCTACCGCTACAGTCAATACAGCGTTGTCTCCTATTAGTAGTGCTCATCCCTGTTCTCTTCTCCACCTCCTCCTCCACCCCCTCACCACCTCGCCACCTCAGTCAAACATCTGTTCGCCTTTGTTTACCGGAAATATCAGCATCAGCAGCTCTTTGTGTTTACAAGAACAACTCGTTTACTTCTATTTACCGAAGTATCGTCTGTGTGATATACGGGATTTTGTATTCTGTGTCTACCCATCTACAGACTCCTCTACATCGCTGAACTCCTTCTGATCATCCTCGGATCTGCCATCTCTCTTGTCTATCTCTGTGATAATCTCAAACTTGTGCTTTCTGTGTCTTTTGGCTTTTTGAGCGCTGTCTTTGAGCTGCAATCTTTCCTATTTGCCTCTGCTTGATTCCTACCTCTCTCAATCGCGTAATCATGAGTCGCCACTCTCCTGTCTACCGTAAGTATCTACACAGACTATCAATCCAGTCTTGTTCATGGTTTGTCAACAAGTGTACTAATGATTCATCTACTTCAGCTCCTCCAGCACGCTATAGATCCCCTCCTCCAGAGGGCGATCGTCGGGATCGCGATCGCGACCGTTCCTCTCATCCCGCTCCAGCCCACGACGGACCTCGTACCGTTATCCTCTCCAACCTTCCCCCAGATGAGCAGATCGATCTCGCTCTTCTGCATTCTTTAATACGCGGTGGCAAGATCGAATACTCACACTACGACCCACACCGCCGTACCTTCTTCGTGCACTTTATGTTCCCCAAAGATGCAGCTGCTTACATGGGCTGGGTTGCTAGTCAGGGTAGCATGTACATCAACGAGTACGAAATCTTCCTAGATCTCGTACACAGCCCAGCTCCTGTTCCTGGCATCTTCCTCAGCCAGAGCAATGTCTCACGGAAGCTGTATCTCGGTGGTATTCCGCCCGATATTCACGCTCGAAGACTCTGTACTATGTTTGAGCGGTACGGTGTCATTGAATACGTCAAGATCGTCTGGGAACGCAAGTGTGGATGGGTCTCGTTCTGTAGAATGGCGGATGCGTTTGATGCGCTGCGCTTCATCAGACAGGACGAGCCTGTCTTCCGTCGGTCGCGAGTCGAGTATGGTCGCGACGACTGTGATGGTGGAATGCAGGAAATCCTCGAAGGCGGCGGTGTTAGCATCAATGCCCGCAAAGACGTCGACATCACCATCGGCCGCTTCAAACATCTCGGACGACGAGAGTCTGCCGCTCCTCCTAATGTCACGATGGAAATCCCCGTGCGTGACCATGGAGCTCGGTCGCCTCAGCCGGCCCTTCTACCTCCGTCTGGATACAATTCGCGCAGTGAGATCAGAGCTTGAATGATATGAGTGATTTGATTTATATGATATATACATAGTAGTCTTTTATTGAAATATACTAGCATATTGTAATATTGTATCATACAATGTTTGCAGATCAATGAGATGCATAAAATCATAAACCCTTGTAAAAAAGCATTCGTTTCTCCATGCCATTTATCACCCGTCTATCTTCCCATTCTATAGACCAGTCATCCTCAACAATCAATATGAAACCCCACCCACCCATGCAAAAATACTCCCCTCACCTGAACCATGAAATATTACACGAGAAATCAACCCCCCACCATGAACAGAAAATACCCCACACCATTTACAATAGAAAGAAATCATATATCCCAAAAATTACTTGACCGCCGCATGCCATCGCGCAATTAGAATAACCATGAGAAATGAAAAAAAGTGAAAGAATATGAGAAAACAACTACAGCTGGAACCTGAAATCCAGTCTGCGATTACCCTTATCAGTAGTAGTAGCAGAGTAATCCTCTCTCTCCTCCGAAGTCATCATCGACCACATCATATCCCGTCTCAAGTTCTCGCGCTTGAACAGCCATCTGGTCGAGAGCGTGATCAAAACCACGAGGACCGAGACGCCGATCAAGAGAGAGTTACCGTTACGGTAGAACGGCGCGTCGCCGGCGCGGTAGACGTTCGAGGCCGAGATACTGCCGCACTGGACGCCGATGTTGTAGATTGCGATCGCGAGCGCGCGCTTGGATTGGTCGCCGACGTTGGCGGAGAGCCAAGACATGAGGACGGGGGTGTAGTACGGGAAACCGACGGTGAAGATGACGCAGAATACACGGAGGCCGTAGGGCGTGTCGTCGGGAAGAACGCGCTGGAGGATGAGGAAGGGGAGAACCCATGTCATGGCGGCGATGGGGATAGGCCAGCGCTTGCGGTACTTGTCGGACACAAAGGAGGCGACGAGCATTCCGGTCATGATTGTCATATTCGCAGGGATGACGAGGAGGTTTGCCTCAAATGTAGCGTAGCCGTAGCTGCGGAACATGATAGTCATGAACTGGTAGGATGCGACGGAAGGAAGGAAACCGAGCCAGGCGAGAAGGAAGAGCGGGATCAGATAGATGTCTGTGAGCGTGGTTATAATATCGCGAGGACCAAGGCTCTTCATCATGCTGACTCTGCTGCCATCTAGCGCCTTTGACTTTGACGGGTCGTCCAGGATAACACGTGCACGAAGGATGGCGGTCTCTCTGGCGGTGAACACTTTGGAGATGACTGGTTTTCTGAACGAGGGCATCATGAAAAAGGTCGAGATGCCGATCGACAAGGAAAGCAGACCTTCGAGGAAGAAAAGCCACTGCCAGTTATGCCACCCGTTGAGACCATCCATGTTGAAGATTCCGGAGGCCAAGAGCGCGGAAATCGAGTTTGTGATGTATTGCGTGGACCACAGCATTGCAAGCCGGGTCGCGACTTCGTGGGCTTTGTAGAACGAGGTCACGTAGAGAGCAATACCAGGGACAAATCCACCTTGGCAAGCGCCGAGAATGGCACGCGTAGCAAGGTAAGAGGCCTTGTTTGTGATGAAGGTCTGGAGGAAGCCTACGAGGGCCCATGTAGTCATCATAGTCTGTATCTATTAGCTCGTGTCGCGTTGATAATACCAAAGTATGAGATAGACACTCACAGGAATCCAAATGGTCGGTCCGACAATTGTGTTCATAATCTGTGTAGGGATTTCCATGACCAAGAACGAGAAAAAGTAAATAGTCTGGCCGAGGTTGTAGTCGTTTTGCTGCATTCCAAGGTCCATCAGGAAATCGGTCGTGAGCACGTTGACGATGTTGATTCTGTTGAGCTGTAAGCTGAGAAACATGACACACGCCCAGGTCATTATTCTCCAGTCGGCTTTGAAGCGGACTCGTCTGTCTTCTTCCTCGGTCCAGGACTCACTGTTATCGGCATGTTAGATGGGAGCTGTAGTGTTGAGAGTATAGGATGTGCACTTACGTTCCGCCTTCTAACAGGTCCGCCAGTTCTCCGTACTCAGCGTAGACATCACTTTCGTCGTCTATGAGTTCCTCGGTCTCTTCGCTGACTGACTTTGTTGTCGAAATGGAGCCATAGTCTATATATAGCGTTAACTTGCCGAACAGGTAAACACGACAAGTACAGATATATGCTGCATACCCATAGCCTCAACCGCTCTCCTCGCTTCGGTAGTAGCCAACGCCGCCTTCTCGTCTTCAGCTGATAATGACATTCTGAATGCTATGAGTTGTATTGCTGTATATATATGCAGGCTGTCTTCGTGGCGAATGCTGCTGATGCCCCGAGCTGAAAGGCGATAGCGGTAAGATCAGGTACTCTCCTCGACCGAGCTGCAGATATATTCCCAGCAAGTGACGGTGTCTATTTGCAACAGCTACCCAGCAACTGCACGTATACCAAGCGTCTGTTATGAGTCCAGAGAAGTGCAGGAATGTCTGTCTACAGTCCGGCCTTGGTGATGCGCGCGGGCCCCTGGTCTTCCTCGGTGGCTCACCCAGCCCGCCCGCGCCCTCCGGCACCGATAAGCTGCTGCTGCTATCGTCACGTGACACGATTAGATCATGTGGGGATCTGCGCTTATGAGGGCTGTCTCTTGTGATTTGAAGATACTTGGGGTTGATTAAAGATATCTACTGTGTTGGCATATAGAAGGCGGAATAAAGATTCTTCGAGACTGTGGTTGTAATGGCGAGGCATGATTTTGCGGGCACTTTGCTGGCGGAGTTTGCTGACGCAAATCTGGTGATGTGAGGATTGATGAGGCACTACAACGAGTCGGAAGGAAGACGTAGAGGTGTCTGGTGGTTATTATGATCTGAAAGTAAAGTATAGCAATGTATTATCTTGCAGCTGGAACGGAGAATATAAACAGATAGATGGCATAGATAACAAAATTAGAGACTGTTTGTCAGGCTCTGTGACGATCCAAAAACAGGTATGACAATCTACAATTCCTTCTTGTTGAAGTCTTTGTAAGCCTCTTTACCCTTCTCAAAGACGTAGTCGACAGCGTGCTCGACTGGTTCGTCAAAGAGGTACGGGAGCAAGGGAACGACTGCCAAGCCCAAGCCGACCGGTCCCCAGGTTCTGATTTTTGGATTCTTGACGTTCTTCATGGCCGCGCTACTGTATCTGACAGTCTATAAGAGCAAGAAAAAGAATGGGTTAGTTCCGATGTTGTATACTTGAACATAGGATGGGAATCATAGGTGATGACGTACAGAGTGGATGGTGAAGGCCGGGAGACCCATACTAGCAATGCTCTGGAAGACACCGCGCTGGACGGTTGTCAGAACCCAGTTGGGTTTTTCAACAGTTGGCGCTTCACCCTTCGATGCTGCTGTAAGCCAGTCTTGCTGTTTGAGGTAAGTCTAGAAAGCAGTCAGCGACGTGAAGACGAAGTGGATGTGATCATCGGGAGAAGCATGTGAGTAAGTGTACCTTGTATCCCTCGTAGGAGACATCTCCAAGAACGTACGCCCAACTGATTCCGTAGCAGGCACGGACAACGGTGGGGTTCACGATCGGTCTGAAGGATTCACCGATGTCGGAGGTGTAGGCGACGTATCGCTGGGTTGCCATCACGATCTGGATCTCAGGTCAGCAAACGACGGAATACTAATTCACTACGGTAAGAAACTCATACCGTCTATAGAATAAAATAAACACAGTCAGCATCATTTCAAATATCAATTATCCTCATAAATAGGACTCACTCGAAGTCGGTTGGCGTAGGCAGCATATCGCAGGTTTGTGTCGGTACTCTGCGGAGCCTCTCCCTCCTTGATCTCGTGCGCAACTTCCTCCACTCTGTCCTCCACTTGCTGTTCAAATCCCTTTGCCATTATTCTATCGATTGCACCAAATTCCGAGGCAGATAGCAGTTGTCGTGAAAGTACGGGTGGTTGCTGTAGTAGTCGGGGGAAAGAAGGTGAAGGTCTGGGGAGCGCCGAATGTAGCTGATTCTTTAAACTTTGTGTTGTATTAAGGGCTTCGTGTAGGTTTAATACTTCGGTGTCTTCTGTCTGCGTCTCTTCCGGCCCCGACTCGGCGCGGGTTTTTTGATCCCGGCGGTGGGCTGAACAGAAACTGACTGCTTTTCTTGTTATTTTCTGCTTTCAGGCCGAGAGAAGGACTGTCGCGGGAGGAAGTCGACGTCTGGTGAATACCATTGGGTTAGGGTGATCTGTACTACGTCAGATTTTCTGTTATTAAAGCAGCAGCAGCAGCAGCAGCAGCAACAGAGACCAAATCGCAGAGGAGTTCGACGATGAGCTCGCCAGAATCCGATACGACGTAAGCTGCTATTTTGATTACAGGTTGTGAGTAGATTGCGTGGCTGGTTTAGAGCTGACTGTGTTGTATTGGTCTTCTAGGGCCGCGTATAGTTGCCGGTGTGCGCAGTTTGTGGTTGCGGTGGCGCCTTCTGTTGGACATCTTCCCCGTCGGCAGGCAGATCTATCGGGATTGGAGAGCATCATTGTCGCAAAGGACAAGTGTGAGTTGGTAATAAAGGGAGACAGGGATGCGTATTCCACGAATCTGAAGAGGTAGGTAGTGTTGTGTTCTATGTGTTTGACGGTGAGATATCAAGGCTTGAGTGCGGTGCTGACGTTTCTATTCTTTTGCTTTTGTCCTTTAGGGAAGATGGAACTGAAGAGCAGTGGTTTATTTACAGATGCCCGCGATGCAACTTGCCGTTTGCGTATGATCTGGCCAAGAGTGATGCGCCGTATACGTATCTGCTAGAGTCTGCGTTGAACAAGATCAGCTAGGGATGTGTCGAGGTCGAGCAATACCAGAAGATACGGTGCTCAACAATGCCAGATAGACGATGTCGAGAGTGGTCTTGATAACGAGTAAATGCATGATGCAATGTGATGAGGTGACAGATATGAGATGGCAAAGTTCTAGAGGCGGGCGGCGAGAAAGACACATCGATGAACTACACCGGATCTGTATACAACAACTAATGTATTATCATCAATAAATGTACAATAGACCAATAAATCAATCATAATGAACAACTACAAAGACCAATCAGCAATAATCAATTGGACTTTAATCCATCAGAGCAAAGATCAGCTGCGGCTCATTTTTATTCCACACATTTTGGGATCCTTCGACTTAATTTTTTTCTTTTCTTCCTCACCTTCTTCAATCGCTATTTCTCATCTCTTTTCTCTCTTATCTCTCTCTATTTCGCTCTATCAACCTTAATAACCTTCTCAAAATGGTCGAAAAGCTCTTCATCTCCTACGAGTACGTCCACAAACTGTGCCAGCGCTCCGCCCCCATCATCAAGTCCAAGTTCAAGCCCGACCTCATGGTCGCCATCGGCGGCGGTGGCTTCATTCCTGCCCGTATCCTTCGCACCTTCCTCAAGGAACCCGGCTCCAAAAACATCCCTATCCAGGCCATCGGTCTCACTCTCTACGAAGAGATCGGTGTCGTCGAGAAGACCGACGCGGAGAAAGCCGAGCAGGCGGCGGCAGAGGCCGAGGAGGTCAAGCGCGAAGCTGAAGGTGTGCCCGAGGCCGAGGAAGTCGGCGTAGAGGTCATCAGAACGCAGTGGCTCGACTTCAACACCCTCGAGACTCATGCACTCAACCTCATCGGCAAGAACATCCTCGTGGTTGACGAGGTCGACGACACCCGCACCACCCTGCACTACGCTATCACAGAGCTGATGAAGGACGTTAAGATCCAGGCGCAGAAGCTCGGTCGTGAGGATGAGGTCACAAACTTCTTTGTTTTTGTCTTGCACAACAAGGATAAGCCCAAGCGTGCTCATCTGCCCAAGGAGCTCATGGACAAGGGCCACTATCTCGCCGCAGAGACCGTCGAGGACATCTGGATTGCTTATCCTTGGGAGGCCACCGACATCGATCTGCAGACCAAGTATGCCGCCGAGCAGGGCAACATATAATCAATTGAGGGTGTAGAGGTGTTTTTGTTATCTGCCCTATGTTGATTGAGTTGTTGCTTGGTTTTTTACTGTTATCGGATCTAGTTTGTCGTGCGTCTAATAGTGTGTTTATGAATGATATTTTGATTAATTACTGCCGCCTTTTCGTTATCCGCCAGCCAGCAAAGCGGGCAGCTCTATAGATACTGTCATTCGCTTTTGTTTTTATTTGTTCTATGTTTACTTTTTGTCTAATATCTTGTTTCCGCGTTGTGCATGGTTGTTTCGATTGAGGTAGAGTTGTCTAGGAGATAATTACATGTCTTGCCCGACTTCCAAATATCTGTGCAAACTACCCACTTTTTAACAACAACGAACAGATCTATCCTATCGACAGTAAACAGGTTTCTCTCAATGTTTGATAATTGAACATGTAAACACGGACGCAGGCGGCGGAGATAAGAAAAAGAAATGGTTGCTGGCTGCCAACGACTAACTCGCTTTAGGTTCTCGGACCAACCGCTCGACCATCTCCCACTTATCTTCCCATCCTTTCCCGATTGCTCCGTGTTTTCAATTGCCGCTCAGAAACATATCAATCAATTGAACAGAGTCAATTCAGCTGATATCAATTCACAATGGCTTGCCGTGTTATCTTGGGTGAGTTTCCTTGCTGCTTCGTCTCAATCGGCAAGATCTGACACTGTACAGGAATGATGACCTTTGGTCCCCCCTCCTCTGTCACTGCGCGCATCACCACAATCGAGGCTACGAAAGAGATTTTCAGCTACCTCAAGCAGAAGGGGTACAATGAGATCGACACCGCCCGCGTGTACACCGATGGTCTCCAGGAGGCTTTCTCCGCCGAGGCCGGCTACAAGACCGAGTTTGGCTTCGACACCGCGACCAAGATGTATCCCAACAACGGAGGCGAGCACTCTGCCGCCAATCTGCCGACCTACGTCAACAAGAGTCTGAGCGAGCTCAAGACCGACTGCGTCGAGATCTTCTACCTGCATGCTGCCGATCGTACCGTGCCGTTGCTCGAGACGCTGCAGACCACCGATAAGCTCTACAAAGAAGGCAAGTTCAAGATGCTCGGAATCTCAAACTACACCGCGTACGAAGTTGCCGAGATTATGACTCTTTGCAAGGTCTACAACCTCGTGCGTCCCAAGATCTACCAAGGTCGTTATAACTGCGTCACGCGCGATGTCGAGGAAGAACTCTTCCCGGCTCTGAGACACTACGGTCTTGATTTCGTGTGCTACAACCCCATTGCTGGCGGCCTTTTGTCTGGAAAGTACAACAAGGCTGTCGATGTTCCCTCAGAGGGACGTTTTTCGTCCAACAGACAGGGAAGCCTCTATCGTACTCGCTACTTCAGAGACGTCTACTGGGATGCTTTGGACATGATCCAGCCCGTGGCCGAGAAGCACAACCTGACTGTTTTCGAGGTCGCCCTGCGCTGGATGGTTCACCATTCTGCTCTCAAGCTCGGTCCTGCCAAGGGACAGACCGGCGATGGTATCATCATCGGCGTGAGCTCGCTCGAGCAGTTGAAGTCGAACCTGGCGGCTATCGAGTCTGGGCCCTTGCCGGATGAGGTTGTCGCAGTTCTGGATAAGGCTGCTAAGCATGTCAGATCTGACTCGCCGCATTACTGGCATGGAGAACTGAACTACTCGTATAAGTGGGAATAGAGAGATTATTGGGTTGCTGAGGTCGCTGGCGATGGTGTTTGCTGATGTTGACGTGAAAAGCGGCTGGTCCTCTGTTATTTGAGTTGAATGAGATCTATTTAAAACTGTCATTATCTTTTCTATCAATACAGTAAACAATCCTAAGAAATGGATATCGGAGCACTGAACATAGAAAAACAGTATTGTAGCCATTTGATATCACGTGACCAACCCCAGCCCCGAACCCAACTGGCGACGCGCGAAAAGTTTTTGTCTGCAAACTTGTCGATATCAAATTCAACAATTGTTCGTTCGTTGAATAGGAGCAGAATCAAGAGCAAGAAGAAAAAATGTCGACAGAGAACAAGTTTGATCTGATTCCGCGGATTCTCCCGTACCTGGACCGTCTGCTGATTTTCGCTCTGCTCGAGCACATCTCCGAGCAGAAGCTGTACAGCGAGGATGTGCTCCTGCAGGCCAAGTTCGATCTGATGAAGGACACAAATATGACCGATTATGTTGTTAGTCTTAACAAGCAGATCAACGGTGAGAATGCTGAGGTTCCTGAGTACGCGGAGCGACGGGAGAAGGTGCTGGAGAAGCTCGCTGAGTTTGAGAAGGAGTCTGCTCCCGTTATGGAGGTGCTGAAGAACCCTGAAGTTGTTGCGGCCATGAGACCAGACCGGGCGCAGAACATCGCTTTCTTGAAGGAGAACTACAATGTGAGTTGATGTTTTATGAATTGTTGTTGCATGTTGAGCACAGAGACTGACAGCCTGCAGATTACACCCGAGATGCTTGAGGTCCTCTACCACTACGGTCAATTCCAGTACAACTGCGGCAAGTACGCTGAGGCCGCCGTCCTGCTATTCCACTACCGGTCTCTTTCCGGAAACGCCGATCTCGTCATGTCAGCCACCTGGGGAAAGCTCGCCTGCGAGATCATGACTCTGCAGTGGGACAACGCGGCCGAGGAGCTTCTCAAGCTGCGCGAGCAGATTGACGCAAAGGCTTTCACAGACCCGCTCGTTCAACTTAATCACCGCGCGTGGCTTTTGCACTGGGCCCTTTTCTTCTTTTTCAATGCCGATGCCGGTCGTGAGAAGCTTACCGAGCTCTTCCTTGCGCCAGCTTACATCAATGCCATCCAGACCGCGACCCCTTGGATCCTGCGCTACGTGACCGTCGCTGTTCTGGCCTCGCGTGCTGCGCGCAAGACTGCCGGTGGAGCGAGCCGGGCAGCTTCGTATGCTACCTACCAGAAGCAGATCCGTGAGCTTGTTCGTGTGATTAGACAAGAGCGATACGAGTATTCCGATCCCGTCACTGAGTTTGTGTACGCGCTTTACGTTGACTTTGACTTTGAGGAGGCGCAGACCAAGCTCGCTGAGTCGGCTGCCGTCGTCCGCGCTGATCCGTTCCTCGTTGGTTCCGCCGATGTCTTCCTCGAGAGTGCGCGCCACCTCGTCTCTGAGCTGTACTGCCAGATCCACCAGCGCATCGACATCAAGGATCTGAGCGCGCGTCTGAACCTGTCGGACGAGGAGGGTGAGAAGTGGATCGTCAACTTGATCCGCGACACGCGTGTTGACGCAAAGATCGATTTCGCAGAAGGAACCGTGCTTATGAACCACCCGCCGCAGAGCGTGTACCAGCAGGTGATTGAGCGGACGAAGGGACTGAGCTTCCGAACAAGCCAGGTGCTTGCACAGATGTTGACCGCGCGGAGTGCGACGAACGCTGCTGCTGTTGTTGGCGAGGCTGAGGCATAAAAACTGTTCTTGTTTTTTTCTTCACGTTGTTTCTCTATCATGTTGAATGTAATTTAGCGCGCGAGTGTTCTTTTCTTTGTTTGTAAATGGGACATCTATCTTTTTTTTCTTGTTTATCATCACACAGCAGTCATTCAAGTCATATCTGCAGCCAAAAGCTACTCCTACGAAATAAACAAATTCTCTACTATAGGAAGGAAGTGTGAAAAGACGGTTAACTATTGAAGTCGTTTCTGAAAATGCTTACATCTTATTAAATCATTAGTCATCCATTGTGACTCTCTGCTTACTCCGAGTGGCTATTGCAGATGAGCTACACTTATACACTAGATACTCTACAATTCTTTCTCTACTCTACAATTATTTGCTTCGACTTGCGATATTTAGAGCATGAACGACCAAAACTCGCCATTCCCGCTCACAGAAGAGAATCTGCAGGCGCTCTTGCGCGCGATATCGGACTCGTCACTCTCAGACTCGCCGACGGCTGCAGCAGCGGCATCCTCCGTATACGCCTCTCCCTCGCATTCACTTCCACACACTCCTCTGAACCACGTGGTCTATGGCACGCCGCCGTATGCTTCTTCACCGCTTGCACAGCGGAGTAGGAAGGTAGTGGAGGACGTGGACGACACGGACGACACGGATGTCGAGACGGCATCGTTGACGACGGTTACGGACATTGCTGCCCCGGAGGGAGTGAGACAGGTTGCGAGAGTAGCGAGCACGGTTGTGTCGACACCACAGGGATCGGTCGTGAACTTTAGGACGAGACAGGCTGCGGCACGGATTAGGACCGATGGTCGCAGACCTGTGCAGGGAACGAGGCATCGGAGGCGACTTGAGAACGGTATGGTTCGCTGTGTTATGCAATTCGAACGAGACGTGTATGGAATTGAGTGCTAATGACGCTACCTAGCCCGAATGCTGTATAATCCACATGCGGTCCCACCGACTCCTCAAGACTACCTTCCCCAGCCGATGTATGCGATCCGCAGGATAGACCGCGACCTGGCGTCATACCTTGCGTCACGCACGCCCATCACCGAGTCATTTCTGACCGAGCTCTCGGCAGCTGAAGAGTTGAGGCTACAGAAGATTGCGGATAAGGCGGCGTTAGAGCCGAGGATTCCAAAAACACTGAAGGAGAGGGTCAAGAAAGGTCATTTGACACAGCCGTTTCTGAAAGGGTTGGAGGAAGATATTCGGGAATTTGTGTTTTCGGTTCATTCCCCAGAGGGAGAAAAGGATGCAGAGTATTCTGTCGATGAGCGCGAGCTGTTTGCAAAAGCTGCCATTGCTCGCAGAGATGGTTTGAGCTACGACGAGAGCAGCAGCACGAAACCTGTAAAGTCCGAAAATCGCGATCCGAAGAAAAAGCATAAGGAGCCGAAGGAGCAGTATCTATTAGAGAAGGAGATCGAGATAGAGCCTGACAGCGAAAAGGCGGAATCATTCTCTCGGTGGATAGTTTATCAGATTGCGGATTACTACCGGCTGAGTTGCTACAGTACGAGCACCCTTCATTCTCTGTTGTTTTGATTGATTTTATGAGAAGCTAGCTAACATATCTAAACGCGTTTAGCTAAAATTGTGGACGATAGACGGATACCATGCGTTGTGTTGAACGTTGAGCAGAGTAGCATGTTTTTGGAGATGCCTCGAGCTATTTGGACATTTGTTTAGAACCTTTTTGTTCACTCCTTTTTTTTCTTTTTTTTCTTTTCTTAGATGTAGATATAAATAATCATTCTTTATGTCTATTATCATATTCGGCGTTACCTTTATAGAATATAAATGAAATCAAGCGGTATTTTCAATCTATTGAGTCAGTCGGGATGTCATGGATTAAGATTTTCAATTTTGCTTTTCAGGGTTTTTTTTCCAACTCACATGTCCTTGCAAGACCAAACAACTGAAGCAGTTATTCATCGCTTGCAACGGCTTGGTAGGTCTGAAAAACTTTTATAACCAAGAGTTCAGGTTATATTGTTGATTTTACACAAAGCAATGGCGAATCTCCGGAATCCCGCGTCATTCCGCCCGATAGATCAACAAGATCAGGCGTTCGCCAATGATTTGAGCGAGAGCTTCACTCTACATCTTCCTCCGAGCTCCTCCGCACGGCAGCTAGTGGCAGGAAGCATACCGATAAACAGCGGGGGATCTGAAGAGGGACTGGGTGCTAGCAGCTGGGGAGGGTCTGGTGATGTCGAGGACGTGGTTTGTCCTTCGTGTGGGCAGAGTACGTTGATGAAGTGTATGGTTGATGAAGGACGTGCGATTCGTATGTGCGTGGACACAAATGTCAGTTCGATTCTAAGATATCTCTCATTTTTGTTTAATTTTATGGGAAAGACTAACTTGTTCCTATGTGTTATAGTGCACGTATCCGTTCATGGACAAAGAAGGACTTGCAAATCACATACTTCCAATGACGCAGAAAGAAGTTCTCGAGACGGCCCGGAAGCGAATGGTTGAGGTTGGTATTGGAGCTAATACTGCTACCAGGATTGCAAATACACCACAGAGGAGTGGTAGTGGTAGTGGTAGTAGTTGATTACCTGCACTGCATCACGAGAGCGGTGAGATGTTGAGAAGTTTGAAAACGAGGACATTGATTGGCGGAATCATGAGCAGCATGAGAAGCATGAGCAGCAGAAGCATAGATATTAGCTGCGAGGAAGGTCTACGACTACTGGTTCGCTGATCACGATTTATGAGCATTGCATTTGGTTTATTGGTATGTCTGCGTTCGGTTTCGCTTTGTTTTGATTTATATCAGGGGTATTGGACAGTACGGTGTCCGGCAGACATATAGAATGCACAGAGAGAAATGTACGAATATGAGTATAGTATAGTGTAAGATATGAGATCAACAGAGAAGAATGAAGGAACAAAAACAGGAGAAAGAAAGAGATGTTTACATTTGCTGAACAGAGTAAAGGTGCGGCTGTAGGTTGTGATCCAAATGTGGGCGAGTTTATTATAGTCCTGAGCCCAACACTAAACTAAAAACCCAGACTTCGACCCTCACGTGAGACCAGGAAACAGCGCAGCCGCGTCTCCGGGTTTAGTCGGCAGTTGATGAGCTCCGGTCGATTCCTTTGATATCCTGCATTTCCCAAGAGCTGCCCATTGATGGCTCTTCGCTGATCTCGAACGGAACCTGAAGTACTTGTTTGACGGAATCTCGGGTGTCGTGGTAGCGAGTTCTTGCTTGGGTGCTCGCGGTATAAATATTCAATCACTATCAATCACTGCGTACTAGCAGCATTACAAATATGAGCGACGCCAAGTTCTTCGCCAAAGTACGTTTATTTGCCTCAACCATCTCTTTTTGATCTCGATATGGGAATCCTACCGGACAATCGCTGATGCGTATAACTTTCACAGGGAAAAGCCGCCGAGCTCCGGGTCGAGCTCAAATCCGACAAAAAGGACAAGAACTTTGCGAGGCGCAAGACGACTCTCAAACGAATTGTTGCCAATATGACGATGAACAATAATGAAATGATTCAGCTGTTTCCTGACATTTTGGAGTGCATGAACGTCGACAGTTTAGAGATTAAGAAAATGTGCGCACTCCTCTCTCAACCCCCTTTTCTCCTCAGTGATCTAACAAGTTATTGTCTCTAGGTGCTTTCTGTATCTGATAAACTACGCCAGGGTCAAACCAGATCTTGCAAACAAAGCTCTTTCAACACTCCTTTCTGACATCAACGACCGATCGCCCCTAATCCGAGCTCTCGCGCTTCGCACCATGTCCTGCGTTCCGCTCGGAACATACGCGCGAGCCATTGTCGAGCCCCTACAGGATCTCCTGCGCGACTCAGATCCATATGTCAGAAAGACTGCTGCGTTTGGCGTGGCAAAGCTATGGGCGGCCGATCCGAATCTGGTAGAGAAGTCGGGCCTCATCGAGAGCGTAAATCAGCTGCTTGTAGACAGCAATCCTACCGTTGTGTCTGCAGGTTTAGCAGCCCTGTCCGACATTACTGATAAGTCTGATGGAATGAAACTGGCGATTGGATATCAAGATGCGAGCAAACTCATCAAGATTCTACCCGACTGCAACGAATGGTCCCAAACCTACATCCTAACAGCTCTGATGTCTTATACTCCGCAAGATACCGCCGAGGCGCTCTTGATGGCCGAGCGATTATCTCCTCGACTCGCACACTCCAATGCATCTGTGATCCTCGGAACCATTCGGGTTATGATCTATCTGACAAACTACATCAGCGACGATTCTGCCGTCGACATGCTTGTCCGAAGATTTGGCCCTCCCTTGGTCACCTTACTATCGAAGCCCTACGAGATCCAGTACGTCGCGCTCAGGAACTGTTTCTTGATATTGCAGCAGTACCCATACATTCTTCAGAACAACATTAAAGTGTTTTTCTGCAAGTACAACGACCCGATTTATATCAAAGTCTCCAAGCTCGAAATCATCTTCCTGCTCGCTTCGGAGGAGAACATGCCTGAGATCCTGCGTGAGCTGAGGGAGTACGCTTCTGAGATTGACGTTCAGTTTGTCCGCAAGGCTGTGCGTGCGATTGGAAAGCTGGCGATCAAGATCAAGGGCTCCGCGCGTGCTTGCATCGATACTCTGCTAGACCTTGTCGCTACGCGCGTATCATACATCGTGCAGGAGGCGACGATCGTCATCAAGAATATTTTCCGGAAATACCCCAACAAGTACGAGTCGATCATCACCGTCTTATGCAAGAATTTGGATTCCCTCGATGAGCCAGAAGCGAAGGCGGCGATGATTTGGATCATTGGTCAGTACGCAGACCGAATCGAGAACTCTGACGAGATCTTGGACGATTTCCTGTTCACGTTCAAAGAAGAGACTATCGAGGTGCAACTCGCTCTTTTGACTGCAACAGTCAAGCTATTTGTGCAGCGGCCAGCCAAAGGTCAAGAGCTTGTGCTCCAGGTTCTGAAATGGGCCACGGAGGAGACCGACAACCCGGACCTACGCGACCGTGGGTACATGTATTGGCGACTACTGTCTTCATCATCTGGCAACGCCGACCTCACGCGCCAGATCGTGATGGGCGAAAAGCCTGCGGTGACTGTTGAAAGCGACAAGCTAGATGACAAGACTTTGGAAGAGTTGACGCTCAACATCGGATCTCTTGCATCGATCTATATGCGCCCGGTCAACCAGATCTTCAAAGGCACCAAGGCCAAGCAGCTCGAGCAGTCGCCTGCGTTACGGCGGGCGTTTTCGGACGGTCCGGTGATGACTCAGCAGATGAATGTCACGAGCTCGGCGGCGGAAGATGGTGAGGATGATTTTGCGGATACAGGGTATAGAGGGCCGGATGTGTTTGCCGCACGGGGAGATCTGTTGTCTGAGGCATGAGAGAGATGCGAGAATTCGATATTATTACATGTACATGATGTATATTTTAAACCCCGATATGTATGACTAAATGAGAAATAGCATTATGAATGACTTTAAGTAATGACGAAAGGCTGGTCGTGGCTTCCACTCTCAATCTTACGCGGTTCCTCTTCCTCTACCTTGACAGTGAATAAATCAGCAGGATCCCTACTTATTTCGCGGGCACCCAAAATCTCTAGATCCTTTGCGAGCGCTACGGTTTCAGTGACTGGCGCGATTGTCTCGATCCTATTACTTCCCGGTGGCAGATTTCCTTCCGGACCCTCCGGCACGGTCGCAGGGTCTACCGAGCCCGGTCTCAGCATCTCTTTCAAGATCACGATCGCGCCGACTTTCGACAGCACGGCATTTGACTCTGCGCAGTTCGTGGTGACGATACACTCCGGGCATCCAAAGTCGCATCCGCAGCTTTCCATGCGCTCGATAGCCATAGCGATGACGTCCTCGATGAACTCAAAGACCTTGCGCGAAAGCCCGGTCCCATTGATTTCAGACCCGGAAAGGGTGGAGTGCTGGTTTGCGCGCCAGCTCTTGACGGCGCTGTGGGCGTCGTAGAAGGTAAGTCTAGCGGGCCGTTTGCGCTGCGTGTCTCTGGTTGAGAATTCCTTCTCTGGAGCTTTGCATTCCGCGTGTAAATCGTTCTGCGTGGCCATCACAACCACGCTGGCGGAGCTCATGCCGATGATGATGTGCTCGGCCGCGTGGATTGCGCCGGCGAGGTGAAGTTGTTTGGCATGAATGATTTCCTGCGCGCGGCGGGGGACGTCGATCCAGAACCCTTTTGTGTATTTCTCGACAGGGGGAGTGGTGGAGACATCGACTGCGTCAATGATGCGGTTGTGCGAATCAACTTTGAAGTATCCGAATACGATGGAGGTGACCTTCACGTTTCCGTAAAATGCGTAGTTGACCTGCTGTGAATGGGTGATTGTAGTAGCGGGCGTGGGGTCGAATATTTGGGTGGTGGTAGTAGTTGCGGTCGACGAGATTGGTTTGATTGCGTGCGTTTCGATCGCGTCGACGTCTGTGTAATCGCGTTGGGATGTGGTCCAGTCCACGAACGTGCGCTCGATCTTTGCGATTCGTTCGTCTGCGTTGAAGTCGCGCACGATATACGGCTTTCCTTGGTGGATATAAATCGCGCCTAAATCAGCGTCAGCAGCTTTTCTACTTATTGCAAATAACAAAAATTAAAAGAAGGGTACCTTCGTAGATGGTGAACGTAATCCTCGAGGCCTCAATTTCCTCAACAACGACATTACGACCGTTTGTGATATCGACTACCGCATAGACCTCATCCTCGATATCTCTGATGGCGACGTCCTTTGCAGGCCACGGTAGAAAGCGCGGGTGACAATCATAGAGCTCCGGGTCGGACTCTTTCAGTTTTTCTCGCTTCTTTAGCCGTGTACTGGCCAGCTCTGCTATACGCGGTCCAAAGTACTGTTCGTCTTCCGAGATCGAGATCGGGATCTCGAACGCAGCACACTGCAAATGTGATTCGAGTAGTAATTGGTTGTCGATATCGAGCACAACTTCTGCGTTTGGCTTGTCAAACAGCTCAGAAGGGTGGATCATGTAGTGCTGATCGACAGGCGACGATCCTCCGACCAGGAGCGTGAGTGAGTCTTGGTTCCGTCGACCGGCGCGACCGCTTTGTTGGCGGAGATTCGCAATCGAAAACGGGAAGCCGAGGATGATCACTGCGTCAAGACTGCCAATGTCGACGCCCAATTCTAGTGCGTTGGTGGCGATTATACCGAGTAATCTGCTTTCAAACATGTCTTTTTCGATACGGCGACGCTCGGCAGCCGTATACCCTCCCCGATAGCTGGCAACGCGATCGCACATCTCGGAACGCGAGAGCGATTCGAGAACCTGTCGAACGGCTTTCATCATCATCTCGCACTGCGTTCGCACTTTACAAAACGCGATCGTGCGCACGCCGCGGAGCACGAGCTGGACAAACAGCCGCGCGGCTTCGTTGATTTCGCTGCGGCGACCGGATGATTTGTCCTCTGGGACCTTGAACGGCGTGTTCCACGAAAGAAAGTGTTTCTCGCCTGCGGGTGACCCGTCGTTTGAAATCACGGTGACAGAATCTTGGGAGATACCGAATACTTTCGCCATATGGTTTGCAGGATTCCCGATGGTCGCCGAGCAGCTTATGAACTGCACCGATTCGTTTCCAAGAAACGCACAGATCCGACGTAAACGGCGCATGACGAACGCGACGTTCGATCCGAACACGCCGTCGTAAACGTGTAGCTCATCCACAACCACGAACCGCAGCGCGCGGAAAAACTCGCGCCAGCTGGGACTGTTTACAGCCGAGGGCAGGATTGTGACATGGAGCATGTCCGGGTTCGTGAACAAAACAGACGCAGACTCGCGAATTCGGACACGTTCCTCCTTGGGTGTGTCTCCGTCGAATGTCTCGGCGACTACATCGGAGAGATTTGGAATCAGGCTCAGGATCGACTGCAGGGCGCGTTTCTGGTCTTGTGCGAGCGCCTTGGTGGGGAAGATGTAGATTGCTGTAGCGCGGTGATCAGACTCGAGAGCGGTCAGGACTGGAACTTGGTAGATTAGTGATTTTCCGGACGAAGTGGCGGTAGCAACGATGACGTTTTTGTGATCATGTAGTGCGTTTAGGGCGTCGGCTTGGTGGGTGAAGAACGAGGTGATTCGGCTTGAGGTGTAGAGAGCGTCGGCTAGTTGCTGGGATATTGAGAAATTCAGAGTCCCTTTAAGCTCGTTCAGTCAGTGGAGTCATTAACACAATAGCAGGAAGAATCGTACCAAACTCAGCCTTTTGAGCGGGAAGCACACGGCATCCTTCATCAACCAGCTGTCCGCAATATCCTTCGTCGGCAGTCAACTGGCTGACGATCGTAGGTATCGGGTCTCTCTTCGAAGGAACATACTCTGGGATACTAGTCTGCAACCTTCGCTCATGATCCTGCCTTTCAGGTGCCGGCTCGACAGGGATATACCGTTTCAGTCTATCCTTGAACTCCAACTCGGGATCGACAGCTTTCTCAACGCATGAGTTCAGATACTTTGCGAGCACGGTCGTGAACCGATTGTTGCGCTTGGTGATCAGCTTCGTCATGGTCGCAGTCGAAAACGTAGGCATGCGGATCGCGTCTGGACCCTTGAGTTCGCGGCTCTTGACCCCGCCGTCGGCAGTTGACTTCTTCATGGTTTCCACAAACTCGAATATCAAAGCGTATTTCTTCCGTCCGCCGTCCGCGTCGCCGTCGTTTTCGGTAATGTTGAAGATATCATTTCCAGTGTCCCGACCGAGTCTCTCCTTCACAACCTGGTCCGCGTACAAGCTCAGCTCGAGCTCGTCGACGTACTCGAACCTGATGGTATCAGAAACAAGACACTTCATCGCCGCCGCGTCTTCGATCCGTAGATCCTTGATCGACGCCTGGAACGTGCTCAGCAGCGGTGGCACATTCTTGCGCGAGGACAAAAACGTATAGAGCGTGTTGAGTGATCGGTGAAGTTGGTCCAGACGGCGGAAATATGGTGGGAATGTAGATGGATCTGGCTGCTGCTGGTTGGCGTCGGAGTGGCGAGCTCTCTTTGAAGCTGAGGACGACGACGAGGAAGTGCTCGAGGCCGAGTTCGAGCGAGACCGCTGCATGGTGTAATTTGCCGGATTACCGATCTGCTGCAATAATCATTCGTTGTGTCGCTATATCATCTAGACTGAGGAGTGTGCTTCTATTTACTGGACGATCTTTCGGTGATAGTTCTCTTTCTCCGAGCGTAACTAAACCCTAAGCATGACGCGTGTAAACGCGTTTTTCTTCCAAATAGAGCAGCGCGTAAAGAATATTTTGTTCACGATTTAGCGCGTGAAAGAATACTCTGTTCACAATTCAATATGAATACACGTTTAAAATGAATACAAAAGAATAATAAATGATAAATAAATAATTTGCCCGAATAAGAATAAAATGCAATCCGTTAAACCCAATGCCCATCCATTTCTCTATGGAAATATTCACTCCTATCCACCCACCCATACCAACTTTTTTTAACCCATTTTTTTAACCCCGTTGTTTCCTCACATCACAACTTGTACACACTAACACCTCCGGCGTTCAAACCTTTTCCAGCGCTAGTACGATCACCTAGCTGGCCAAAGCCTAGATGCGGCATACTCACAAACAGGAAATCAGCGTAAGAAGCAACTGATTTTCCAAACCACGACTCGATTTGATTGTTGGTGCGCGTTCCCCATAGCATAGGCTTTAGCCTTATAATAGGTGTTGATAGCAAAGAAGGCGAGACGTCGCCTGGCTGCTCAGAGGACATCGATGCGATATTGTCGAAAATTTCGAAATCTCCTACCGGCTCTGGTCTTGAAGATTTGGTTCCTTCCCGTGAAATCAATTCCAGAACGACGTCTTCGATAGGCAGCAACCAAACAGCACCTTCGCCTGCGCCTGCAAAAGGCGAGGAGATGTAGACAGTGTTTGGATCGCCATCCTTCGGGGTTCCTGCGTATCCAAACTTGACAAACTTCTCATTCAAGCTGTCGGAGATGACGTACGCCGCAAGCTTTGGCTTTGTCTTGTCAGATCCCTCGCGGCGCACGTAAAGATAGCATACTCCACCTTGGCCAAACTCGCCTGGCGCATGCTTTCCCCGCCGCCGAGCGTTCTTGCTATCGAGCACGGCCTCGTTTGGGCTGCCGACCAAAATCCACTCACCGAGACCCTTGATCTTGCCAGTCAGAAGCACGCCGCCGCCGTAGCCGGCCACAGAGCCCAGCTCGGCAAACATACCGAATAGCGGAACTCCTGTCTTTGCGTCAAAAGCAAATACGGCTCCGGAACCAGGGGCGCCTACGTACGCGATACTGTCTGGTTGCTCTGAGAATGCTATTTGCGAGCCAAAAAGCTGATAATCCGCAAACGTGGACGCAGAGGTGTCGAGAGAAAGCTTACTGGCGAGGTCGTCGTCGGGAATGGAGATCTCTTTAGGTGTCACAAACCGTGAAAGACGTACGTGGTCCATGGCGACCATCGTGAGCCCGCTCGCTAGTGCGGTCTGCAGCTCACGGCCAGAGAGGATCATGATCTCACCTTGCTCTCGCACTCGTCTCGAGAGATCAGACAGGGGAGCGCAGACGATAATTTCAGGCAGTCCATCTCCATCGACGTCGTGCACCAGCAGACGGCTTCCAAATAGCTTTCTTCCGCGCCCTCCATAGGTGGTCGTGCTACCTTGTGTAGGTGGCATGATAGTCATCAGGAGTTCAGGTCCGGCAAAAATGTCGATTGAGGAGATTCCTGGTGACGATACTGCTAGCAGAGTAGTATTGAAGAGCTTGATTGGCGTCATCGATGCACCAAACTGTCGCGGAAAGGTGAGATTATAGATCTCACGTCTGGAAGGATGAAAAGCGGGAAGACTTGGCGGCGAGATACGATAGTCCTTGAGATTTACCGACTGGTCGTCAACACTATTTGAGGCAGAAAACATGGAGTCGATTTCGGCAAGAGGAATAACGTAAACTGCACCATCATTGGTCTGAGTCTCTTCAGAGTACTCGTAAGGCGCAGATACAGCAAGACAGGGGCCGATATCGCTTCCTCTGAAATCACCGACGGTAAACACTGATCCGAACAAAGATTCAGATAGTCCAGTAGAAAGCGTAACTCCAATCGGTTGAGAGAGTCTTGGGAGATCTGAGCTCTTGAGCACAGTCTGATCACGCTTTTCTAACATGTGTTCTGGTAGAATCACATTCGGAAATTCGATAAAAGTCTCGGATCCGTCTGCAGACGGATGAAGAGCTAGAGCTGGAATGATCTCGTCGATATATTCCTGCAAGTCACCAACGACGGTCGATGAGACTTGTTCGGCATCACCCGATCTCACGAACGGAGCACGACCAGCAAATACCTCACAGATGTCCCACGCATCAACGCCCTTTGGAGGGCCGTTATCGAGCCATGACTCATAACTTCGTAGACAGGGTAGGATAGAGGCCGTGATCGAATGAAGACCACCCATAAAGTAGTCTTCGAGAACGTCGAGCAGCAGCGGGCTCTTCTTTGCGTAAGAGGGATACATAGTTCTGGCAAGATTGACCTCAGCCCCGAGAGCAGCGACACCACGAGCCATGCAGTACTCGAGCGCAGGTCGAGAGACTGACAATTGGAGGCGTTTGTAGATGTTAAGCAGGTCTGCGCTTGGGATTGTCCAGCGCTGGGTGAGCCAGTCTAGATCGCCTGCGGCGCGGAGGATGCGAAACATCATGATCATATCGCCGCCGGTGTCTAGAATGCGATGGGCGCTCTGGGTGTCGCCTCCGAACTCCCGGTGCGAGAGGGCCATGAGCAGACCCTGATCTACACCGAGCGAATGCCATGGGACGTCAGCGACCTGGTGGGTGAGAGCACCGATGAGGAAGGCGCGGAGTCCGGCTCCGTCTTTTTGCTTATTGCTGAGAACGTAGGTTTCGTGGTAGTATTCGGCTGCCGCGAGCAGGAACGGGGGCCAGTGGGTGGCCTCGCCGGTGTCGGAAAGGCCCATGCAGTCATAGAAGGCGTCGGGGAAGAAGGCACCTGGTATTGTGTATGTTGAAAGAGCCTGGTCTTCGGACGAGAGATGCTGGCGGATGCGGGCGACTAGCTGAGCATGAACGCTGGAGAGAAGGAGGAGTTAGATGACGCGGCAGATGATTTGGGATCGGAGATGATCCAGGGGGATACGCACCCTACGCCGCTCGCCAGAACAGCGACTGCCTGGTAGAGCACAAGACAGATGAGGAGAAGGGATTTCATGGACGCGGAAGCATGAGCGAGGACGAGGATCGGGGGAGGGAAGGGTAGAGGAGGGGAGGCGAGAGAGAGAGAAAAAGAAAAAGAAGCAGCAGCAGAACTGTTTGGAATAAAGTTCAGATGGCTGCTCGGCGCAGTCCGTGCGTGCGAGTCATCCGCTTAAACCCCTTCTTGACTCGGATTAGGTCACCGATTATGGCGATCTTATGCTGTCGATGATCTTGTGTTGTAGACGATAAAGAAGACGAAGAGAATACTGGATATGTGACGGTATGTTGCTGGGCGATTTATTATAAATAGCACGCAGATTGTGTTTATCGCGCAGGCAGAGCTCGCAGACAAACGGGGAACAGAGCAGGGCGTCGTTCAATAGTCACATCCGGCTGCATCCGTCCGCGTCTAAAGAGGCTGTAATTTCCACGCCGGCGCCGGACCGAGAGCAAAAGTCTTTTTTGTATTGTTTTCAACGCCAGTTGTTGCATGACAAAGGCATCTCATGATGTGGACTCTCTATTGAATGATTATTTGCCTCCTCAAATTCAGACGGTTCTAGAGATTAGTTTAGAACTTCACTCCGGCGAACAACAGGTCACCCCATCTCATCGCCGAAATCTCGCCTTTAGACTTACCAGATTTTTGCTACCTCAAAATCCTGTTCAGCCTTGATTTCGCTTTCTTTCTACTTCTCTACAGTGCAATACAAGACATAAAACAGCTGCTATAGGTTGGAAATCAGTCTTGAATTAAGAAACAAAAGTGGGTTTATATTGAACAGGGCATTTTTTTCAATAAAAATTCGCCTCTTTGGCCAAGTTGGTAAGGCGCGGCACTAGTAATGCCGAGATCATCGGTTCAAATCCGATAGGAGGCATCTTTTTATTTTTTTTTCTTGAGTATTTGAAAAGTCAGTAGACAGACAGTAAGGCAGTCTGTTTTTTTTTTCTGACAGGAAAAGATGTTTGTGCAGTCACTAGAAAAGCGGACAGCGAGAAGAGAGAGAAGAGATAGGAGAAACAAGGGGCAGATTGGTGATTTGAATCGGAAGATGGATCTGAGAGAGGACCAGGAAGTGGGGCGCACTAAGCTTTTTGGAAATTTTCACTGTTTACATTTCGCTATTGTTTTGTTTGCTGTTGGTGTTGGTGTTGTTGTAGATGTTATTTACTGTGTTCTTAAGTAGTAAATATCCCGTTTCTTTATATTGTATTTGCAGTCGAGTTTCACATCACCATAATCTCCCCCTCTCCTCCCCACCGCAGCTGCTTCGTCCGCATCGCGGAGCGTTCGTCGGTCCTGCGTCCGCTGCAGTGTAGGCAGACGCGCTACCGATCTTAGCGCGTCACGTGCGATAGCACCATCCTTGGCTGGCATATGTTGCTGGCGAGATTGCCCCAGAAGCAGAGGCCGGAAGGAGGTCTCCGAGCAACACGCAGACGCCTGAAGACATAAAACAACAGTAAAATCAGTATCGAATATCCCTAAATCTGCTGTCGGGAAGGTCGAGAAGCGGTGGTCTGGCGCATTGTTTGTTTATAGTTATAATATAAAGATAAGTGACAGATTTGGATTCTGGCAAGTCTGTCGTTCGTTACTAAACGAGAGACGTGCGGCCGGTCCCAGTTTAACGCTTTGACTAAGTACTTTTCCCTCACAGCTTCTTCTGGGTCAACTCGTCCTGTCCCGCCACGCCCGCCGCTATCGCACATCGCGGGACCGGCATCTTTACCCACCCGTCCGCGGCCATCGACTGAACCCCGTCCTCCTCTTCACCGTCCTCCACAGCCCCGCCCCCGTGCTCGTGCCCGCCTCCCCGCTCTCCTGAACTCCTCCCAGTCGGTCCTTCTTTGCCGCTGCACTGCTATCCTCGGGAAGCATGTACACGCCCTCGGTCTCGTCGCTGTCCTCAGACGACGCGCTCGACGCCGAGATTCGTGAGCGTGGTTTATGGCCCGGCTCTCAAGCAGCCACCCATGACCAGCAGCAGCAGGCTCCCACTCGAGTCCACCTAGGCTCGATCGACAGCATCGACAACGTCGACGACGACTATGACGAAAAGAACAGAATCGCAGACGATCCCATAGAGGACCTTTTCCCCCAGACCTTTGCCGTCCACCACCGGCGACCGTTTGAGAAGCAAGAGGACATCGGCGGCGGCAGCAGCAACGACACATCGCACACCACCACCGCCTCGCTTTTCCCTGACTCGACCTCTGACGAGCACGCCTCCAAGCGCGCGCACACCACTTTCTCGTCCTCGCCGTTCTCGGCAGACGACTCGCACTCCGACAACCTCGACCAGTTCGTGCTCGAGTACCCCCGCCGGCCGTCTGACTATGACTACCCGCGCTCGATCCCGTCCTCGCTCGGGACGTTTGTGATCGACGACACCGCGCCTGGAGTAGACGGCAACTACACGATCGAAGACAGCATGGCCTACCATCCACCAAAGAAGCGTTATACCGAGCTCAAGCGAACGCTCAAGACTCGGCATATCCAGATGATTGCTGTCGGCGGTGTCTTGGGAAACGGTCTTTTTATAGGTTCGGGTAAAGTGCTGGGAAACTCTGGCCCGCTCGGTATGTTGCTGGGCTTTTTAATCACAGGCATGGTCGTTTTCTCAGTCATGGTATCGTTCGGAGAGATGGTGGCACTCATCCCTATCGCCGGCGGCATCTCTGCGTTCGGCAGCCGGTTTGTAGACGACGGCCTCGGGTTCGCGCTGGGGTTTTGCTACTGGTTTTCGCTCGCGGTTGCGATTCCGACACAAGTGTCGTCGGCGGCCATGCTGCTCACATATTTTGCGCCGTTCGATCCTTGGAAGCTAGCACCGGCGGTTATGGTCGTGTGCTTTTTGTTTGTGATTATTTTCATCAATTCGATGCGGGTGCAGATCTATGGAGAGATTGAGTATGTGTTTGGGCAAATTAAGCTTTCGTTGCTGTTGGGGTTGATCATCTTCATGTTTACTCTGAACCGGGGACATATCTCGCCTGAGACAGGCAAGACCACAGTATTTCCCGTTGATTTTGCTTGTGAGTTCGGCTTTCTTGATATAGAGTGGAAAAGGTGCTAACTTGTATATAGACTGGGATGCATCAAGAGGCGATTTGTACGGCCCGTTCCGTCCATACTTTGAAGTGACCGAGCAAGACCATATCGAGGGTTCGACCGGTCGTTTTCTGATGGTGTGGACGGCGGTGGTACAGTCGGTATACAGTTTTTCAGGGACCGAGCTGGTCGCGTTGACGGCCGGAGAAGCCAAGCACCCACGACGAGCGCTTCCACGAGCGACGCTGCGGATCTTTTTCCGAATCTTCACGCTGTACATGCTAGGAGTGTTTGCGGTTGGATTGAACGTCGCGGCCGGGAACCAGTCACTGCCAGGGTTTTTTACGCCGTGGTCAAAGTACTCGACACAGAAAGTGAGCTGGACGATGACGACGACGTCGGACGGCAATTGCCAGGTGGGGTCGATCAGCATGCAGGGCTACTCGTCGTCGAACTCGTCGCCGTGGATCATAGCGATGCAGAACGCAGGGCTGTGTGTGGGAGCGTCGGTGGTGACGTGCTTGTTTGTGTTTTGCGCCTGGAGTGCGGGTAATTCGTACCTGTACGCGTCCAGTCGGACGTTGTACGCGATGGCGATCCAGGGCAAGGCGCCGCGGTACTTTGGGCTGTGTACGAAGGGTGGGCTGCCGTACGTGTCGGTTGTGTTTACGTTTGCGATTGCGATGGTTGTGTTTTTGGTGTCGTTTCCAAACTCGACGACGATCACGGTTTATTACTGGATCCGCAGGCTGACGTCGATTCCGGGAACGCTGGTGTGGGCTGGCATATGCCTGAGCTATATCCGGTTCTACTACGGGCTGAAGCTGCGGCCGGATATTGTGCAGCGGGATATGAAGGCGTATCCGTACCGATCGCCGTTCCAGCCATACACGGCGTACTTTGGGCTGATAGGGTGCATCCTGCTGGTAATTTTCAACGACATGACGATCTTTGTGAAGTTTGAGTGGCAGTACTTTATCGCCAGTTATGTGTCGCTTCTGCTGTTTCTGATTTGTTTTGTCGGATACAAGCTATGGCGACGGACGCGGCTGGTCCCGCTCGCGCGGATGGATCTCGATCTCGGACGACGGGAGATGGATCTATACGAGGCCGAGACGGCTGCCGAGATGAGGATGATGGAGAAAGGGATTTGGGGGAAAGGAAAACGCACGTGGCGGTGGATCAAGGCGATTGTAATATAACCTTTCTCTGTCGCTTCTTAATTTGTTTTTATGTTTGATTTTTTTGCTGGTACACCTGTTTGGGTTCATTTTCGCGTTTTGATGGTTTTCTCTTCTTCTGCAGACTCGGCGAAAAGCAGTACATTGGCTTCTAGAGTGTCTTTTCTTTTTTATTTTACTTGCTGCTTCTCATACACATATGTTGCATTGTTGTATACTACACATTTCATCTTCTTTCTGCTTCAGTTCCGGCGTCGGTCATCTTTATTAATATAGTCTTGTTACTATTACTTTATTCTCCATAGTTTTATTGAATATATCCAAATTTTAGTAATTATATGCTAGTTTTAGTTTTCCGTGCGGTGATATCGAGAAGAAAGAAGAGAAAACGAATGACCGGTTGATGTGAACATTATGACTTGATGAGGTAAAAGTGAAACCCAGAACTCCCTCGTACGGTGAAAGACAAAAACGAAAGACAGGAAGAGACCGAGTGCGGTGCGTATATGTGGCTGGTCGTATAATCCTAATACGCAGCGGTGCACAGAGGAGAAGCATAAAGTGAAGAGTCGTGAACGGCGTAAAGAGAGTGAGAGGAAGAGAGAACTAATGCTCAGCTTTCCATCTCCGTAAATCAGGCTTTGGCCTGAGCAGCGGAGGAGGTTGGAGGTTTGCAGACATGTCGTTGCGGGGACTGCGGCCGCTGTAGTCGGCAAAGACGGGAACGGGCGCCGCAGAAGGGTCCTCGTTGCGGTAGTTTACCCAAATCTCGCTTTCGGGCGAGCGTAGCGGCGAGGAGATGCCGGAGAGGGTTTTTGCGCGTGGCCGGGTTCGCGGTTTCGGTGCTAGTTGGGGAGGTTGTTCTTGTTCGTGTTCCTGTTCGCCGTACTCGGCAGAGGAGCTGAGGAACGACAGATCGGGCTGGGAGCCGGAGACGGTGTGGGCGCGCTTCTCGCGGCGGGTGAGGAAAGGGTTGTCGGTGTCCTCGGCATCCTCGGAAAGCGGGGCGGAGTCGAGGAAGGGGTTGCCTGTGCTTTTGCTGCGGCCGTGGAAGGAGGAGGCGGAGGAGGAGGAGTGGAAGCGTGGGCGGGAGAGCGGAGCCGGGCGGGAGGGCGAGGTGGATGGGCCGCGGGGAGGTTTGTAGACGTAGCGCGGCGGGGAGTTTGATTTTGCGAGGGAGGAGAGGGAGGAGGAGGTTGTGGTGGAGTAGGAGTCGGCACTGGCGAAGATGCGCGGGGTGCTGGAGGGGTCGTAGGAGGAGTCTTCGAGCGGGTCGTCGTCGTAGGAGTAGTTTGAGGGGACTTTTGAATAGCTCCGCGATCTGGTCCGGCCGAGACGCGGCGAGGGCAGGATGGCTTGGGAGTCCTCGGAGGAGAGGGATTTTGAGAACGGGCGGATGGAGGAGAGGACTTTCGCCATGGTGAATGAGAGGTGAGGAGAGGAGGGAGGAAGAGGAGAGGTGGCAAGAGAGAAGAGGAAGAGGAAGAGGAGGAGGAGGAGGAGAGGAATGAAGGGGTCTGCGCGGCCCGAGAGCCAAAGTCGGAGCAGACGGGTTCGATTAAAGAAGCTCACGCGAAGGCCAGTTGAGGGTGGTTATACTATTATACAATAACGATTATAATACAATAACAATAACAATAACAATACAATACAACTACAATTATTATTACTACACAACAACATACAGCAACACCTTCTACTCTTCACCGCATCCCATCCGAACAGTAAACAAAATAAAGAATGCTTACGTATCGCTTAAGCTGATACCACAAACCCTTTCCCAACACCTTTTCTTTTTATAGCCGCGACAGAACCTTCTTTGCTCGGCTCCAATTTGCGTCCTAATCACTGACTAAGCGTGGGATAGGGTGCTCTACTATCATGGGGCACAGAAACCGGACCTCTTCTCTCTCGAAAACTGCACGAGAAAAAATCCCGAGGATTCAATCACCAGGCAGCTGAGAACACCCACAGATGAGCGCCCAGTCATTCGAATCAGTGTTCCGCCACTCGCGGCTTGCGTCGCTTCCCTCGCCGCTGCCGTACTATCGGTATGGCCGGCACCCGATCCAGCAGGTCATCACCTCGCCGACGCACTCGCAGAAGCGCGGTGACTTTGGACTCAAGTCGCCGCTGCCCAAGTTGCCCGGCAAGGACGAGCAGCTCAAGCATATCGTCATCTCCAGTATTGATACGCCGGAGGGGTTCACGGATTTCTACTCTGGTGCGTCCTATTACCGCACACTGTCAAAGATTGAGGAACTCGGCGTGCCCGTGACGGTCCTCGTCTCGCGCGCGGAGGAAAAGCCTGCGAATCCATCGGCAGTGACGAGAGCGATCAAGTCTGAGATCAGATCGATGATCCAGTCCGACTCGCAGCCTACCTTTGCAGCCAGAGCGAAACAGCGTGGCCGAGTGCCCTCGCTCGACGAGCTCAGAAAAGACAAGATCCTCGCCAGCTCCGTCTCGGAAACCGAGGCCTCGGCCTCGTCCGGTCCTCTGGCCTCAATGAGCCTCCTGCCTAAGCAATTCACCCGCCACTCGCTCTACTGCGAGCCCGAGTTCAGCAACGCCCAACCGCTTACCTTCGCGCCAAAGCCGTACGTACCCCACCCCGTCCTCGACCGCCGCACCGTCGCCGGCAACGGCGGTCTTTCCTACGCGCTCTCCAACCGCGCCGTGCGCAACCCGCTCGGCGAGACAAAGTACCGCATGCTGCACCCCGGCCGCGACCTCAGCCACGGCCGCGTGACGGTCGCGGGCATCGTCGCAAAGCACACGAACCTCGTCACCGTCGCGCGGCAGTCGGTCAAAGACAGATTCACGCCGTCGCTCTACAACATCGAGCAGCTCTCCGTGTACGGCTCCGGCGACGTCAACATGCGCGTCGAGTCGCCGTTCGTGCCTGTCAGTTCGAGAAACTCGAAACTCGTGAATTCCAGATACGCGACCGCTCCCGGCCAGCGTCCTCAGGGTCTCCGACCTAGGTCGACTCTCAATGCTCAATATGCTTACAATCGCCAGCAACGCGCTCCGCCTGCTCAGCAAGGCCAGACCCCTAGATCATCGGGTATAACAAATGTGCTTGACGGATTCATGAACGGATTTAAAGAATAACTGGTTAATGACTTTTTCCTGTGTATATACTTGATTCATGTAGTAGTTCTTAATCTATAACTTTACACTATCCTCCTTAAACCCGTCCTTGGACTTACAGCATAACCTATTCTCTATTACTTTACTCTCAACACAAATTTTCACCTATCGACACACCACGCCAGCGACCTTCAACATCGCCGCCAACGCCTCGTAATTCATCTCCCCAACCTTCCCGCCCCCGTTCTCCGTCGGCGGAAACACCGACGAAAACAGTGTCAGTCCCTGCTTCAAAGTCTGCTGCTCGGGCGTCAGGAACGGGAGCAAGTGTTGCAAGACTACCGGGTTCGTCAGCTGGTTCACCAGACCTGCGGTTTCTTCCGCCGGTCGTGTCGTCTGCTGTTGGTGGGATTGTTTCAACGCACGAGGGCCGTGGGCTTTGTATTCTGCCCATTCGAGCTTGAGCCGTTCAGGCACCGCGATCGTCTTTGGCTCTTCTTCCTCCTGTTTCTCTTGCCCGTTCTCCTCACCAGCCGGCTCGCGCGCACTATCAGGGATCTCTGAATCCTCGAAGTACATCTCCACCAGCACCCCTTCCTCGCGCTTCTTCTGCACCTCGCTCTCAGGACTTTCAGCAAGTTGACTCCCTCCCCGCTTCTGCATGTTGCGCGAAACCTGGCCTGCGCCAAACCTCTCGCATTTCGAAAAATCGATCGCGGCGGGCGCGTACCATTCCAGAACCTCGTTCTCCTCTGCCTCGTGTGGCTCGTGCTCACCAGCACTTCCCCCCATACCGTCGTCGTCCGCCGAAAACTGTCGGTGCCCCATCCGAAACCCTTCGTCTTTATCGAGCTCGCGCGCGTTCTTCCGGTCCTTGCGCGACGGCCGCTCCGACACGTCGGACTCAAAGTACCGCACCGCGACGAGATCCGCGTCGGTCTTCCATGATACGCTTTTCTTGCGCTTGGGTTTGCTCGACGTCGCAGGTTTCGAGTCGGTTGGTTTATCGGCCTCTGGGTCTGAGGATTTGTTGAGCATGCTGCTTACTAGTGACATCACTCGGGGTGCGGGTTTCCTATATCCATGTTAATCCACAATCTACTGAAATAAATATTAATAGGGGAAGCATACGCAGGTTCGGATGGTTTGGAAACAGCGGGCTTTCGCAAACCCTGGAAGAACGCGCTGTTGCCGGCAGGCGTGCTTGTGGTCGGCGTTGAGCTGGTAGTCGCAGTGGCAGGCGCAGTCGAGGCAGACGACGAGGTGGCTGTTGCAGGCGATGCTGAACTTGTTGAGGTGGTAGCTGATGGAGCTGTAGCAGCTGCTGACGTTGATGGCGGAGGATGTACAGTAGTTGCAGGAGTAGCTGTACCGGAAGCAGCATCTGAAGCTTTGGGACGCTTTTTGATGCTGATACTCGAAAGCGCACTTCGGTTTAGCTGCGATGAAGCTGCAGATGACTTCGCAGAAGGAGCCGGGGAGTCTTCTTTGTCTGTTCGTAAAGTTAGCAATTCACTTTCACTCCACTTTTTAGAAAAAACAGTAGAACGGGACCCACCAGATGCAGATGCTTTACTGAGAAGCTTCTTTGCACTCTCAGATACCGCGCCATCCGCCTTCTTGCTCACAAGAACAAGCGGCTTCGTAAGCTTGACAGTATCTAAATCATCCATCTTCGGCGACATGCGCGTGAGGATGCCGACTAGCAAACCAACCTTGGCAAAATCGTTTGCCTTGTAGTCAAACACAAGCCAGTTGCGCAGTCGCGCGAGAAATTTTAAGTTCGAGGCAAGCATGCGCCAGATGTCTTTGTTGACGGAGGTTAAGAGCGAGGAGAGGTAGGTGATGTACGTTTCACGGAGGTCAAACTTCGAGGTCTTGCCGTACGCCTCGTCCGGGATCGCGAGACCGATTTCGATCAGCCGGTCGACGAGCGCAGGTTTATCATCCAGCAAATTCTTGAACGCGGTCGCGATCCGGATACGTAGCGCCGTCACGGGATCCTTTTCAGACATGATCGGAAGCTCGACAGGGGGAGGTGTCGGGGCCGGTGATTCGGTGGCTTTTTTGGTTGCTGCTTTCTTCTTTGGCGCGGCGGTTGGTTCAGGTGCCGCGCGCTTCTTCTTCGGTGCTGCAGATGCTGGTGGTAGCTGTTGCTGGACTGATGGTTGGGGTTGCTGCTGCAGATGCTGTTGTATTTGATCTGGCGTTACAGAAGGACTTTGGGTAGGAGCAGGACCTTGATTGATCTGCCATGAAGATTGCAATGAAGCAAATGAAGGAGGCGCAGGAGGTCCGCCCAAACCGCCAAAGAGAGCTGCGTTTGAGAAGATTTGCTGATACTGCTGCTGCGCCTGAGCATCGTAGTTCGAGTTCATCATGTAGGCAGGTAGCTGCTGCTGCGGTTGTTGTTGTTGCAGAGGTTGCTGCTGCTGCTGCTGCTGCTGCTGCTGCTGCTGCTGCTGTTGCTGAAGTACTTGCGGTATTTCCTGCTGCATTTGCATAGGAGTTTGTTGCTGCTGCGGAGGGGCCTGCTCTGGTTGAGGAGTAGGAGATTGCGATGAATATGTAGAGAAATATGGATTCCTTAGCACCGGCTGAGCGTAGCCAGACGAGATCGGGGTCTCGGAGCGCACCATGCCCTGCTGGTAGTATGCCTGCATTGCAGGAGCACCAGCTTCAAGCGATGGAGCGATATGCATCGAGCTGTCGTCGGTGTTGTAGGTCATGGCAGGGGATGGAGATGCGGATGGGATCGCGAGCTGGGATAGTGGGGGGAGATGGTAGGAGTCGTAGATTTGCTGCTGGGGTTGCTGCTGGAGATGCTGCTGCTGTAGAGATGTGGGGGCGGGGGACATGTTGTCAATTGGGCGCGGTGATGCATAGTATGAATCGGAGTATGCGGATTGAAACTGGTGCTGCTGTTGTGGTGGTTGTTGTTGTTGCGCCTGTTGCTGCTGATCATAGTAGTAGAGCTGCTGTTGCTGTTGTTGATGTTGCTGCTGCTGTTGTTGTTGCTGTTGCTGTTGCTGTTGCTGTTGCTGTTGCTGCTGTTGCTGCAGAAGATACTCGTTATATCTTTGCTGATCCATGATGGACGTGTATAAACATGCACTGACGAGCGCTTGCTAATCCTGGCCTTGCCTGCTCACCACTAAGCTATATCGATGGTGGTGTATGCATATACCCAGCAAACAGACGAGAGATTTACGATGATGTTGAGAAGTGAGAAGTACTTTCGGAGAGAGTGCAGGAGAACCGAAGAAGAGAAGAGATCAAGATGAAGCGCAGAGTCGGGATACCACTCCACGCAGCTATTATTATACGAGCCCGCGTGATCTGAGTGAAGAGCAACTGTTACAATCTGTCTACTTCTCTGTGATCGTCCTTCTCTGTCTGCCGAAGTATTCCAGCCTGAGTGTGGATCAGATGAGGTGTAAGTGCAGGTGCAGGTGCTGGTGCAGACGAGAAAAGGAAGCAGGTTGGGTGTGGTAGTTCTGGGGGAGTTAGTACAGAAACCCTACAATTAAGAATCACGTGCCGGCTGAGTCAGGCGTTATCGCGAAGATGAGGATTGTTAGCAGACAATGAGATTACTATGAAAAGTGAGGTTGTTGGTGAGAATAGAAGATTATTGATCTGTGTATGTTTATATCTATTAGCAACTATTATTCTAGTCTCAACTCTTCTCCACCAGCACCTTTACCATCCCTCAGCAGGCAGAATGGTGAGCGGACCGCTCCAAGCCGAGCTCGGCATATCGCCGTCTTTGTGCTGGCCGGTGCACTGCGAAGTTGTGCGGTTGTGCCATAATGCAGGCTGAGTATCTGCCCTCTCTGCCGGCACTTAACCAGTCGAGACCTCGGCCGGCTCTCTTCCTCCTCCGCCAGCACTCGGAATACAGTCAATTGACTGGCGATTTGTAGATATTCCGTGCGTAGATTCAGTAAATACAATTGCCCATAATCTTGCAGTACACAGCCAGAGCGCAGGGCCTGCAGAGTGGCTTACATAACCGGCGAGGTGGGATAAGCAAATAAAACTCGCCCGCACCCGCCCGCTGCCGGCAACTCTTCCACTTCCACTTCCTCTTCCCTTCCGCTTCCTCGTCCTTCTCCCCATCTTCTCTCGCTCCATCTCCTTCCGCAATGTCTGACACTATCATTGCTCAGCCAAAGTCCGAGTCTGGGTGTGTATCCCTCTGCTTTCCCTCTCTCCTCTCTCTCGTCCGTCTCTTGGACTGCTCCATTCAGCCGATTCATCATCAAGCCCACCCTTTTCCGACAGAGCCCACCGTCTGCCTCGCCCGCCGCCGCTCTCTTCCTGATTGCTTGCAATCAGTCTGTTTACTCTATCCAGCACATCTACTCTGCAATTGAATTGTTCTAGAGCCGGCTGGAGTGAACTCGCTCGGGTTCTGGCTGCTGATTAGACACGGCCCGTGATCATCCGAATATGACGATCGGGACATGTCCCCTCGATCACCCATCCTCAACACCTCCGCTAACTCTCTCTCTTCTCCAGGGCCCCGCCTCTGCCGTCTGACTCTGTCATCGTCGTCCTCGGTGCCTCCGGCGATCTCGCAAAGAAGAAAACCGTATGTACCTCTCCTGATGATAAATCTCAATTACCTGTGACTAATTCCTATCTCCCCTCCAGTACCCTGCCCTCTTTGGACTCTTCCGATATGGCCTCATGCCCCAGGGCATCAAGATCGTCGGCTACGCCCGCACAAAGATGGACGATGCCGAGTACAAGAAGCGCATCTCCTCCTACATCAAGGTTCCCGACGACGAGGTCAAGGCCAAGCTCGAGACCTTCCTCGGCATCTGCACCTACGTCGCCGGCGCCTACGACACCGACGAAGGCTTCCAGAAACTCGACAGCCATCTCGCCGAGATCGAGGCTGGCAAGGCCGAATCCCACCGTCTCTTCTACCTTGCCCTCCCCCCGACCGTCTTCACCACCGTCGCCCAGCACCTCAAGAAGAACTGCTACCCTGCCAACGGATCCGCGCGCGTGATTATCGAGAAGCCCTTCGGCCACGATCTCGACTCGTCGCGGGAACTGCAGTCCGCCCTGCAGCCGATCTGGAGTGAAGACGAGATCTTCCGAATCGACCACTATCTCGGCAAGGAGATGGTCAAAAACATCCTCATCCTGCGGTTCGGCAACGAGTTCTTCAACGCCTCATGGAACAAGAACCACATCTCCTCCGTGCAAATCACCTTCAAGGAAAAGTTCGGCACCGAAGGCCGTGGCGGCTACTTTGACGAGTTTGGCATCATCCGCGACGTCATGCAGAACCACTTGCTGCAGGTCCTCACCATGATCGCCATGGAGCGGCCAGTCTCGTTCTCGGCCGAGGACATCCGCGACGAAAAGGTGCGCGTCTTGCGCGCGATGCCCATCATCGACCCCAAGAACGTCGTCATCGGCCAGTACGACAAGTCGCTGGACGGCACAAAGCCCTCCTACACCGACGACCCGACCGTGCCCAAGGGTTCGCGCTGCCCGACGTTTGCCGCCATCGTGCTCTACATCAAGAACGACCGATGGGACGGTGTGCCGTTCATTCTCAAGGCCGGCAAGGCCCTTGACTCGGCCAAGGTCGAGGTCCGTGTGCAGTACAAGGACGTCACCTCGGGAATCTTCAAGGACATCCCCCGTAACGAGCTCGTGCTCCGTATCCAGCCCGACGAGTCCGTCTACATCAAGATGAACACCAAACTGCCCGGTCTGACAATGAAGACCTCGGTCACCGAGCTCGACCTGACCTACAACCGGCGGTTCTCGGACCTGCACATCCCCGAGGCCTACGAGGCCCTCATCCTCGACGCCATCAACGGCGACCACTCCAACTTTGTCCGCGACGACGAGCTCGACGCGTCCTGGAAGATCTTCACCCCGCTCCTGCAGTACCTCGACGAGTCAAAGGATATCGTGCCGGCAAAGTATCCTTACGGCTCCCGCGGCCCTGCCTTCTTGGACGACTTCTTGGCCAGCTACGGCTACACCCGCGACCTTGCGGGTTCGTACCAGTGGCCCACTACGAAGGCCGGCAAGACGAACGGGAAAATCTAAGTGTTTTGACTCTCTCTCTCTCTCTCTCTCTCTCTCTCTCTCTCTCGACATGTTTGTATGTAATCTGCTGGAAATCACATTTCCTTTCTCTTTTTTTCATTTTATTTATTATATAACCGCTGTCCTGTGAAATGTAATCGAAATATTCTAGTTTATATGTAAAGAGAATAAAAAATCAAAGGATATGTGAAGTTGTCGAAAACGGATGCAAAAAAGATAGCGTGCTTTCGTTTTGTGGATGTTTGGCTTGTTGTGGTTTGAATAAAGAAACTGGTTTTCTTCTTTTGACAAGATTACATGTGTATTGAAGTAATATCTATTCCGACTCTGCTTGTTGATCCTGGCTGCTGCTTCTCACAAACTGCAAAACCCTGACTTTCAACCTCTTATTCTGCCTTCTAAGCTGCTCAATCTCCTCCTCCGCGGTCTGCAGGAGTTCACGGTTATCATCCGCCGCCTCGAGACAGCTCTGCTTCTCGCTCTCAAGCCGAGCAACCTCGGCCGTCAACTCCTGAGCTTTCAAATTCGCCTCTGCAAGTCTCGCCTTGAGCTCCTTGATCTTATCCGCCTCTGTATCTGACGTCGACGGCTGCAGCGCGAGCAGCATCGCGTTATGCTTGCGTTTCCTAGCATCAAGCGAGCTCGCCGCGTCCGCGCACCGCTCGCGCTCAACCAGCTCGAGCGTGCGCTCTGCCCGCGCACGCACTTTCTCCTTCTCGATCTGCGTCTGGCGTTTATTACCCAGATCGCGCACGTGCTTGACGGTCTGGTACAGCCGGTCGCGCTCGAGGATGTATGTCGTGACTTCGCGTTCGGCGAGGGCGAGGTGTTCGGTTAGCCTGGAGTTTGTCTGCTCTAGTTGTGCGATTTGAGCGTCTTTGGACGCGCGGAGGGAGGCGAGCGCTGCTTCGTGCGTGGATTTGAGCGCGTCGAGGTGTTGCACTGCGCGCTGGCGCTCGTGCTCGAGGATCGAGGCGCCGAGTTCGTAGGTGCCGAGGTGTTGCATTAGAGACAGGCATTTGTCTTTGTAGTGGTGCATGCGGTCGACGAGGTTGTCGACGCAGGCTTTGTCGAGGGTGTCGTCTTCGCGGGCGAGGTGGAGGGGGAGGCGGGGGAAGAGGGCGGGTGGTGGGGTTTGGTGAGCTGCGACGGTGGTGGTCGCGAGGTCGTGAGTGGTGGGGTTGTCGTCTGGTGTGCGAAGAGATGCGGAATCTTCCTGCATTACAACCAGCGCACTGCTAACCTCTTCTTTCAAGCATTCTTCTCCTTCTTCCTCCTCCTCCTCCTCCTCCTCCTCTTCTTCTTCTTGTCTCTCTTCCTCTACTTCTTCTCGTTTCTCCTCTGATATCTCGCGAGGCGGCGACGAATCGGGGCTGGCAGGAGTATCTTGAGATAAAGGCGGCGAGGGGTACTTTGTATCCGCGGATTCAACTGCTAGCTGCTGTTTCCTCCTCAAACGCCGGAGTTGATGTCGTCGACGTCGTCGTTTTCTGCTGCTGCTGCTGTTGTTGATGCTGCTCTTGTTAGGGATGGTGAGTTGGTGGCTGGCAGGCACGACAAGGGACGACGACGCGTCGTGGAGTTTTCGCGCTGGAGTTAGGACTGCGATTTGAGTCGGGGTTGCTGGTGGTGTCTGGTGCTGTTTACTCTCAGCATGATCGTCAGTTTTGATAACCACCGCCATGTTTTATTTCAGAGAAGAGAGAAAGAAGGAGGCAGAGTGGAGAAAGGAAGATCTTCGATTCAGGGATTGACAAAAGCATTGTTCACGCGTTAAGGGTCTGGGTATTTGATTGTCAGATAACGTTAATTGAGACCTGTTGATAATCTTCTACTGTTTTTATACTGAAGGTGATCATATTCTTTTTAAGATACTGAGGATATGAAGACAGAGCATTAGAAGTTGTAGGTAGGCTCATCCTCCTCTGCAACCAACGACCAAATCTTTTCAATCTCCTCTACAATCTCATCCGGCAACGGCCCATCAACCGCGTGCTTGATATTCTCCTCCAACTGCGACAACTTACTCCCTCCAAGAATAACCCCATTGCGCTCATCAAACTTCGCGAGCTCAGAATGATGCACAAGCCAGCGCAGCGCGATCGCGTTGCCGGAGATGCCGTGCTTGGCCGAGAGCTCGGCGACGCGGTCTTTGGCAGCGAACAACGTATCTTTGTAAAAGAAGGATTGCCAGAGCTTGCCGTAGGGGGCGTTGGGGTCGAAGCGGCCGCCCTCGGGGGGCTTTTCGCCGCGCTTGATGTTGGAGAAGAAGCCGCCGGCGACGGGTCTAGATAGTGTTAGATTGTGGACGGTAAGTAGAGAATGGAAGTAGAGAAGAGGCATACGAGTAGGCGTAGAAGGCAATGCCGTTCTCTTTGAGCAGTGGGAAGAGAGCCTTCTCGGGTTTACGGGCAATCATGTTGTAGAGGCCCTGGAAGTAAGTCGGTTTGATCCAGCCGTGCTTTTTGGAGTTTTCGATAAACACCTTGACCTCGTCGGCCGTGTAGTTTGAGAGCCCAAAGTACTTGTACACGCCTTTTTTGTACAATTCGTCCATCGCCCGGTGTGTTTCCTCAAACGGAACAGATCGGTCGGGCGCGTGCAGGTAGAGGATATTGATCTGGTCGACCGCCAAGCGCTTAGGCTGCTCGACCGCGGTCTTGATGAGTTCGTCATAGGCGTGGCTTCCGGGGACGTCTGAGCGGACTTTTGTGTCGATCGTAAACCCCTGCACCGGGCCGGCTTTGAGGGCGCCGATGACGGCCTCGGACTTTGTGGCGTCTTCGCTGGTGGGGTAGCCGTATGCGGTGTCGAGGTGTTTGATGCCGTTCGCGGAGAGGAGGTCGAGGAAGGGTTGCGCGAGGGGGGCGTCGGGGAGACGGAGGACGTCGCCGAAGAGGGAGGTGCCGTAGAGGAGGACTGGAGCCATTGTGATGGGGAGAGATGAGGAGAGATGAGGAGAAGGGATGAGTCGAGGTGGTTATATAGATGAGGTGGGAAGAGAGTGCGGGGAAGGATATAGACGGTGGAGGTAGAGACAGCCGGTTGGCGGGCGTTCAGGGTGATTGGCGGTCGTTGAGGGACGCGATAAGTGCGGGTGCGGCTCGCGCGAGGGTGGTATGTCCGCGGAGATACGAGAGTGTAGAGTAGAGTAGAGTAAGAGCGGGAAGTAGAAGATGGTTTGATGAGGAAGAGTGAAGAAGGAGAGGGTGGCATAAAGCCATGGATCAGCAAGCAAGCGCAGGTAGAGACAGAGACAGAGACAGAGACAGAAGCAGAACTGAAGACAGAAGCAGAAGACTGAAGACAACCAAGTTGAGTGCAGGATTGTGATGCGTGGATAATTTGTAATGGGCAGATAGTATGTATAATGCTGGTCATGATAAATATGCTATAGAATGGCGTGCTAGCAGAGCCTGTCCAGCTTAAGAGTACAGAATTGCTGTAGGGTTTTCTGCTCAGATAGGTTATATGGACTCAATAACAATTCTAGGCATGGACGGGGTCCAGGTTCGTGGGTGGGTGCGTTATTAGTATTAGTCAGCGGAGGTTCAATTAAGTTTTAATGTACGACGCCTGTGTTAGTGCTTGTGCCACAGCAGCGCACCAAGAAAAAAAAAAAGGAGAATGGAAGGAGGAAGAAGGTGGAGAGGGAGGAAATCTGGGAATCTTGCGGGAGATGAATCTGAAGTAGAAGCCGGTTGAAAGAATTGCAGTTGGCGTTGCGCCACAGGGGATTAGCGTAACCTTGAAATGAAGATGAGTGAAATGAAGATGATGTGGGTTATGGGTGTGATGTGATGTAGTTACGACTGTTTGTTGAGGAGGAGAGAAGAGAAGAGAAGAGAAAGAGAGAAGGTAAACAGCTACGCCGGAAGTGGTGTCATCGCAGGTCAGCAGGGACTCTTGGCCAACAGTTCTTGCAGCGAGGAGTACTGCAGGTGGTCATGGTCGCTTAAGGCAGGAGAGCAACGAGCGAGGATGACTCCACTGAATCAGGAATGAGAATGAATATAGCCGGTCAGCTCATTTTCATTTCCTCTTTGTTCTCCGCTGCTCCGACCCTCCCCTCTAAGCACAGATAGTAACTCAAGAGAACACGATATAGCCGTTAATCCCCGTCTGGCTGCCCATCTGGACTGGACTGGGCTGGCCGGGGAGGAGGCGGTTTCAAACCGGAGAGTGGTTCTCTGGTTTGACAATGGACCGTGCGTCCCGGTTGGCTGGTTCGGGAATATGAATAAAGAAAACATTTTACCAAAAGACCGACCGAGGGAGAAGAAAGAGAGAGTAAGAAGAGGATATAGAGAATAGATAGAGAATATAAAGAGCAAAAGTAGAGTAAATACAAAATTACCAAGTGGAAGCAGAGAAGCAGCACATTTGGTCGTTGTTCGGTGGCATCTCCGAGTCAGCAACCGGACCTGCGGAGGGCGACGGGCAATTGGCGGGACGAACGGGCGAAGCTTTGATCCTCGTCATATTTCTCTTCTTCTTCTTATATTTGGGATATATCTTGTTGCTGTTGTTGTTGTTGTTCTTCTTGTTGTATCTTCTATCTCTATCTTGTATTCTCACCATGCAACTCCCCATACCATCCCCCGAGGACTACGACATCTCCCTCTCCACCGGCTTCGTGCCCTCCACCCTCCCCCTCGCCCGCATCCCGGATCCCTACTACTCGCCCTGGGAAGCCGTCGCCTCAAACGTCCACTTCCTCATCATGGCCCGCCAGATCCGCCCCGTCGTCGACTCTCCCGCCTTCCCGCTGCTCTCCGTCGACCGTCTGCGCTCGACCCCAGAGCGCCGCCGCGCCTACTCCATCCTCGGCTTCATCGCCCACGCCTACATCTGGGCCGGGCCCTCGGCATGCGACCACCTTCCTCCCCAACTCGCCGAGCCCCTCATCGCCCTCGCCGACGCCCTCGAAGTCCCTCCGCTCGCCACCTACGCCGGCCTCTGTCTCTGGAACCACCGGCCCATATTCCTGCCTACCCCCGACCACCCGCACGACCCCGCATCCCTCGACCTCTCTTCCCTCGCGACCCTCCACACCTTCACCGGCTCCACCGACGAGTCCTGGTTCTTCCTCGTCTCGACCGTCATCGAAATCCGCGGCGCCGCCTGCATCCGCTACCTCCTCGCCGCCATGCGCGCCTGCCGCGACGACTCCCCGCACGACGCCGTCGTCGCCCTCCAGCTCCTCGCAGAGTCCATCGACAGCCTGATCCCGATCCTCGCCCGCCTTCCCGAGCAGTGCGATCCCCACACCTTCTATTACCGTGTGCGCCCTTTCCTCGCCGGCTCGAGAAACATGGCAGAGGCAGGTCTGCCACATGGGGTGAAGTACGGCAACGAGCCCGGATACCGGCAATACTCTGGCGGATCGAACGCGCAAAGCAGTCTCATCCAAGCCCTCGACATCGCCCTCGGCGTCCAGCACCGGCCCACCTCCGACGCCTCCTCCTCCCCTTCTTCGCGCTCGCAATCCCCCACCTCGGCGGCTCCGCCCAGCAACAACTTCATCCACGACATGAGAGCATACATGCCCGGTCCGCACCGCCGCTTCCTCGAACACCTTGAGCTGTGCGCAAACATCAAGGACTACGTGCACGCCCACAAGCAGTCAAATTCGGCCCTCACTCTTGCTTACGACGCGTGCTTGGCCGTCCTCCGCGCATTCAGGGATAAACATATCCAGATCGTGTCGCGTTACATCATCGTCCAGGCAAAATCACAACCCAGCGCGTCTGCAAAGCAACTCCAACTAAAGCAACAACAACTACAACACCAACACCAGCACCAGCAACAACACCAACAAACAAACAAAAGCGGCCTCGCGAACGTCATCCTCACCGAAAAGAAAGCAGCCCGCGGAACAGGCGGCACCGCGCTCCTTCCCTTCCTCAAGCAAGCGCGCGACGAGACCGGCGCGCCCGCAGCGGGCTCCTGGGCCGCGCGGTTGTTGCGCGATGACGCGTTCGTCGTCAGACGCAAGATGCGCGACGCGATGGGGTTGGGCGAGCATCTTGTCGACGAGGGCGATAAGGTCGTTGGGTTGGCGGGCCAGTGGAGCGTGGATGATGAGACGGGCGGGATCTGTCATTGGTAGTCTTGCTCTAGTACTATTTGATTCCTGCTGGTCAGGATGTTGAGTAGAGCATTACTTCAAGAAAAAGCATTCCGCCGCGGGCCGGCATTATCTCTTTACTTGTTTTTTAGTTTTGTTGGTTATTAGGTGTTTGAAAATGTTGAAATGTCAAAATGTCGGTATGGTTTATAGTTCAATGTGCATTGCGTTAATAAAATGGATGGTAATCATAAAACTTGCTTCTATAAAACCAAGACTATTGCAGCAATAGTCATCACACAACGAAAATCTCGCCATGTCCGGCGCCAGATCCCCCCTCCTTCTCAAGATCGATCCGGTATCCCTTCCACTTATCCATCTCGCTCTTGATCCACTCCTGTCGCGCGCTCGCTTCCTCCGCCGCCTTCTTCGACCGCTCCAGCTCCCGCAGATACGCAGCCTCGCTATCCCCCTCAAACTCCTCCGGCACCGCATCGTCGCCGTACAACTCGACGTCCGTGTACGATGTCGACGAGTTTGTTCGGTGCGCGCCAGGGCTGCTCAGCTGGCGTTGCACGTACCCCGGACCTTCGGAGATCACGGCGTTGGCGCCGCCCGTCACGCCTTTGACCACAGCGGCCGAGAGACCCTGCGCGGTGCGGAAGAACGACGATTTGCCGGCCTGCAAGCGAGCGTTGATGTCCGGCACAGTCTTGCTGCTCGAGGTAGGCGACATCGGCGCGCTCTTTGCAGGCGAGGCGGCTGCGTCGGCGGATGCAGCCTCGGCGGCGGCGGCTGCGTCTGGAATTTGTCGCCGTTTCTCCTCGGCAGAGAACCGAAGTTTGAGGGTCTCTAGTTCGTGCAAGACAGCGTTGTGTGAAGACACGAGCTTGTCGTACGTCCGTTTCAGCGCCGCGTAGTCCCGCTCGAGCAGATATCGCTCCTGCGCCTCGCGCGAAAATTTTTCCTCCAAATTGCGGTAGTACTCTGGTGAATGCTGCTGCGACGACGGAGTCGGTGACGAGGACTGTGATTTCTCGGATTGCAGGGCGGCGATGGTGGTTGCGTCGAGCTGGATCTTTGCGTTCGCGGTCGCGAGCGAGTCTTTCAGTGCTGCGTTTTCTAGCTCAAGCGCGTTCAGGTGCGCGCGTAGCTCTTCTGGTGTAGGTGACGACAGTGATGATTCTTTCTCTGTCGCTTTCACTTCCTCTTTCTCTTCTTTCTCTTTCTCTTTCTCGTCCTCCTCCTTGTCGTCATCTATGGTAAGAGCAGCAACATCATCAGCAGCAGCATCAGCAACCTCAACCGCGTTCTCTTCCTCCCCTTCCTCCTCCCCAGCCTGCGACTCTGGCGGCGGAGGCGTCTCAGTCCCAGCAGGAACGGTCGCAGGGCTCTCAGTCCGCTCAGGCGTATCCTCACCAGCAGCAGCAGCCGGCTCGTCGTCGCCTTCTGCGGCGGGTTCAGTGGCCGAAGTGGAGGCCGAGGCTGCAGCCTTGCCTTTTTTTCCCGCGGCTTTCTTTTTTGGTTTCTTGTCCTGTTTCTTTTTTAATTCCTCAAACTAGATGTAATGTAGAAAAAAGACGTCAGTGGTGGTTAGAGGAAGAGCTCGAGTGGTAGGGAGGAGACATACACGCTTGCGAGCGGCGGCTAGCTTCTCCTGCCGAGCGGCATCATCCGCGTCGTCTGCCATTGTGTTGATTGGGAATTGTCGGTATTCAATGTCAGATCTGAGAGATTGTCACCAGAGACTGATGAATTGATAATCGCACGTCGAGAGAGTAGAGATGTAGATTGGACTCTGCTACTGCCATGTTAGCCACCGTCCCTTCACCTCGCCCCAGACGCAATCCCAACACCTGCACACATAGAAAACAAACAGACTCACCAGATTCCACTGATCAAACAGTTCACGATGATGAATTCTTGCTGGCTCAGATCAGATCAGAAGCAGTTGGCACGGAATCCCAAAGCAGCAGCCAGCGCGAGGCCGATGCCGCATTGCTGTACGAGGCCCTTTGTGATTACATTTGACTACAGCACAGCGTGTGGGATTATTTACAACTAATTACGATTGATTGTTTGGGATAAAAGATAGTATGATTAGATAGTAAAGATCACAATAGAATACAAAAGATATACGCCAACACCAGACAACTATAAAGAGCGTGAGGGGCAAGTGACCTGCCCGAGATTACAGATCACCACAGACGAGAATGGTGGTGACGGCCACGATACCGCGAGCAGCAAACTCTTGCGCGACGGCGCATAATCCTGACTGACGTTCTGCAGCGGTAAAAGTATTTGTAAAAACGCCCTGATATGCTGCTGCGTAGCGAGAACGGGGTCGATGGAAGGAGTGGCTGCTCGTCATCGTCGGACTCAGAATCAGAGTCATCGCCGGTGATCTGGCTGGTAAGGATACAACCAGCCGAGGCGAATTCCTCGCCGGGCCAGCAGCCAAGTACAGACGGGTGCTGGAAGCTCTTGAGCTCCGACATGGTGTCGTTGTCTTCATACCCTTCGTCTGAGGGGCGGACACGGATAAGACCAAAGGCCGGGTCGCGGTTCGTGCATTCGTGGAGGATTTCGGAGAGATCGATCGGGCCGGCGGCGACGAGGGGCGGATACCGGGTGTTGCTGTTGCGGTAGGCAAGGGTGGCTTCGAAGGGACCTTCGTGGTGGTAGCTGCCTCCGAAAGAGCAGTCGAGACCGTCGACGGTGTCGATGGGTGCTGGTTTGGGCTTCAGAGAGGGCGGCGAGGGCGGCGATGGCGCAGAAGGAGGCGAAGGAGGCGAACGCGGTGAGGGCGGCGAGGGCGCCTGGGATCTGAGGTATCGAGCGAGAGCCTCAATTGATTTTTTCTGGGAAAGCATGATGAAAAACAGTATTGAAACAGAAGTCAATAGATGGGAGAAGTGAAAGAAAGCAGAAGACGGAGGTTTTATAGACAGCAGAACAGAGGATATCTGTGGGGTATGAGCAGCATGGTGCCGGTCGTTGTTGTTGAGGACGAACAAGGAGTGAACAGCTGGTCGTTGTCCGAATGCTTGTTCCTGATACAATTAGTATCTAAACAGAAAGCATTAATACAACATCAATACAGAAAGCAGAAACAGCTGCGCAGATGAAGCAACAGCAACAGAACAAAGAGCAAAGACACGAAGCAGCGGCGTCGGCATCAGCAAGGGCTCGGAAGATCACGTGGTCGGTTAATCAATCAAAGTTTAATACTCTTCGTATTTCTCGTATTTGGAATTGAAACAAGACGCCTCGAACCAGCAGAGACAATCAACCGCCCCGCGAACAGTTCACCACCGGCTCGGGGCTCTTCTTCTTCCTCAATTCTTTAGTCTGCTGGAGTAGCATGCACCCGGGGGCTCTGTCCGTGTGCTTTGAAGTCGACGCAAGCCTGCTACTACTAGCTAAGCGTCCTCTCCTTCCGCCCTGCACTGCTCCTCCCCACCGAGATGATGGACGAAGATAGCAGCTACATTCCCCCCAAAACCAGCAGCTCGCTCGAGTATGTCGCAACCGACGATGTCAACGACCAAGCAGCCAAATACGCAGTCAGCGACGCGAACAGCGACCGCGTCGCCTTCGCCGCCCGCGGACCTCAGTTATCTTTCAACGAAGTCGACCGCGTGGATTTGGCAGTCCGGGGGTTGACTGTAACTATATCACAGTCAAAACCATTGCTACAGACCCTGGGGTTGAAGAAGACTATGGCACCGACGCCGCCGAAAAAGATTCTTGATAACGTCTCGGTTGACGTTCCTGCAGGCACCGTGATGGCGATTATAGGTGGTAGTGGTTCAGGCAAGGTACAGTCGAGCACTCTATTTCCCAATGTGAGTTGAATTGGACACTGACAGATTATACAGACTTCACTTCTGAACGTCATGGCACACCGAATGAAATCTTCAAAGCTCAAGGTCGAGGGCCAGGTCACGTTCAACCGACAGCCCGATCTTCACAAAATCAGACACGCCTACGTCCTCCAGCAGGACATCCTCCTTCCAATGCTCACTGCGCGGGAAACGCTCATGTACTCTGCCGATCTCAGACTACCCTCAACCACTACAAAAGAAGAGCGGCATAAACTTGTTCAGGAAGTCATCTTGGAATTAGGCTTGAAGGAGTGCGCCGATACCATCGTCGGCGATGGCGCGCACAAGGGACTTTCCGGGGGCGAGAAGCGGCGACTCAGCATAGGCATTCAGCTGCTCTCAAATCCCTCTGTTTTGTTTCTTGACGAGCCTACAACTGGCTTGGATGCCTACTCAGCGCTCTTACTAGTTCAGACTCTGAAGAAGCTAGCTAGGAAAGGACGCACGCTAATCACCTCAATCCACCAACCGCGCGCAGACATCTTCTTTCTATTCGACTCAATCACGCTTCTTTCAATGGGTCAACCCGTATACTGCGGTCCAGTCAAGCCATCGCTGGGATACTTTGAGAACCTGGGTTTTACTTTCTCAGAACTGATGAACCCTGCCGATCTGTTAATCGACATTGCCGCGCACGACACTCGGTCGCCAGAGGCAAGGCTGGAGTCGGATACGCGTATAGAGAGTTTGGTTGCGGCGTGGCGGCGAACAGAGAATTTCAAGCCCGTCGAGCTCGTTCCTGCGCCGCCGAATTTGACGGATGTGCATGCGCCTTTCCTCAGGGAGATCACGGTATTGACCAAACGGACGGTCTTGATTACGGTTCGCGATCACATGGGTCTCGTGGGCTCGTTAATCGAAGCGGTTTTCAATGGAATCATCTGCGGTTGGATTTTCTACAGTCTCGATAGCAGTACGACCGGTATCAAGTCCCAGATCGGGGCGGTCTACACCTCGATCGCGACGCAGGGCTACCTGATTCTCATGTACGAAACCTACCGCCTCTCCTCGGTTGACATTAAAGTCTACGACCGCGAACGCAACGAGGGTATGATTTCAATCTCTGGCTTCCTGATCTCACGCCGGATGGCAAGACTTTTTCTCGAAGACGTGCCGGTCCCGCTCATATACTCTGTGATTATGTACTTCATGACGGGCTTCCCAGCCGAACCCAAGCGGTTCTTCCTGTACTTTACCTGTGTAATTCTTCAGCATTATGCGAGTATTACGATGGCGACCTTCGCGGTCTCGGTCTCGAGAGATTATTCGATTGCGGTCTTAGTCGGAAACTCGTTCTCGACCGCGCAGACTATGTCGTGTGGATATTTCTTGCAGACCCACAGTATGCCGGTATACGTGAGGTGGATCAAGTGGGTGTGTTACCAGGTAAGCTTTCGTTTTTCAGTGCAGTTTGATCTGTCGTGGATCTGACTCTTGTTATTAGTTTTATGGGTTTAGTGCGATGTGTGCCACAATCTTCTACGACTTCTTCGGAGACTGCCCGTACGGAGACGCAAGCACATCAGCCTGCGCGTCCTATACCGGCGACTACCAGCTAACCTCGCTAGGTATCAAACCTGGCTGGATCGGCGTTCCGCTAGTTGCTGTGCTGTGTCTCTGTCTAGCGACATACCTCGGCGCGGCGGCGATGCTGTATTTCAAGCCTGTCGATGTGTCGGTCGCGGCGAGCAAGACGGCGAAAGAATCGTCGGTCGCGAAGGCGGATGCTACGTTGACGGTCGTCGAACCCGTGCCCGAAAGTGATCGGTTGACGGTCGACGTTGAGGATTTGCATCTGTCGATTGAGAAATATAGTGCACGGTTGAAGAAAAAGCGGATCGATATTCTGCGAGGTATCTCTGCGCAGTTCCAGCCGGGCAGTATAAACGCCATCCTGGGCCCATCGGGGTCCGGGAAAAGTTCACTGTTAAATTTCGTTGCCTTGAGACTCAATTCCTCGCTTCTTTCTCGGTACATTGCGTCCGGCGCCGTTCTGCTAAACGGCCAGTCGCCGTCGCCTGCTGTACTGAAAGCGATTTGCTCGTACGTGACGCAGGACGATGACGGGCTGCTGCCTACGCTGACCGTGCGGGAGACGCTGAATTTCGCTGCCGACCTGCGTCTTCCGCCGACGTTGACGAAAGCGCAAAGACGCGCGCGGGTTGCCGAGGTGATTAACAAAATGGGTCTTGCTGAGTGTGCAGACACGTTGATTGGCAGCGAGTTCATCAAGGGTATTTCAGGAGGAGAAAAGCGACGGGTGTCGATCAGCGTGCAGCTCCTGAACGAGCCGAAAGTCTTGCTTCTAGACGAGCCCACGTCCGGACTCGATAGTTTTACAGCCGCGTCGATACTGACGGTCCTGAAAGCGCTCGCGGACGAGGGACGCACGATCGTCTGCACGATCCACCAGCCGCGATCGGATCTGTACTCGTTCTTCCACAACGTGCTGTTGCTCGCGAAAGGCGGCAGGGTCGCGTACTCTGGCCCGGGAGGGGACGAGTTGCTGGACTATTTCGCGGGGTGCGGGTATCCGTGTCCGCCGCTGACGAACCCGGCGGATCATATTCTTGATATGATTTCTGTTAATCTGCAGGATCCGGTCAGCGAGGCCGAGACGCGGGAGCGTGTTGATGCTCTGCTGTCTGAATTTGCTCGACGACGGCAAGAGAATCAGGAGAAGTCGATCGTGGGCCGGTCGTCTTCTGTCCGGCTGGTCAAAGGATACGACGGCGGCCAAGATCTCGGGTCGCTCGGTCGACAATCCGCCTCCTTTGCGCGGACGTTCCCGGTGCTCTGCCACCGCACGACGCTCGATTTCATGCGTAACCCGGCGATCCTGATCGGCCGGTTCGGACAAGTTGTCGGGTTCGGAATCCTCATGGCGCTCTTTTTCTCGCCGATCAAGTCCGACTACATCAGCATCCAGAACCGGGTCGGCGTCGTGCAGCAGTTCAGCGCAATGTACTTCGTCGGCATGCTGTGTAATATCGCGACGTACCCCGCCCAGCGGGACTTGTTTTATCGCGAGCACGACGACGGCGTGTACGGCGTGCTGTGCTTCCTTGTCGCGTACGCGCTGTTCGAGGTCCCGTTCGAGATCGTCAACTCGCTCATTTTCTCGTGCCTGATGGTCCTCGTCACGGGAATCAATCGCACAGTAGGCATGTACTTCTCCTCCGCGATCTTCTGCTTCGTAATCGTCAACTGCGGCGAATCGATCGGTATCGCGTTCAGCACCGTCTTCCACCACCCCGGCTTCGCAGTCAACATGATCTCCGTCGCTTTATCGGTCGGCACGCTGATGAGCGGACTTATGTCGTACAACATGATGGGGTTCTTGAAAGGCTTCAGTTATATAAACCCGCTCATGTACGGCTCGAAAGCGTTGTTCAACTACGCGTTTGCGGGACGCACGTTCACGTGCTCGGACGCCTTGAAGGTCGACGGCGTGTGTCCGCTCGCGACGGGCGACCAGGTGATTGATGCCTACCATATGCGGATTAACAAGGGGTTTTACCTCGGGATGCTCATCGTCACGGCAGTGTACTACAGGGTGTTGGCGATGGTGACGGTTAAGTTGTTTAGGTTGCAGTTGGGGTTGACTTCTGGGGTGAAGTCTTCTACAACAGGGCATCGCAATAGTCTCAAAGCAGCCTCAGAGAAAAGTAGCAAGGTGGTTCAGAAGGAAGAGAATGTTGGTTTAGAGATATAGACACGATAATGAGATCACAGATTGATTATATGAAACTTTTGTTTATATTTTCCGTACACACCGATTTGCTAATAGAACAAGATACACAAAGAAAATATACACGAATTTAAATGTAAGTCTCGTAGGCGATAGGAGCAAGAGTGACGGGCTCGTTGCCAGCAGTGGAGACGGTGTGGGCACCTCTGGGCTGGACGGGCTGTCTCTTGAGGAAGACGGGCTCTCCCTTCGTCTTGGCCTCCCGTTTCCGCTCAGCGTTCTCCTTGACACGCTTGACGAAGTTCTCACGGCACTTGGAGTGCTTGACGTGCTCGATGCGGAGGTTGACACGCTTCTCGAGGTAGCGGTTGCCGACGATCTTGTAGATGATGACACCGACGGAGGACTTGGTCACGTTGTAGACGATACCGGTCTTGCCGTGGTAGTACTTGTGGGGCATACCCTTCTGGACAGCACCGTTGGCCTTGATGTCGACAATGTCACCAACCTTGTAAGTGCGAAGGTAGATGTTCATGCTATCTTCATGTTAGTACTGCGTTCTTGTGAGTGCGACCAGATATCTTTCGCAACTGCTCTGCTCTACCACTACTCTTCAACATGTCCGTTCTTCTTAATCCTCTCATTCAGTAGTTCTTCATATCCCCTTTGATCCACCCATCCATCCATCCAACGTAGCAACAGAGCAGTCTCTCAAGATATCCTCACACCAAAACCAGCTCAGCAAATTTGACTTACGGAATGATTCCCTTCTTCTTGTAGTCGCGGGCGAACGCATAGCGCGTTCCCGATCGGTAACCGTGGCTATACAATGATAAACGTCAGTACTTTCCCACCTCGAAAAGAAAAAATGACGACGTTGAAACTGTTGCCCCCGTTCGATCCCATAATCCTACGTCTCCGCCCTTCAACACACCGCCAGACCAAGAGACAACCGAACGAGGACAACGTCTGACAGTATCGTCGCCATATATCTGAATGCGAAAGACTAACCTGTGACCCATTGCTGATTATATGCCGTTTGCTGAGGAGTTTCGTGAAGGGAAATTCTGCTGGCGCTCGGGAGTGTAACTGAAGGCGACGGACTGCGCTCGCTGTGTGTGGGTCGTGTTGGGACTTACGCCGCAGTCCTCGCTCGCTGCTTGCTTGTGTTTAGCAGTCACACTTTGGTTAGGGCTTAACCCTACTGAGCAGAAATAGCCCTTGCCCAGTGGTATGTAATATGTTATGTAATGAATCAGATCAGCTCATCGCCGCTCCGCTCACCGTGCGGCGGTTCCTACGATGATTGTTAAGTAGAAGATTAGAGCGTTGTCATTAGAACGTGCACAAAATAGATCTTTTATGTATAGAAAGCGACCACTCGCAAGAGAAAACAGAAACAAATACACTTGAAAAAGCAAAATTATATAACACCTTGGTACTTCCCAACTCTCAGATTTCGCTCATCTTACACCCCTTTTTCCGTTCGAAAACGAAACGACAAGCAATATTCACAAACCCAACTATTACTCGCCGGTAGCATACCCTTCATCTTCGTCTTCGCCTTCGATCGCGTCCGCGTAGCCGCCTAACCGCAGACCCATCTTGACGCACTCCTTCACCAGCTCACGACGGGTCTCGGTCGGGATACCAACCGACTCGCCTTCGTCGCCGCCGATCCAGATCCGCGCTTGGCCAATCAGCGCTTCGCTCGATTTCTCGACCGGGCGGCGGCGCTGCATCTTGCGAACTGTGGTCAGAACAGCGACGAAGCCCAGAAGACCAAGTTCGCTGGCGTCGTAGACTTTGAGGGATGAGTACAGCTTCTCGGCCACGTACGGACGCGAGGGTAGGACGGTCTGGATCAAGGCGCATCGGACTGCCACGCGAATATCGGGAGACGACAGCATTCGTGAAACGCTCTCTCCTGTTCCAGTCGCAGGGCTGGCGTCGGCATCCTCAGACGAAGTAACAGAGATCGAAGCTGAGATCGTGTCAATCTCAACGTCATCGTCAACTTCTTCATCGCTCGAGTCGGCATCTTCCTCCTCATCTTCTGATGATGATGCAATCGCCGACATGTTGCCCGGCTCCTGCTGCTGTTCAACAAACTGAGGAGTAACCACCTTGCTCTGTGTCACTGGCATCGAGCGCACTGGCGCACCCGGCGACTTCTTGGTAACCTTCAGATCCTCGCGAACGGCCTCCATCATCTCGCGAGTGTACTCGGGGCAAATGTCACCCAGCAGCACAGACCGCGCAATAAGCGCTCGTCGGTGGACGATCGAGTTGGGAGGCGCAACCTTGACGCTAGTAGCAAGCACCGCTGCATCCGGGACATCGTCGAGAGCTTCGACCAGGACGCTCCGGAGCTTGCGGCACGAGTACCAAGCCGCCAGAGCGTCGAGCGGGCTCTGAAGGGATGAGTCGTCAACCATGGACGACACACCGTCATCGCGGTAACACACGGAAAGACCCTTGTGGCAGGGATTGTTCCAGGCAAGGTTGTAGGCAAGAGTAACCGTGTCTCTGTCGAAGATGTCATCGCACTCAAGAAGATTGACGAGGTGCTCAGGAGTCTTCTCTCCGTCCGTGACCTCGCCAGATTCTTGCTGCTGACGCTGCAGCTCACGGGCTTCCTCCCATAGCGCACGCTGGCATCTATCAGAGACGCCTTGCAAGAACGGATAGTCGTGAAGAAGGACCTTGAGATGCAGTGCTTGGAGCATCAGGCGAACAGGAGTAGCGCGAATCAAGAAACTTGCCAGCAGAGTGATCAAAAGACGAACATGAGAGCACTCGGCGTCACCACCGCCTAGCTGAGCTTCGATCGCCGTTCGCCAGGCAGCAATGCGGACCTGGTCTTCTTCCTCCGTGGTGCCCACAAGCAAACGGTAGCCATCGAATCCAACTACCCGCCGCAGAGCAAGCTTGAAGATCTTCTTCATCACCGCAGCAAACTCCAGAGGCGCCACCCGAGGTGGTACGTTGACCGTCCGGATGGCAGTCAGCCAGGCGCGTTGGCGAACTTCGAGAGGACTGCTGACAGAAAGAGGCTGCGCGGCAAACACAGCAGGCTGGTTCTTGAGACCCTTGTTGCTCGAGTTGTCTTCGAATAGTGACGGGTAGAAAACGTACATGACAGCGCCGAGAATGAGGAATCCACGAAGAAGCCCGAAAGTAGCTTGTGCGTGAGGTCCCAAGGCAGTGTTGATCCCAGTGCGGATCATGAAAGGTATGGCAGCGAGTCCACGGGTATCTTGGCCGTCGACGTCGTTAAACGAGTTTGCAACCATCATACCGGCCATCGAGCCCATCATCAACTTGCCCATCATGTTACGTCCAGTGCCGCCCATCGACATACCAGATCCGATACCACCGTTGGCACCCTGCGAAGCCATGGGAACGCCGCCCATCATCGCGCCGCCGTTGGCGGAGGAACCAGCCGCCATCATGCCGTTCTGGTTGGAGAATTTGCTGTCGGAAAGCTCCTTGAGCTCCCGCATTAGTTGGGAGTTTCGCTGCTGAAGATGCATGATGTACTCAGTAGCCTTTGTGAGAATGGTGGCCTTGTTGAGCTTGTTTGCTGGCGTGAGGCCATCGAGTTCGTCATCATCATCCGCAGCACTGCCAGTCACGGCACATCGGAGAGCGGGCACACAGTCTCTAAGAGCGGATATTTTATCGTTGATGTTTGTGCGATATCTCTTCTCGATCATGTTGTGTGCTGTCTGTAGGTATTAAATGATAGAGTTAGCCTGTGATCAGAATCTGCAGAGAATAATACAGGATAGTCTCACCTTCTTTGGCTTGGTGATCTTGCCTCCCTTTGCGCTTTGCTCGGAAGTCTCTTGTGGAGGATTGGCGCGAGTAGAAGCAGAGCCACGGCGGACAGCATTGTGAGCAGAAACAGCGGTAGAGGCCTGGCTACCGCGCTTGGTGGCAATTCCAGAGCTCTTCGCTGCGGTCATAGCCTCTGCGGGGGCGTTCGACATGTGCTGTAGCTGGTTGTAAGGAACCTGGGATTGCATCTGCGCGTCGGCAGTGTAGACCCCTGGGGTGATTGGCCGTACGTTTTGTAGGGAGGGGTCATCATTTGAGAGGAAGACGAGGAAGTCGGCGAGAGGGAGTTGGGGGACATTGACGATGCAGAGGAGGCGGGGCCTTGGGACAGTTTGGTCGCATAGTCGGTGGGAGCCGCGTATGGGGTAGTGTTGAAGTCGTTGGGAGCGATTCCTTGCGGGACCTCGGACTTGATGTGGATCTGAGCGGCCTGGTTCATGCCGGTTTGCTCGAGCGGGAAGAAAAAGGCGTCGTTGTTCCAGGCATTGGGATCGCCGAGCTCGTCGCTGTTGGGAGAGAAGGACGAGAGCGGAGAGGATCCATGGCCGGAAGTGAGGAGCTCTTCGGGCGAGAGGGAGTGCGAGAGGTGCGAGGACTGGTAGGAAGACGAGGTTGTGTCTTCGGCCTCGAGTCTGGCGAGGAAGTCCTCGCAGTCGGCGAAATCGAAGAGGACGTTGTTGCCGGCGGGCTGGAGGGGCATTGTGGTGAAGTCGTCCATAGTGATGGGGTTGGGTAGTGAGGCAGACGACAGAGCCCTGGGCGGTTACTGTTGCGGTACTTCTAACCACACGGTGAGGACAATAGAGGTAGATAAAGAACAGAGGAAAAACAGAGGAAGAAAGAGAGAAAGAGGAGGAGAAGAATGAATCAAACGGTGGCCTTCTACGCAGCGCATGAAAAGGGAATCGACAGCAGAGGTGTGGTCTGATATTTGGCTGTGGCGCGGGGGCTGGTGGCTGTGGCGCAGGCAGAAGTGGACTGATCTCGCAGTCAGTGAGCGCACGTGAGCTCGGAGTAGCCCCTGGGGTGTTTATAGTGTTTCAAGCATTGTGTGCGTGCAGTGGGTGTGTATGAGGGGGGTATTTGTATTAGATGCGTAGGAGAATGCAGGACAGAGGAGAGGAGGGGAGTAGAGAGAGAGCAGGACGGCACTCGTTGGGAAGAGGTGGAGGAGGTGTTGGGACCCTGCCTGAGGAGGGAGGGCATTACGTCAGTCCGGTGCAGCGCAGGAGCAGATGGTGCCATGGCGGCAGTCGGCTGGATGCTGCGGGCAAGAGCACAGAGTAGAGCAGTGAGTCACGGAGATCAACGGGCTGAGAGCGAGGACTGCTGGTGCAGAGGTGTTGATATCAGAGAGCATCGCGTAGAGTTGGCTGGAGTCGGCTGTATGTCGTCACTCATCGCCGTCGTGCCTCGAGCGATGAGATGGGTCAATGGCGTCTCGCTAATTACAGAAACAGCCTGATCTGCTTCGGCATCTTGTTCACTTTGTCAGTCACTTCCAGTCACTTCGCGGACTGGTTCACAGAGACCTGCGACCTGCTCCCGAGGCATTTGCCTAACCGAAACCTAGCATCGCGCACACTCCGTGTTATGTCAGCTATATGTCATCTTACTGCACGTGATGTAATACATAATATTCTGAATACCGACAATTCTCTGTCTTGTTTGGATTTACTAAACAGATCTGGCGCATGCAAGTCTCGGCACAGTGTCCCGAGCAGTAAACAAACCACCAGCAACAAACAGCAGACACAACCGCCAGAGAACCCGGGGTATCGACGCAGCGGCAGGTGGTCAGTGTTATCTAATGATCGGCGGGTAACGAAGAGCAGCCCAAAGCCGAGATCCAAACCGAGGCGGCAGCCGTGGGTTTGTTTACTCGGTTCTTTATCTGCACTCCAAACCCTTCTGCTCGCCGCACCTCACCGGCCCAGCACGCCTCTCGCTTGACAAGTCATGTTCCTAAACTGGCCGTGTTTACATAATAGTCTCTACCTTGGCTCAATAAACAACTCCTCGCCAATCTGCTCCCGACTTCCGTCTCCCCTAATTCTCTGTCTCTTGTTTATCTCTCCATAGATCATCTCTCTTCCCTCTCTCCGACCTCTCTGCAACCCTCTCTGCAACCCTCCCATCATCCTGCGCACAATGTAGGTTTGCTCTCTGCTTTCTCGCCGGCGATCTTCCCGCAAATCCCTCTTCCATCCTATCTTCATCCTATCTTATCTGACACTGACACCTCCTTTTCCCCACCAGGTCTTCGACTTCTCAGGGGCCTCAGAGAATCTCAATCGTCATCCTCGGCGAGGGTGGTATGTATATTCCTTTCCTTGTCGTACGCACTCTCTCCCGTGCCTGCTCTAACCTCGACCTGTCACTTTCAGGAACCGGCAAGTCATGTATAACAATGCGTCTCGTGCGCAGTCAATGGATGGACGAATACGACCCCACTATAGGTACGTTGTCTGTTGTTCTACTGTCTGCACTCTGTATATTAATTGACCTGATTCTCTGCAGAGGACTCGTACTCGACCACCTGCGTCGTCGGTAAGCTCTCTATCCTTATTCAGCCCTTCTCTCTGTGTTATTGCTAACGCGCGCAGACGGCGAAACCTTCGAACTCGACATCATCGACACCGCCGGACAGGAAGAATACCGAGGCCTGCTAAGCGGTCTGTGGCAGGCCGGCAACGTCGCAGATGCATATCTGCTAGTCTACGACATTACGAATCTGCAGACGCTGCGGGCGCTCGAAGAATTCGACGACCTGATATCGAACGCGCAAGAGATCAATCATGCGCCTAATACGACTCCACCCGTGAAGCTGGTTGCGGGGAATAAGTGCGATTTGGCGACATACCGTGCTGTTCCTAGTCAGCAGGGACTGAATTGGGCCCGTCGGCATGGTTGTGGTAAGCAAAACTCACATAAAGATTTATACGTTATAGATCGTTAACTCTTCATAGGATTCATGGAAACAAGTGCGCTGATGAGTGTCAACATCGAAGAGACCTTCTCTCTGATGGTGCGGCGGGTGCGCGACAACCGAATCCTCGAGCAGAAAGCCCGCGAAGACGAACGCCGAGCACGCGAAGAACTCGCGTCGCAGACGGCGGCCGCGGTGGGTATCCCCGGAAACCCATACACATCCTCCACGAGCGACGAATACGGCTACTCCAGCCAAGTGCCTGTCTCTGCCTCTGCGTCGAGCCTGGCTTCACGGTCTGATGACATAGAGTTGCCAAACATATCCACAGCTGAACAGGCAGACCTGGCAGCGTCGACAACACCGTCGCCGATCAAGGAGAAGGCGGACCAGGCAGCGTTAGCGCAGTCGAGCAGGCCAGTCGCGGGCACGCAGGAGAAGAAAGACGCGACTGCGAAGGCGCGGAAAGAAGAGAGCGGGGGGTGTTGTATCATATTATAGTCCCCCGTCCCCACATCAAAACCTTCTTCCCAATATCTCTGTATTCTACTTCTTTCCTTTTGCTTGGGGGTGTGGACCAATGTTGCTCTTTCAATCTGTATCGATGTAATCTAGTATTTTTTATAATTCTCTGTTTATGTTGGGCGGCTCCTTTTTCGCATATAGTTGCAGATTATTCGTTTTGGGGGGGTGGTTTGTGTTTGTAGGTTAATGTTCTCGATAATACATCGTGGTCTTCTAGAGATACAAAATGTAGAGGAAAGCAGTAAATGCAGTGTTTAAGAGCTGGACTTGAGGTAGTAGTACGGCCATCATATAGCACCGAGTCATTAAAATTAGCTGGATTTCACAAAAGGTCAACATCGGCCGTCGAGCGGAGCAGATTGAATACCTCCAGCTGCAGGTACGAGCTTTTTTTTTATCTTGAAAGTGTTGGTTTCTAACGTGAGCCGCAAGATTCTAACCTGCGAAATAAAATCCAAGTTGAGAGAGATGAGAATCGTTTACAAGTCATAACGTGGAATTTTGAGGTGTCAAATTTTTTGAAATTTTTAAGATATAGAGATATCAAATAATTGTAAATATACGTGTAGTTTTATTTAAAAAAAAAAGAAAGAAAAAAAGAAAAACAGAAGGATGCTGGTGAATTTCATGTCTGGAGAATTACTGAACTTTGTGCTTTGCTGACTTGCGTGCTCTGGAGTAAATAAAGATGAATATCTTTGGTTTCGTAAGGATGTTGAGTGACAACAGTGATGTAAATAGTTCTCTGTATTTATCAGTTTGTATTTACTTTATTTATTTTCTGATTTTTGGATATTTTGGCTGTTATGACAATCGACTCAAACATATTGTGCATGTGCTGCACCACTTAAGAGCATACAAAGACCATCCTGACCACCACGCCAACCACCACCAACCCAAGCCAGTCCCGACCGAGACCCAACCAGACCCAACCAGCCCTCATCCGGACCAAACAACGGGACGATCAGCGATACGTCCCTGATCGGCGGCGACTCATCGGTCGCAGAGAAGGCCATCGGCCGAGCATCGGAGGATGGAGGCTTATAAGCCTGCTTGACGGCCCGATGGATTGCCGAGACACCAGGAGGACAGGTAACGGTCGTCACCGTGCGGCAGCCATTCTCTGCCTGTTTCATAGCGAATCTGCTCGTTTATTTATTTTTTGATTATTTTTCCTGAGGCTTTTTTTCTTTGTTTGGTTGTTTATTACTATGTGTCGGGACGGTGTTTGTGGACGAAGCTCCGGTGCGGACGCCGGAGTTTTGTAAAACATCGCATGCTGCATCTATTCGACTTACGGCCGAGACCGAAGTCAGGAGTGTGTATGCTTCAGACGAGCACAGATAGAAACTGAATCATGAGAAAGAAAATATTCAGAATGCAGTAATCAATCGCCGAGCGACCGAATGGCGAGCGTTCAAACAAAAACTCATTTATTGAGGTTTCTACATTCTGCAGACGGTAGAGCAGCACGGCATTTCTTATCGTGGCGAGTACGCGACTCCAGAGATTGAGATACATCCAACGCGCTCAGACGGTACGAGCGAGCGAGCGACTAATAAAAATCACCAAGGTCCGCATTCCTTTTCCTTCTGCTCTTTCTATCTTTGCTTGATAAACTCTGTGCAGCAGAAACAGGCCGCGCGTGGCCCCCACCACCGCCGCCGCTTCATATCACGATTCATTCGGACGGAGCTAAGCACGGAGAAGAATCCCGCCAAACGACAGCCGTCCCTGCTCCCCTCGGAAAAAAGTTAATGCAGGCCCGGCTCTGCCATCCCAGGTTTAGGGCCAAACAAACGACAAACAAAAATAAATAACCAGGAAAACGTTGTTTGGTCCGGAAAACGCACCCCGCTTACCCGTTTCAGTAGTTATCTGAATCCAACCATACCTGGGGCCCCTCCTCTGGCTGCGCGTCCCCCCAACGAGCGAGCGCGCGCTGCGCCCACCTTTTTTTTTTTTTTTGCTGTTTTCTTTTTTCTGTGCTGCCACCTCTTGGCTCGCATGATGCAGGAACAGGTCTCGCTTGCGGTTTACGTGCATGCTATAGTGCTGTCAGTCGGAGAAGGTGTGGCTTAATACGTAGATGCCTTCTGGCTGTTGCATTTCTTTTCTTCGTTAAGATACCGTAGAATGCTATAGATCTTTTAAATGCTCATAATGATTAGGTAATTGTCTCTAATCTGAAGGCTTATCTGTCTGTTTGAGATTGAGAGAAAGTATAAGCAGCGAATTAAGGTATAGGCTATCCGGAGCAGACAATGCCCGGTGCCGTAGACCTCTAGTCGGAAACCTTGCAGTTCCCCTCCTCTCTCTCTGCGTCGTCTGCATGGTTTTGTGCTCACTAAATCCTGCTTATTTGTCTATAGGCAAATTCGGGACATGATAGTTCGTGGTTTTTACGGAGACTGCCGAGTTGCAAACGGCATCTGTAAATATCAGGGAAGAATCCACGATTTCGAGAGAATCGATGTAGCATGACACACCACGCTGGAAATGCAATCGCGCGAAATCATTCAAGATCCGGAGACCTCCGACCTCCTATCAGCTCCGAGCAAAGCCATTGATTTTGTGATCTGAATCGGTCGTGGGTTGTTCTAGCTTGCTCTTTTGCTGCTCAGGTTTATGATATCTTTCTCCGGCGAGGGATTGAGTTTTCTACCTCGGTTTCTGGCGGCAGACAGGCACCGCTGGCAAAGACGAGCTTAAAGACGAGCAGATTGAGCACGAGTGACGTGTTCTGTTGCACAAAGACTCGGGTGAATGAAATATGTGGATGGTAGGAGAACGAGAGGCCAGAGAAAAGGCGAAGGAGATTAAACCCTGGAGTGCGCCAGAGGTTGATTGTATACAGGGTACAGTGCGGAGTCAGACACAGGTATCGCCGAAGTACCCCAGAGAATGAGATCATGGAGACAATAGAGAGAGCTGGGATCACAATAGATAGAGCAGAAGAGGTAAGTGAGTGAGAGCGTAGAGCGCGATTGTGTGAGAAAGGCGCGAAAAAAGTGCTCAGGTCGGTGCCGAGTGAGCCGACTACCGCCGACGAAGAGTGATCCCATTCTATTCCACTTTGAGCAAGCACAAACTAAGCTACTCACTTTCTCGACACCAGACAAGTAAACTCAGGACAGCCACTGATGTCATAAGCAACTTTACCTTCATTATAGCTTGTTTGTTCTGTCCATTCTCTCTCGCGCTGCTGCTGCTACTGGTCAACTCTAATTGCGCTAACGTTTCCGCGTAATGTTATTCTAGGCACGTAGCCGGCTCGCCACAAATCCAATTGTGAACAAACGGCGATGTCATTGAACATGGCTGGCTGTGATCTATGTTTATTTCGAGAAAGAGTTTACATTCGCGGATATACGGATGCGCAACGCGAGGCAGCGCTCTGCGATTCTAGATTCTCGCCAAGGGTCTGATAACGCGTCAGGCCGTGTTCCTCGGCACGAAGCGGTTTCGGACATAGTGCCCAGAACAAGAACGCAGATAGAAAAGACAAAAAGGACAAGACCAGCAAAAGAAAAACACAGACCGCCGGCCTTTACCCACGGGGGGTGTCAATTAGCCTCTGCATCTGAGAGAGGAGAGGGAGGCGGGTTTGAAGATAGAAGTAAACTTTACGCCGAAAGACTAGTTTCAAAGCGAGCAGGAAAAAGTAAAGATTTGAGTGTGCTGCTGCTGCCAAACAAGAAACGGGGTTTTCCGGCACAAAGGGACAATGACGACGATAAGACAGGCGCGCGAAAAAAAGTAAAGGGGCACGTACTTCGAACAATATGAGCTCTGTAGTTCATACCCGGGGCCTTGGCCGGAAAAGCAATGAATGAAACAGTCGTTGGCTTTTCATTTGAGCAGCCGATTGGTCTTTTCTTTTTGCCTAGGATTAAATGTTGGCTGGCGGTTATCTATCCCGAATGCGTTCATCGCCGTCGTCGTCGGAGATGGGGGTGGGGGCCACATTCTGCTTTTCGCAGGGTACTGGTGGCTTGCCGAGACTACGCAGTGAGCTTCGAGGAGATTCTCTTTAGGAGATTAGCAGCTTGAGGTCTAGTCTAGTTTACTTGGATGGCTATGGGCGAATGAGGATAGCGTATGTGAACGAGACTGGCTCGATTGAGCTAGCGACAAACAAAGATCGTTGGTGTGGTGCAGAGGAGAGACAAGAAGAAGGTTATTGCTCGGGTAAATAGAGATATGAACAGACGTGTCGGCCCGCTAAGCGATGCAGATTGCGATATCAAGAAAATCTGAGCCACTGGCGAAAGATGTAAGGCATTGTGAGCATGGTTGTGATGAGGGAGTATTGCAGATAGAGTTTGCTAGTCGATTGGAAATCGGAGTGATGTAAGGCTACTGAGGAGTTTTCTGTGATAAGGAATAAGGACGCAGCTGGCTGCAGCCACCCAAACGGCCTATTCTGCCTGACAGGTTACCGTACGCGGGCTGAGATGCGCACAATGGGTGTGTAGATAGCTGATGAAGAGGATATGATAACACAACTGAAGTAAAAACATATATATGAAATAACAGAAGCAAGATAGATGAAGGGGACATGATATTACTCGATGACGAGGTCGAGGTCGAGGATGCAGGTACGCGTTCGATTGACTACAAAAGCCGCACGGCGAATTGACGCGTCTCGGTATGTTCTTATTTATGATTTGACTTGTCTTTGTGCGGGTGTGAGCGTAGGGTGACGGTGACGGCGACGGCGGCCCAGGGTCCAGGATGGGGGAGGAATGGCTGAGGTAGTGTGGTGCATGGGAATGTGATGCTTATACGTAGAGTGAATAGCGCGCAGAGCATCTACGTGATTCTCTAATACTGTTCTAGTATGATCCAGACTGCTAAGAGTCTCTATCGAGTAAGGTCAGGAGGACGAGGAGAGAGGAAGGCACTACAACGAAAGAGGCAGCGATGTCGTAATGGACGCAGGATATAGAAACCAGATCCGCTTCTCCGAGCGCAGGGCCACCGTCGTCTACGCGATAGCGAAGTAGGCGAGAGCCAAGTCGTGTAGAGTGAAGCAGCGTAGTAGAACAGCCGGCGCAGGATTCCCGAGCGCGCAGTGTGCGCCGCAGCAGTTGACGTCATCTCCCAGACGGACTCGGGCCGAGTTCTGGCTGACAACCTCCGAGCGGATTAAACTTTTGTTGGTAAATCGAACTCTGAGGGCAGCGACCTGTTCAGCCTTCCGAATTCGACCTTGTTCCCTGTCCCTCTCTGGCGGGAGCGACCCCTCTCGGCGGGCGCAAAGAGCTGGGAAAACAGACAGAAAGAGAAGGAGAAACAGAAGAAGAAAATAGAGCGACGAACAGAGGCATCTGTGATGGCCGGGGGTGGGGCATCAACTACGAAGCCTGCAACTGCTCTCTGCTCTGCTCTCTCCCTGCCCTCTCTCCATCTCCTACTCCACCCCCTGCCTCCTACTACGACTTCCTCTACTGGCCGTCCTCCTTATTCTGGTTAGCATCCTCCTCTCGCCTTCTCTCCACCCCGGGGCGTGTGCGGTCCCCAGCGGAGTCAGCGGCACATAACAGTATAGAGTTAATTGACACAGAGCCGATTCTCCGTACCTTGCCCTAACCCCGTGGTACCCGGTCCTCGTCTCCAATTCAGACTCGAGTCTCGTCTGTCCGACTGAACTTCCTGCTTCCTCTCGGGCCCTCGGCCGGCTCTCCATATAAGCTTCCGTGCCGGCCCTTTCTGGACGTTCTGCTCTTCACTGCTCTGCTCTGCCTCTTCTCCACCGCGCTTCTCCACTCTCCACCACTCCTCTTCCTTCTCTGATCTACTTCCTCTCTCTCTCTCCTGCCCCGGTGCATGCGATCTGTTGATCTCACCGGCTGCGACTCTGCATCGTCTCGAGCGACCGTTGTGCTACTACTTTAGTGCCCTTCTCGCAACCGATCTGCTAGTCCAGTCGATCTATACTTTGCCCGTCATCTATTGCGTCTGATATCACCACTACTACTATCACTACCACTACTACTTTTTCCACTACTCCGCCAACATTCCCGGCTCAACCACAATCAACAATCAACATCTTCACAATGCCTTACACTCACCCCCACCCCACATCCCCTGGCTCTCCTGAATGCGGTACGCGCAAGCGCGTCGGCAAGGCCTGCGACTCGTGCCGGTACGTATCCTCCACCCGCATCTCCTTCTTTACTCTTTACTCTCCACTCTGTCAGCTGCTGACACCATACTAGAATCAAAAAATCAAAGTGCGACGGCCGCAAGCCCTGCTCGCGATGCACTGCCGACGACAAGATCTGCACTTTCACCGAGAGAAAGAAATCAAAGGAGAAGCTGTACTCGTCGCGGTACGTCGAGCTTCTCGAGAACCGCATCGAGATCCTGCAGACCGGAATGGAGGAGCTCGTGAAGCGCGTGTCGCGCGGCGACAACATCAGCAACCTGCTCACAAAATCCGGACATGTCTCGATCAACCGCGCGCTTGACGAGCTCACAAATAAGAACTTTGAGTTGCAGAAGGAAGAGCATGAGCGGATCGTCGACGTGCATGATGACAGCGAGCACGATACCGACCACGAGCATGATTCTGCTGACCAGCGGAATTTTGACGAGAAAATGTTTGTTTTCTTCTGCTATATAACTATTTGTGACTTACTTTACTGACACAGCTACAGGGAGGACAAGGTGCTCGAGCTCAAGACCGAGCCCGACTTTGACGACGTGATTGCGGGCAACAGCTGGATCGGACAGACAGACTATGTGCTCGACAGCAGCGCGAGTTCAGTGCTGCAATCGCAGACCGACGGCCTCAGCTTTGGCAGGAGCAGCGTGCTCCCTCCTGATCCGGCGACGATCATCCGTGGACATATTGAGTCCATGTCTCCTGATTCCATGACCTCTGCGTCGTCGCTCTACTCGCCGTCGGGATCGTCGAGCCCGATTGACGGTCAATTCCCCCAGGAAGGTATTCGAAGCACCGCAGGCGGGCCTCTCAATATCACACTTGACACAAGCGATCTTTCTACTCTCCCGCAGTCGGTGATGGTCGATTACCTTGATCAGATCACGCAGGTCTCGATGGCTGACAAAGTCGACGATCTGTCTGATGTCTGGCTCACGACTACCTTCAACGACATCTAATCTCCCTGTGCTGATTCTCTCTCTCTTCATTTTTCCGATGTTAAACTATTCTTGCATCTGACATAAATTGGTTTCTAAATTGGGTGTCTTGGTCTTTACACGTCTGCGTCTTGATTTTCTGTTTCGTGTGCGCGCGGTCTATACATTTGCTTGTTTTCAGCTTTCAGCGAGGAAAGGGTTTTCTTATCACGTTTGAACTACAGTCTTTTGCAAACGCGTTTGAGTGCTTTTTTAATTACTATGCGGTGTGGTGTGTCTGAGTATCAAAAAACGGTTCTCGCCCGAGAGGTTGTGCGGGGAGAGCAAAAGGAGGATGATTTATGATTGATTTGGCAAGTTTAGTCTTTTTCCCGAATAGAAGAGACAAACTTGTCTAGATGGATGAAATGCTTTCTATTTTTTTATTTATATATTTTCTGTTTACTTTTGTGCCGAATTGTTTTTTTTACTGCTTGCGAGTGTGCCAGCTCAGCAGGCATTGGTGTTCAGGGTCGGGACTTTCTGTTACGTTTTTTTTATTTTCCTCTCTTATTGTTCCTGATGTTTCTTTGTTTTGAGTTCCTTTAATGTACATAGTCTTGTTCCTGTTTTCTTTTCTTTTTCTCACCTTTGTCGTAATCGAATAATATTGAAGTATATGATTTGTGAAGGAGTAACAGAATAGAGACTAGCAGGAAGTAGCAGGAGCCGTACCGGCGACAGGTTGGTGAGCACACAGCCAAGCCAGCCAGCCAGCCAGCCTATCGGAGCCTCTTGCGAGGTCGTGGAAGTGCCGACTTTTCCCTGCCCTTCCCCTTGTTCTCGCACGGAGTTTTTCCTGCCTCTGGAGCTTAAACTCGACGCAGGAGCAAAGGAAAGTGCCGACTTGCCGGTGATTTGGTTTTTCTGTGCGGCGGGCGGTCGCGCCCGGGTACTCGGCCAAGGAGCCTGAAAGTTTGCCTGCAGTTCGTCTAAAGCCCGATGCAGATGCCGTTTTGCCTTCCCCCCACGCCGAGACCGTTGTTTTTGCTCTTGTTTGGCTGTCTGGTCAGTTTGGAAAAGCAGAGCAGAGCAGAGAAGTGAGAGAAGACTTCGACTAGTAAACAGCCGCTTGGTCTTATCACGGAGGGCGAAGAGTGCTAACCAAAAGCTTAGCCGGAGCACTACTTTAAGCTTCATTCGTCAAGCAAAGTCGGTGTTCTTTATGCCCGATAAACCGAGGCTCCCTTCATCCCCGGGCCTACCTGCCCATTCAGACTTTACTCGACTTTACACCCCGGCGTTCTGCGCAGAGCAGAGCAGGGCTGCGTAATGGCTGCGCGGGTACTGGCAAAGCTGGCTTGTGCCTTTCTTGTGCCTTTTCCGACCCCTTGCTCCTGGAGCAGGCTTAATATCCTCGGGTTTAGTATTTCATCAGAGTCCATTATTTCATTTTCCCCCGACCTAACCAGCCATTATGTAAATCCGCATTGTGGTTGGCTAGCACGGCAGGAGAAATCCGTCGAGGTGGCTGCTGGACAGAAACTGCCTGATTTGGAAAGCATGAGCAGTCATCTCCCTGTCAGGCTCGGTGACCCCCTCCTACCTTATGCAGTCTACATTCGATATATTATTCATCAATTTTTTTGCTCGCGACCAGACACTGCTGCTGTTCAGTAGATTGCGAATATAAATGAGTGCTGAAACTCGTGTGTCGGGTAGCGGAACTGTCAGATAGATTGATCTTGTTCTCGGCGAAATTCCTGCTGCTCCTGCTGTGTTTTATCTTTGCTATGCCAGCCTAATCTGTGTTCTGTTTAAAACAAGCGCAATCTCTATAACCAGCATAAACTGAGCACCAAAGCAGAAATGCGAGCAAACGTCATACCTCATCTGCTGGGTGTAGTGCACTTTAGGCAATGCCATAGCAGATCACCTAAAGCGAGCTAGCGAATTCGAGAATCGTCATCCACACCGGCGCTGGTGCCGTAGCCGAACCCGGTCGCCGCTCCTGCCGCTGTAGACGCATCTGCTGCGGGTACGGCTGATTAAGGTGTGTGGTCGGTTGCCGGCGCTAGAAGCTAGCTCATTGTGTGATGGGTAGCGTGATTGTGCTGAGATGGACCAAGATCCTGCACGGTGATGGGGTGGGTTCTGGCGCGGGGAGTTTATTCCGCGACGCTCGGAATTTCTTCCGCTTCCAATGTGTTTCTGAGAGTTTAGCTCAGTGCCGTTGTCTTGTCTGTTTTCTGTTTCAAGTGTGGGAGATTCACTGATATAGTCTGTGCTGCTGGGCTTTGCACGGTGCGTCTAATCGCTTGAGGAAGGCAGCCAGAACTAACAGCAACAGTGACAGGTTTCGAAAGCTTTGCAATGACTTCTTTGCCAAGCATAGACAAACAGACAAAGCAATTGCTTTGTTTTTCTAGCTCGTGTTTAATAGTGCACGGTACACTCGATAGTTTTGGAAGCAGGAACAATATCGGCTGTGACGGCACCGTCAAAGTTCGCAAGAGAGTGTGAGAAAACAGAGCATGACGTTTGAGACCGATTGAGACTTTCTTTCAAAAGCTAGACTTCTCGTCTTTTGAGATCAATAATGTTGGATAGAAACAGAACAGAACAAGGGCCTAGAAGATCTGAAAAATAAGTGTGGATGTAGAAAAGGGCGTAAGAGAAAGGGAGATTAAGCGAATACCAAAAAACACTCGATATTCGCATACCCCGGATTCCTTCCCCCTTCTCTTTTCCCACGCAAAAAAACACAACTATGAGTCGGTAGTTTATCTCAATTTAAAGAGAAGATTGATTAGAGATCAGCGACGATCAGTCAGTCTAAGCTCCCGTGCGGGTCTCGATTGATCGTCATGATTCAACAATGAAGGTGGCCGTCGCTGAAAGTATATCTGACATAGGGTTTTAATTTATTTATTTTCTTTTATTTTTATTTTTTCTCGTCGCTCGGGAAACAATGCTGGAAATCCGTGATGATTACACACGGGAATTATAATCAACCTGTAATCAAGTTATAATCAAGTAAATACCATATAAATGTATTTTGTTTTGGTACGATCGGTTTACGAAGGAGGTGTATGCAGACGCTTATTAATTGCACGCTGATTTATAATCCTGTGAATTCGTAAGCGTGATGTCTATGCGCATGTGCTGAGAGTAAATTCTATCTTTTGGGTACCTTCGTGGAAGAAATGGGTACACCAGGCCTACGATGTAACTCTGGCGTGCAAATCTGCATGTGCATCTACCTTGTTGATGACAATCTATACATCTACATCCAAGCTCTCGCCTATACTCTCAATCATCGACACCAACTCCTCGACCGTCTTCTTCGTAGTCGTAGGCGCATTCACCACCGCTCTGAAAAACTCGCCCTTGCCGTCCTCAGGACTCGCCGGCGGCGCGTAGTCGACCAAGAACCGTCCGCTCGCCTGCAGCTCGTGCGCAATCGTCCGCGTCACTTTGGTGTTGTACTCGGCCGTGTTGAGCAGCGCATCGCGCTTGTTGGGCGAGTAGTAGAAACAGGTTTGCAGGCACGGCGGCGGGTTGCTGGAGAGCAGGTGGAAGCCTGCTCGTGAGGAGATCAGGGTGGCCAGATGGGCTGTGACCTCGAATGCGGTTTCTACGCGCTCGCCGTAGCCTGCGATTGTCGCTAGAGTTAGCTTGATCTTCGGAGACAATTGATCTGGGTATATGCACGTACCTTCCTTGCCATACCACTTCCACCCCAAAAACAGCTTGAGGGAATCCGCGCGTCTGCCGCACCCCATAGTAGAATCACCGATATCGAAATCCTCGCCGTCGACCTCACTGTTATGGAACAGATACGGCGCTCTCAGCGACGACGCCTTCTGAAACACCCTATGATCCGGCGCGAGCAAGAACGAGCACGTCAGCGGCACACCCAGCATCTTGTGCGGATTCACCGTCAGACTGTCGGCCAGCGCGACGCCCTTGAGCTTGTACTTTAGCTTGTCTGAAAACACGACGTTGCCGCCCCACGACCCGTCAACGTGGAACCACAGACCGTGCCGTTTGGCGACGGCCGCGATGGCTTCAAAGGGGTCGTACGAGCCGTAGACGGTCGTGCCGGCCGTGGCGTTGACGTAGAGCGGCGTCCGGCCCTGCTTCTTTGCCTCGAGGATCTTCTCCTCGAGCACATCAACGCGCATGCGCTGCTCAGCGTCAACGGGGATAGTCCAGACCGCCTCGCTGCCGAGGCCGACCGAGATTGCCGCTTTCTCGACCGAGTAGTGCCCGTGCGCGGAGGTGAAGATGACGAATCTGTGGTCGCCGTTGCCGGTCAGTTTTGTGTCGGGGTACAGGATCCCGCGGGCGACGATGAGCGAGTGCGTGTTGGATGCCGAGCCGCCGGGGAGGGTGAGGCCGCCTGACCATGGCGAAGTGAACCCAAACAGCTCGGCGTACTCGTGCGATGTTTTCTTCTCAATCAGCGTGAGCACGGGCGACACGCTGAAGATGTATCCGTTTGTGTTGAGGATCGAGAGCAAGAGGTCCGACGCCACGCCGACGGGGTTCGTGGACGCGTACAGCTTGTCCATGAACCCCGGATGCCATGTCACGATCGAGTGCTTCAGAATCTCGTCCAGCACCGCCAGAAACTCGGTCTGCCCGCCGCCCGTGCTGGGAAGCGACAGGTGCGCTCCCAAAATGCTCATCAGCTCTTTCGGAGGCACTGGGTCCCCTATGCGCGCGCCCGGCGCGTCCGCCGCAGCGACGTAGGCGGTCGCGCGCTGCGACACCAGCTCGAGAAGTGTTTCGAGCTCGGCGGCGCGCGACGAGGACGCCAGACCGGATGGCGACAATTGGCTGTTGCCGTTCTGGATAGCAGACGGTGGACTCATATCAAAAATGTGTAAATGCTGCTGTGCGTGCGAGTAGTATGCGCAGTCACAGGACTAAATCTAGGACTGAATCTTCTGGGGAAGAAGCGATGCACCCCCGGACCGGTTGAAAATTCAACATCGCGTCATCGAGAGAAAAAATTTAAAGTTTGTTAGCGAGGCGGATGACTAAGAGATAATTAATGTACGCGGTTTTGTCGGGCAGTACGCTTTCACTGCGCCGGTTTGTAGATTGTTGATCTGTGCTGATGTGAAGTATGTGATTGTTTTGGTCTTGTGATAATAGTTTACTGTTGATTTATGTAGATGTAGAAAGCAGTGGGAAGAGGTAGAAGTGGCTTCGAGCTGTACACCGACATCCCCCGGGTCGAAACAGCCATGCACAGATTCCTACCGTTCTCGTCACTTCAGTCATCTTCGCAGCTGACTCTTGTCTTTGGCCGACGCTGACAAGTCAAAATCTCATGATCTGCCGTAAATCGTCGTGATTCCGGCCGAGAATATCGTAGTGTAAGCAACTTGAGATGCAGAGAAAGCCGTTGGTCGTGCGGCAGTTTTGAGTTCCTCTGCGATCCTCCCCATCATCAACCTCCATCGAGAGCCAACTTCTCTGCCGTCCGATCCAGCGATTAAACCACAGCGATGGTCAGTCCGTTCATCCCTCTAGAATCCAACCCGGACGTACTCAACCGTCTCGCGAGCTCACTCGGCCTCGCGAGCCCAGTCTCGTTCCACGACGTCTATTCGCTCGACGACGAGTCGCTTCTCTCGTTCATCCCGCGCCCCGCGCTCGCGCTCTTGCTCGTCTTCCCGATCTCGGCCGCGTATGAGGCGTATAAAGACAGCGAGGATGCCGCGAGACCGGTATATGAACCCTCCCCGGACGATGGGGTGATTTGGTTGAAGGTAGAGGCTCGTCGGCTATTCACACATCTCGAGATGATCTATTAACATGACTCTGTAGCAAACAATAGGAAACGCATGCGGCACCTACGCCGTCCTGCACGCGCTCTTAAACGCCCCTTCTCTCACATTCACGCCCTCCTCCCTCCTCGCGACCTACAAACACGACCTCCCCCCGCTCTCCCTACCCGCGCGGACAGCCTACATCGAGTCCTCGACCGCTCTCCGCACACAGCACGCCGCCGTAGCGTCCGACGGCGAGACCGCGGCCCCGGCCGCAGAAGACGACACGAATCTGCATTTCGTGGCATTTGTCAAGACGCAGGATGGCGTGCTTTACGAGCTTGATGGGAGACGCAAGGGGCCGATTGAGCGCGCGAGGTTGGCGGAGGACGAGGACGTGTTGTCGGAGAAGGCGACGGGGTTTGTGAAGCTGTTTATGGAGAGAGAGGCGAGTGCTGCGAAGGAGGAGGAGGGGTCGGGGTCGTATTTGCAGTTTTCGTTGGTTGCGTTGGCGCCTAGCTTTGATTGATGTCTTGATTCCTGCTACTTGCTACTTGAGAAGAAAAATCTGAATTATATATAATAGCAAACCCACCCACTGACAGCTATAATTACATACTTATGACTCCCCTAAAGTACACACCCAAAGCAATGAAAAAAGAACAACACCATCTCACTCGTACTTCATCTCCCCCACCTCCACGTTCGCCATCAACTCCCTAACCGTAGCCAGCACGCGCAAACACACCGCCGGATTCCTGAAATCGTTCTGCAAGCAGATCCAGTCCAATTTCAACGGCGCAATGCTGCTGGACTTTGTCGCCGGCGGCTTCGAGTACTCCTTTGATGGCTTCGAGCTCGAGGTGAAGGATTGGCATGCGTGCTCGGTTAGGCTGTAGGCTTGTCGGATGTGCTGGCGCAGTTGGTAGATGGTGTAGATGATGGCGCTTGAGATCGCGAGCGACTGTTGCTGCTGCTGCAGGTCGGCAGGAAGTTGCTGTGCGTCAGTGTCCGGGGCGGAGACTTTGCCGAGCAAGTCTGAAACCGCCATGAGGACCGTCATCCCCGTACTACCAATAATCTTGTCAAGTCCATGCACAATCAGATACGGCTCCTCTACGATCGTCAGATCCAGCCGCGCAAGGCAATACCCGACGTACCTAACGTATCCCAGATGCCGGGTGCGCAGGTCGCGATCGTCGGCGCCAGCCTCCGAGACCGGCACACCAGCCACGAGTTTTCCGGGGTCAAAGTCAAACGACCGCACGACAGAGGTCAGCAGCTTACGCTTCGAGTTGCGGTTCTGCCGCACGAGCGAGTACAGCGGCATCAAATCAGCGTTTGAGCCAACGATCACGCCGCTGTCGTCTTCGTTCGCGCTCTCGTCCCCGCTAGCTTGTTTCGAAGACCGCTGCAGGCGACGATACTCGTACGCGCGGCGCACGCCTTCGACGTAGATTCCGTCGATCAGCGACTCGTGCTTGCTGTGCAGCTTGCGATGGATATCAACCGCGAGCGCGTTGATCGTGGGGTTCATCGACGTCTCGAGCGCGATAAGCGTGGGAACGCAGGACCGCGGATTGGCAAACCCCTGCGTCACAATCTTCTCCAGCAGCAGCGTCGCCGATAGTGCGTAGTCGTCCTCAGAGTCTATCGCGACCGCGAGAATGTTTTCCAGGTATCGCTGACTCAGTGATGCGCTCACACTGTGATGGTTGTTAGTATCGTAGTTCTACCGCGTGCTATTGAGAAATGACATACCCGTCGTTAGCAAACTTGTGCGTATCTCCTTTCAGCACGCCTATATCAACAGTCTCTTCACTGTTGCCGCGCTTCCTGCTCGCTTGGTCCGCTTTCTCCTGGTCGTGCGTCACAAACTCGATCAGCATCCTGATAACTGTATTCTTCAGCTCGCGATCATCAGACTCCCACGCGTCGTCAAGCACTCTCAGCGCCATCTTCGACAGGTAAATCTGCGGGTGCGTGATTGCCATGTTGCCTATGTTTCTGATTGCAATCTTCTTGATCTTGGCCGGCACACACTGTGCGCACGCAAATACCTGCAGCGTAAGCACAATCATCTCGACAACAGACCGTCCCTTGATTCCCGGAACGGACTGGAACATTGCAATGTGCTCCTCGAGGTTGAAGTACCGCCCAATCATACCCAGCAAATGCAGCAGCCGGATGACTTTGTTCTCCACCTTGACACTGTCCTGCTCGTAGCTTTTGAAATGACCCGATAGAGCTTCAGCCTTGTTTGGCGCAATCATCTTCAAGCACGAGACAGTGGTAGCCGCAAGCCGACGCGTGTCCTTCAGCACCAGACTGATGTCCCACAAACACGGCACGGCCTCCGCCAGTTCGCGTAGATTGAACTTTGTAAGCCGCGACAGGAGGATCTGCTGCACCTCGGTGCTGAATTTCGACCGCACGGCACCGACGGTAGGAAGAATGTTTCGGAAGACGACGAGGACGTAGTACGTAGCTAGGTCGTCCTTGGGGGACTCGTGCTGTAAGTAGCTCTGCAGTGCAACAAGTTGCTCGGCTTCGAATAGTGACTTGTTGGCCGTGGCGAATAGCGCCAAAAGTCCAAACAGGCTTTGCAGCGATACCTGCGGGTTTTGTTAGATGCGGGACCCTGAAATCACTCTGAAAAGCTCTATGCATACCTTCTTTCCGGGTGTCCAGTCGATAACCGACTCAATCAAGTTCTCTACCATAACCTTCGAAATAGCAGCCCAAACACCTCCATCGCTCTCTTTCTTCTTGAGTCCAGTCAACAGATTCTGCATCAGCTTCACAATCTTCGGATCCTTATTACCGCGTTCTCTGACTTGTAACAGGATCTGCACGCGGCCGTCGACTTCAGTCTTGTAACCCAGCTCGTCAGATTCGGCGGACTTTTTCGTTGGACCAAAGTAAATGTCCTCTAAAGTCTTTTGCGCCAGCTCACTGATCGACTCCTCAATGTCTTCTGTCCGCCGCAAAAGCCGATCCGTGATCTCGACCTCGATGCTGACGTCCGACGTAGACACGCAAATGTCTCGGAGCAACTTGACGACGCGTTTGCGCACCGCTGTGCCGGTGTCGTTGGCCCGCTCGCAAAGCAGCAGATAGTACTTCTGCGTGACTTCTGGTTTCGTCAAGATAAACTTGCCAATTGTATCGACGGCCGCGTCCCGAACTTGCGCAGACTGGTCTCGCAGCCGCGAGGAGACGTTCGAGAGAACGATAGGGATCATCAGGATCGTCGGGTCGACGGCTACGAGAATGCTGAGAACTCGGAGACCTTTGGTTCGCGACGTGATGCGTTCGGAGTTGAGGGACACCAAAATCTCTGAGAATATCCGGTCATAGAGCTTATATAATGGCATCAGGCGGGAAAAGTCGGTGTATTTGGCTTTCATCGCCGCCGGAGTTTCATCCTCAAAGCTATTGCAAGTCGTTAGAATACTCATTCTGTAAAAACACAAAAAAGGTATCATACTTTTCCTTGGCTGCCCAAGTATTAGACGACGCCTTTTGCATCAACTTCTCAATAGCGCCATCGACCACAGGCTTCACAGCTTCAACATCCAGAGAGGCAAGCAGCGCTACCCAAGCCGTCATGAAATACCCAAACGATCCGCCGGCAGTCGAATCCACCAGCCGGAGTTTATGCAGATATAGCAAAATCGAATTTGCAACCTTGCCGATCTGCTTCATATCCGACTGGGAAGCCGACGCGGTCAGCTCCGGAAGCTTCGAGTCGTGGTGCCGTAAGAGCAGCAGTTTCTCGCCGATCGTGCCGAGGATGTCGATTGCCATGGTGCAGACCAGTGCAGGTTCCTTCTCGTTGTTTGCAAAAGAAATCATCCGCATCGCCAGCGAGCGAAGCAAGACTTCGGCACCCGGCCACTCGGGCGACTCGAGCACGACAAGAAAATCTTCGGTGAAGAGATCCAATAGTCCGCGATAAGGCTGGTCATCGCGTGATTTCGACTTTAGCACCCGTTCGATCAGGAAACTGATCACGTCGTTGGAACTTTTCAAAGCTTCAGAGTTGCAGCGCGCACACTCTTGGATGAACTGTGCACGCTCGTCTGATTGCTGATCGTTATCTTCTGCCCCATCTCCTTGTGGGACAGAGGAGACAGAAGCAAATTTTTGATTGAGATGCAACGACCCGGCTGTTTGCACAAGACGCAGGATAAGCGCAGTCACCAACTGAATATGACCGCCGCCTACAAGCTTATACTGTCGCGCGGTCTGGCGACTCACGGGAAGCTTCTCAAGACTAGTCAAGATCTCGTTTAATAGAAAAGTCCGCTGCTCGGGCTGACATGCGAAAATCTGTGCGAGCACGTCCATGGCTGCCACGCGGAGATTCTCAATATTTGCAATCCCGAGGTACGAGTCTTTGTTGAACGTGGGAGTCTCCGCGAAAATGACGCCGATGCACACAAACTCGAATCTGGAGATTACGGTCTCGCTCACGTCTTGCAGCTCGAGTAATTGGTAGATCAGATTGATGACCCGAATCATTTCCTGCAAGAGACCCAAGACCAACTTCTTGAATGGTAGCAAGCTCTCCATATCAGACACGGGTGGGATAAGCGGGATAAACAGGCCGTCGATAAGACCGCTGAGCAAATCCAGGGTCTCTTTGATGATGTCTTCTGAGCAGATTTGCTTTTCCTCTCGAGACCCGAGCATTGTGAGAAAAATCAACTTTGCGGCCTTGAGCGAGTTATCGGCAGTCGAGACATCGTTGTAGACCGCAGCCGTATCAGCTTCTAGTAACCCTTCCGCACCGTTCCAGTGTAGAGCGCTTCCTAAGCGGACCGATTTCAAGCATATTTTTTGCAATCTCAGGATATCGTCGATTGAGATCTCGGGGTATACGTTGAAGCTGATGACGCGCTTCAATACGCTTTCGAGGCGGATCAGATATTCATTTGATAAAACAGGATCATCGGTCGGACCGTCCACAGCCCAAACGGAGGAGAATTCTCCACGGACTCCAGACGTGTCGGTGGCGAGGTTGTCGTCTGCCTCGAAGACGTTCTCAATCAGGTTTGTAAGGCCTTCAAGCGCAACCTGAGACTTGCGGGTCGGATCGTCAAAGACCAGTGCGTCTGTGTAATCTGGAGCGGTCTTTCGTTTGTGCGTGTCGGGTGAGGTGCTTGGCAGAGGAGAAGTAGGGGCGGCGGAGGACGGGTAGACGTCTCTGGATGCCATGGATGAGTCGGCGATCGATGTGTCTGCTGAGACGTATGGCTGTTGGAAGGTTTCGGGGACTTGATTACTGAATGCTGCTTGTGAATGTTGGACTCCAACCGAGCTAGCCTTTTCACTCTTTCGCTTTTTCGGCAATGGACCTATCGCTTCGACCCCAGATGTGCCGGGTATATCATGAGCAGAGACGGTGGTCTGAGTCGGATCGAGACCGTTTTGCGGGGTATCAGTTGGCAACTCGGGAATTTGTACAGGAATCGAGGAAGGGTTATTTTGAAGTGTCTGGAGCATTGTATCGAGAGAGATGGAATTTGATGGATCAACAGGCGCGCGCTCGTTGTCTGCAACGGAATCTAAGCCAAACCGTCAGGTTGATCAAATCACGAATAAGTAGAATACGGACACTCACATTGATAGGGAATATCTGAGGTGGTCAATAGTCGCTCGGTAAACGGACGGAGTTCGAATGCCTGGACTCGAGAGTTCAATGTCGAGCCTCCGCTGGGTAACGAAGCAAACGCAGGCGGAACTTCGAATTTTCTACACACAAGATCACCAGTCGTCAGCGATAGTTCTGCGGTAAACTGAACTGATGAGAGACACGGGTACTTACATTGGTCGCATTTGGCGAGTATTGAGGTAATCACGTAACCCGCTGAGATGCGATTCAATCACGTTCGCGTACTCCGCCGTCGTAGGCGGTGTGTTCAAGAGCTCGTATGAGCGTTGCGACTCTGCGTTTTGCTGCTCAGAGAGATTGAAGATCGAAGTCTGGTGCGCTAGGTTGGGCGTCGTGAAGAGCGCGATGGCTGGAGAGCGCGAGGAGATGTGAGCGATTGAAAGCGGATGATCTGGGGTAAGTATCAGAATACGTACCAGGTGAAGCCGGAGTCACGGAGGTGAATGGAGAATACTGTAGAGTCCCGTTCAAGGACGTGGGTACCGTCCTTTGACCGTTGCTGTTCCCTGTCCCGCTCATTGTTGTCTGTTCAGGATGCGTCGCATCAACAAGCGTCCTTAAATCTCCCTAAATCAATAAAGCAGCTTCGTCTAAACCTCTACGCGTCCCGTCCACTGAATATCAACACAGACGCGGACAACTCTCCGCAATCTCAACAGGAAACAGCCAAATCACCAGGTCGCGTCGTCGTCGCGGTCGCGGTCTTTGGGGAAGTCGAATAATTAAAAGTTAAAAGTTACCCGGATTTGAACCTGTGAGCGCCGCACCATCAGCTTTTTTGATATATTTCCTCGAGACAGGACAGCTTTATTACAGCTGCTGAGTTGGTGGCTGGCTGAATGCTTCAGGTAGCACTGCAGACATCTGACTCTGGGCGGGTGAAGACGTGCAAGACTGCGCTTGAGCGAGCGGGACTGTTTGATAAGGCTAGAGGCATTGAGCGGACAGGCGATGGGTTTCTGATATTCACGAGTAACGTATGATCGATCTCTGCTTTTTCCATTGAGAGGTTTTCGAAGGGGATGTAAGCTGACTTTTGTTATGTAGACGGTAGAGAATGATGATGGGGATCACGAAGCCGGTTTGGCTGATCTTTTGAGCAACCTGGACTTCTCGGTCGAGGTAGTCACAACCGAGTCTACGAAACAGAGCAAAGACCTGACCACCGACTCAAGTCTCAAAACAGCAGTCAGAAAGGTGCTGCTGGATCTGCAAAAGACCGAACCGCAGCTGACCGCGGAGATTGTTGATGGCGCGCCGAATCGGTATTATATATACGGTCAGCTACTTTTGATCTCCTCCGGCGACTTTGAAAGTATACCGGCATGGCAGTCGCTAGCCGCCGCCGACGCCAGTTTTCCCGAGACGTTTTATTCCAAACTGTGCGCGAACCTGAAAATAAGCCACATTGCACTGAACGCTCCAATCTCGGGCGATACCGAGAACGTGATGCGGAAGCCGACCTCTCTAGTCTGTCTGCACGGCGAGTTTGGCGACGAGATCAGCGACGCTACAATTTCCTCGCCGCAGCCGACGCATTTCGCGTCCGAGTTCTGGGCGACCACGCGCCAGAACGGAATCACGCAGATCTGGGCGCCGCGGTACACGATGTTCAGCCGCGGGAACATTAAAGAGAAAGCGCGCGTGCTCAAGTTTGCGGACGTGAGCGGCAAGACCATCGTCGATCTGTACGCGGGGATCGGGTATTTCACGTTCTCGTACGTGCATGCTGGCGCGAGGCGCGTGTTGTGCTGGGAGATTAATCCGTGGAGTGTAGAGGGGCTGCTGCGGGGTGCGAGGGCGAATAAATGGAGCGTGCAGCTGGTTCGGCATGATGAGGAGTGGGTTATAGACCCGTCGTCAACAAGTCGGATTGTGGTCTTTCTCGAAAGCAATGAGTACGCGGCCACGCGATTGGAAACAGCAGCAGCTCGCTACGGCTACTCTCATGAACTGACTCACGTAAACATGGGTCTCTTGCCCTCGTCGGAGCAAAGCTGGCGAACGGCGGTGACGCTCGGCGTAGCATCCACGTCGCCGTCGACGGTGTTGCATGTCCACGCCAACGTCGCAGACGAACAGATTCCGACCTGGCAGGAACAGACGAGGAAGGCGTTGGAGGGGTTAGTTCTAGAGAAGCTGAGCGTTGAGAGCGAGGAGGTTGCAAGGATCAAAAGCTTTGCGCCTGGCGTTATGCATGTTTGTGGAGATTTTAGGATTAGAAAGTAATTTTTCTACAAACACAAGTAAATTCTGCTCACCTATTACTATTTACTGTAAAAAATACCTTATTAATTGTAATTAAACACCCCAGAGAATGGAAGATTACGAAATGGCCTACGCGTCAGGTGTATGTTTACTTTCGGCCAAATCAAGAAACCCCAATATCCCAGACACGCGCCCGCCCGTCCTACAATCCGCCCACCTCTTCTCCCTTCTCTTTTCCCTTCCCGAGACAGTTTGGTGTGATTGCCTAAGCCCCCAACAGTTCGATCTATCTACGTGAATCCAGAGGTAAATCGGCACTGCTGGTCACGATATTTACTAAGCATTTTATGCTGTTTTTGAATATATTTTGCGTTTTGCACGCAGCTTTAGCTGCATACTAACACGCCAAACAATACCGGCCGTGTAGAGCGCGCTCTGAGTGAGTCTTTCTACATAGCCAGTATTGTTTGGTTTCTAGGTACCCCGGATACGACGACGGCAGCCTCAGCGCGCCAGATCACGGCATAGACAGTGAGTATAGATATACAGTCGATCTAGCACCCCCATCTAACAGCAACCACACAGATGCGTGCAACCTCCCTGCGCGCCCTGCTGCAAAGACGTCTTTGTTTACAAAGTCGTCTCTACCGTCGACGATGCCGCGGATATCGTCGATGCCGAAGTCAGTCGACTCTAGGGAAGCAAGCGCGATCAGCAAGATGGAGTCCGGGCCCTCTTCTCTCGAACCGATGAGTTTCTTTTCATATAATCTGGATTATTAGCGCTAACCGCATCATCTGTAGGATAATATCGCACTTCCGGCCGGAACTGGAACATGGGCTTTGGTCCTTTGTCTCTCGTATGCGTGGTACCCCGCGGACCTGCCACAGGGTAGCATATACCACGCTAGGTAGAATTCTCTGAGAATAGCATATACCTTCACAGGTAGCATTCTCATCCAGAGAGTCGCCGACGATGCACCGATAGCATTCTGTGGTAGACCTCCGCAGCGACGCCAGAGAGTAGCCTATGCCATTCGCGGTAGCACTCTCCTATGAGGTGGCGTTGTGCCGCTCACTCGAGAGATAAAGGAGCGAAGCCGGCTCTTGCGAGAGCACATGTAAAGCAGTCTGGCGACTGCCTGTTGATCGGAAGCTTTGCAGGCCCTTGACCGTCGGTGTTTCGATCGACTGGCCAGGGGAGAGTCTTGTCCTGTCTCTGTCTTGCATCGGTCGCGCTTGCTCGGTGCTTGGTTCACCGTGGCCGCCAGACGGCTTTCGAGCTTGGGAGTGAATGCTCTGGTGTCGCCTTGCAGCAGCCCTAGCAGCATGACAACGTCCGCACGCAGATGCCGAGTGAGCATGCGTATGCTCAGGGAGATACTCCTTTGCCGGCTCGGTAGGCTGCATGACCGCCCTCAGCGTCCTGCAGGTCAAGGACGCTGGTGACCAGGGCGGTCGATCTGATGAGATCTTTCTTTAGCCAGGTTGCTCATCGGATTTAAAAACGTCTATGTTGTCGCGTCTCTGAAACACGCGCGCTGGCAGGCCGTGCCGTCGCACGCGTTGACGAGAGTCCGCGCGACCAACCGTCTTTGTCGAAGATGGGCTCTGTGACCGCACAGCCCTCGGATGATGAGACGGGCGGATCATGCGACAACGCTGACGAACCATCGATACGGGGGTAGCTCTTGAGCTGCCTTTGGATGAAGTCGGGTCTTAGTGGGTATGGCGACCATTGAGAGATGGCCGCAGAGTCCCACATAACTCTTGGATAAGACTTTATAGTCTTGTTCAGGAGTATGCGTAATGCATTCTTCCCGATCCTGGCACCGGCCGCTCCACGCGTGCGCTTCTTGTTCTGTCTTTGCTGTCGATGCTGTGGACTTTTCTAGTGAATGTTTCTGTTTTGGCTGTGATGGACGGAATGGGAGAGTACGTGTGGAGAGGTACCGCATTGTAAAACCCAGAAAGAAAAAAAAATAAACCATTTTCTCTCATAGATTGTATTAAACTAGTGAATAAGCAGTGACGCTGAACAGTATACATGCAGAGTTGAAGGACACAGGTAACAGAGGCGACAGAGTAGATTACATTAAAAAAGAAACAGGACCCGCATATACATTCTCTTTCCCCCCATAGCCGCGCCGTCCTGCTACAATCACCCCTCTCATGCTCATCCCCGAACCAGATCTAGACGAGGAGAGCAAGTCAGTAAGTCCAGCGCCGTCACCTGCTCTGCTACACTCTCGCATACGACAGCAGCATGTGAATATAATCACGAATGTACAGCCAAACACTCTGAAATCATCTTATCGATGAAATGAGAATCCAGATAGAGCAACGCGGCAGAAGATGTCGACGATCAAGTCGAGGAGAGGAGAAGCGTGGAGCGGGTTGGGAGCTGAACTCTGCGGAGGTAACCAGATGCCGGAGATGCAGCGATGCTTACTCAGTTCTTGATAATATTGCTCTTTGTCAGAAATAGCTTTATCGAGGATAACTTCTCTATGCTATAGTAGGGAAGAAGTTTGGTCTACATTTTAGGTGTTATCAGCCATCTTGTGCCGTGCTTCAAAGTTCTCACGCTGTGTAATCCTCCTCCTCCCACTCCCCATCACAACCCCCACCGCTGCAGCGAATTACGCAATGCTTTCAAAACGCATCGGATTTGAAGTAACAGGCTACGTGAGTGCATGATCTCGAATCATCCCCAGCGATAATCATGCTGATTGAGAGATGTGTAGGTGCAAGGGGTTGGGTTTCGTCGATATGTGGAGGTTAGCTTCTGTGTTGTGCTTCTGTGTATTGGAAACAGGTGTGCTGAGTAGATGGACAGAGGACGGCTCGTGAGCTGGGCGGAATCACGGGATTCGTTTATAATACCAGTACGTATCAATTCCAGCTTTAAACCAGAGCAAAGGTGTTGACAGTCCGCAGAGCAAGGAACGGTACGAGGCGAGGCACAGACCGGGTCTTCCGAGACGCTCGAGCTATTCGTGCAGCGACTGAAGCGTGAGTGAGGCGTGAGAGCGTGAGAGCTGGGATGAGCTGTACTGATGTTTTGATAGGTGGGAGCACGATAAGTCGCGTCGAGAAGGTGGAGGTTAGAGAGATGCAGGCGGTGGTGGGTGAGACTGGATTTACAATCAAGAAAACAGTTTAGAAAGAGTGTGATTCGACTACACTACATGCAAAGCAAACCCAGCAACAAAGAAGACAAAAAGTATCACGCCGCGATCTCGTCGCGCTCCCAACCCGTCGGCTTCATCGGCGAAAGCCCCTTACTAGGCTGCGGTTTCCCGTTCTCGACCTTGAGCGCGAACGGATTCCGATCTGTTTTCTGATTGAGATTCCCAAACGTGTGGTTGACCTCGCGGTGCTTTGCCTCGTCGGCGCGGATGTACAGCAGCAGGTCTTCCATCGTGCAGTCGTCGCCCATTTTCCAGTACTGCTTCGCGATATCTGGAACCTCGAGTTTTTCAAACTCGGGAAGTCTGCCTGCGCGGTAATCTTTGATGCAGCGCGTGTAGGTCAGCACGGCTTCTTCTTCGAGATACCCGACGAAGCGGTGGCAGGTGCGTGGGGAAACGAGGTATGCGGCGAAAAAGAGGTTGAAGAAAACGCCTTGGCCGCCGAGGAGCATGAGGCGCATGAACCAGCCGGGGTTGTAGATCTTGAGGAACGTGAGGAGGTGGACGCGCTCGTTGTAGGCTTCTTCGAGAAGACTTTCGATCCACGCGCGGTCTCTTCTGAGCGCGCGCAGGGAGTGCAGATGGCGGACCATGCCAGCGACCTGTTGATATTTCAAGTCAGAGAGTCGTTTTTGCTATCAAGACTGACTGAGGAGATGGAGAAAGAGCACTCACCATTCCAGGTACGCCGGCGATACTCTCGAGAAAGACAATGCGAATTAGCCACTTCCTCTCCGTCATCGCGACCGCAGGATCATTTTCGCGCCCGGGTTTCGGATGATGATACCCCGTCGCGAAATCAAAGCAATGCCTAAGCGTCCTCATCGTCAGCAGCGCGACCTTATCCGACCACGTCGTCGCGTTCCGGTGCGCAAACGCAATCGCCTCCATCTCGGCGCGCGTGTATATCGGATGCGGCCACGCCGCTTCGGTGAAGTAATCGTGCTTGTCTGGCTGCATTAGCGATTTCTTGGGCTCGGGAGGGCTGGTCTCGAGGTTTTCGGCGGGGACTTGGGATTCGGTGGCGGGAGCGGGAGCGACGGGCATGTGCACGGCTGGGTCGCGCATGCTACTGGCTTTGGGCCGGGATGAGAAGGGCCGCGAGGAGCGGACGATGCTGGCCAGGGGGGCGCAGGTGCGGGATGTGGTCAGGAGGAGGTTGTGGGCAGCAAGTCTTGAGGACATGTTGACAGCAAGTAGAACAGTAGTAGTTGTTGTGACAGTATTAGTTGAAGCAGCAGCCTACGACAGCGAAACCACATCTTAATATACCCGCCATCCTCCTCTTCTCCACGCGCATTAAGACACGAAAACTACACGAAAACAACCCGCCGTCAGCAGCATTGTCTGAATCCTGCCCATCTGAGCCAGTGAGTCAAGAACAATGGGGCCGAGCGAGGCAGATGACGTCGGATGACCCGGAAAAACCCGACGCCAAACCGGATTATTTTCGTGAATTGTCGTAAATTGCCTCGTGGCGGCCTACTGTTTTTACTGTTCAGAGGGTTACTATTGGAGTAAAGCAGATTAAGCCTTTGCTTGGACGTGAATATTGCTCGGTTGTTTGACTCGAATAGGGAATTTGTTCGGGTTTTCACGCTGACGCGGGGCAGGTTTGAGATTTCCAGAGTCAGCAGGCGACGAAAACGAGCTTTTATGAGGATTTCTATTGGCCGCGACGCTGCTCGCAACGGAGTCCTGATCTGGTAATCAAAGATCGTAATTAATTCTATCACAGCTTGCTCGCTTTCTTCTGTTTTCTCTTCGCCGCGTGGATTTGTCGCGACACCTCGGCGGTCGTGTCCATCAGGTGGATGCCGTGGGCGACGCCGTCTTCTACTTCCTGCGCGATCTGCGCGTCTGTTTTCTGCTTGTCTGCGCGGAGCTCGGTGGCCCATTTTTCCCAGACTCGGGTGAGGAAGACTGTGATTATTGATGCTGTGGTTGTTAGTAAGTCATGAGTTGATAAATACAGAAGAGAGGGTGACGTACCGACTATACCCGGCATCTCGAGAGGAACCATATGTCTCCCGCCCGGAATCCATTGTGTAGTAGAGGTCTTTATCAGCTCCGACAGCCGCGCGGGCGTGGTCTCGTCGTTCCATTTCGCGTTCTCGCCATGCACAAGCAGCGTCGGCGACTCAATGAACGGCAGCCGCTGAACTAATTCCTCAAGACTATCCGGCGAATCCTGGTATATCGCGACCTGCTGCGCGGCGCAGGACTTTAGCTTGACAACGGGTTCGCCGGATTTTGATTTCGTGTCGTAGAAGGAGCATTCGATCAGCCGGTTGAGCACGGCGGGGTCGAATGAGCGGGCTTGCGTGGATTTGAGGAACGAGATTGCGCTTTGGCGGTCGGGGAATTGGTCGGGCATGTGCACGAGCAGAGAGCAGATTTGGGTGGTGATGGTGGCGAGGGAGAAGGGGTGGGCGATGGGTTCGATGGCGATTAGGCCTTTGAAGAGGGAGGGGTGCATGTATCCTGCGGATAGCCTGCGAGAGTGAGTATGGAGGTCTTGTAGAAGAGGAGGAGGAGGAGGAGGAGAATACATACACATGAGATCCACCCATTGAATGCCCGACGGCGACGATGGGCTGCGGAATATCGAGCTGCGCGATAACCTGCAAGAGATCCCTTCCGCCATCCGTCCATCGCGCTGCCGAGCCGAGCTTCTGCTCGTTCAGCACGGCCGAGTCGCCGTGTCCGACCCAGTCGTACGCAATGGCTTCGCGGATCGGTATGTCGGACTCAAACACGCGCGCGATGGTCTCTTCCCAGACTTCTTTCTGGTAGCCGGTGCAGTGCAGGAAGAAGAGGGTGATGCCGTCCGGGTGCGGGTTCGGCGGAGAGTATCTGTTGACCACGATCTGGAGACGGTCGGTGATGCGCGCGGTGGAGGTGCGCAGGGCGCGGGGGTGGGCTGCGTTCACGACTACTGTTGTGTGTTTGAGCGGCATTGTGTTGCTGCTGCTGCGCTGCTGCTGCTGCTGCTGCGCTGCTGTCAAGAGTCGAGAAGCTGAGGATGGAGGAGTCCAGGCTTATCAGAGCTGGGCTGACTGAGGTCGTAGTCAGATGAGCCTCACGGGATGCGGGGAGCCGCGGCACTTTTACAGCTGACGATGATGATGATTTTCTCTGTACAAGGAAGTATAGACAACTAAAATGCAATGGTATTTACTGCAGCAGAGGAGAAGGTCTGCCGTTTATTTCTGGTTAATGTCGTGCGTTGGAGGGGGAGGGGTGTTCTTCTTCTCCTGCTCGATGCGGCGTTTTTCGATTTCCTCCTCGGTCAGGATCTTGACGGCGGTTTTGGAGAAGACGTAGGACAGGCCGCTGAGGATTGTAGTGGCTGCGACGGTGTATCTGTAGTAAGTTAGAGAGAGAAGTAAAACAAAAGAAAGAAAAGGAACGCACTCTAGACCAACGATAGCCTGCGAAGCCAAGATCTGGGCTTGAGCAGAGAGCTGCTGGAAAGCAAAGGGCTTGACGAGGGTAGAAGCAAGAAGACCCATTTGCAGAAAAGTGTTGTACTTTGAGATTGTAGTAGGATGGACTTCAGCCGAGGGAATGCTAAAGTCCCAGTAGCGGGCCATTGTCTTTGGCGGCGGGAGGGAGATGTAGCGGTAGTAGATTGCAGAGATGCCGAGGAGGGCGTCGCGGCCAAAGATGATGATTGCGATCCAGACTGGGGGTGTTAGCTGTAGAGATGATGACAGTGATGAGGAGGAAGAGGAACTCACGAGGAAGAGAGCCGATCCAGGCGAGACAGCCGGTCAAGGTGACCATGAGCATTTTGTCGGCCATTGGATCGATGACGCTGCCGACGACGGACTGCAGGCCATACTTTCTCGCGATATGACCGTCGAGCCAGTCGGTGACGCAGGCGTAGAGAAAGACAGCGGTGGCAGCGACATGGTTACTTCTGAGCACCAGGATCCCCACAACCGGCGCGGCGACGAGACGGGTGAAGGTCAGGATATTCGGGAGGGTGTAGATGTTTTCGCGAAAGACGGCGCGGGTGGGCTTTGGAAGCTTGTCGATCGCGTTCTTCATCGCGGACGCGGTGCGGGCTTTTGTTTCGGCGTAGACTTTTTGGCGGGTGTGTTTGGAGGTGATGACATCGTTGAGGGACTGCAGTGTTGTTTTTTGCTGCTGTTGCTGTTGCTGTTTCTTGTTCTGGTTGAGGTCGGGGTCGGGGTCGGGGTCGGGGTCGGTGGAGTAGAGCCTGGACGGAAGAAGCCGCGATTGCCGGGAGGGGAGGAGAGTAGGAAATGTGAAGGGAGAACGACGGGTGAGCAGAGTAAAAGAGGTAAGACTCCTCGAACAGAGCAGCAGTCGGCCGAGGCCTTTGCTCTTGGGCAGGAAGAGAGGCATTGTTGGTAGAAGAGGATGGGTGGTGGGTGCAGGTGGTGAAGGTCGAGGACGAGAGAGTCACGTGCGGGAGCTATTTCCTGAGCGGTGAGCAGTAATAGTCGATTACAGCAGAACAGTCAATTACAAATACATACAATACATACAATACATACAATACATACAATACATACAATACATACAATACATACAATACATACATTACAGTACAATTACAAATCAGAACAGACAATTGCACTTACAGAGACAAAGTATCGCTGGCAGATTGTTCATCAGACGATCAGCAGCCAAGCACGAGACTGATCCTCGGTCTGCTGATGGTCTGGTCTTCTACAGTCTTCATTCATGATCATGCAACTAGAATATACAGCATTCATACACAGCAACTACAGAATACACCTTGTATTCATACTCTTACAGTATCTGATATTCACTCATCACAGACATGTGAGTGTCAGCAGCGGCTGCAGAGGGTTTCGTGCTGGCGGGGCAGCATCTGTCTGCAAGAGAGAATACCTGCAATATACAATACAATACAGTATAATACAATACAATACAATACACTACAGATTCTAAAGAATACTACTTCTTCTCTGTTAACAGTCTACATCCTCACCCACACCATCCCCGAGCGGTCTGCGGGTGACCGACTCTGAACCTCGGCAACTGCGGCGGGCGGCTTCCCCAGAAACAGTCCTCGGCTGCTTATTTCTCGCCCCGCTTCCGTCTCTACTTAACCTCTCCTTCCTCTCTTCTCTTCCTCTTCTCTTCATCACCTCTACTCTTCTATCATATTCACCATGGACCGCCTCTCTAACCTCGCCTCCCAACTCGCCCCCAACGACGCCTCCGCCGTCTCAAAACTCCTCGAAAAGCACCCCGACGACGTCGTCATCGTCGGCGCCTACAGATCCGCCCTCACAAAGGGTGGCAAGGGCGGCTTCAAGGACACCACCGCCGCTGACATCCTCACCGCAGTCCTCAAAGGCCTCATCGAGCGCACCGGCGTCGACCCAAAGTACCTCGGCGACGTCTGCGTCGGCAACGTCCTCGCCCCCGGCTCCGGCGTCACCGAGCACCGCGCCGCCTGCCTCGCCGCCGGCATCCCCTACTCCGTCCCCTACATCTCCATCAACCGCCAATGCTCCTCCGGCCTCATGTCCGTCGACCACATCTTCAAGGGCATCAAGACCGGCGACATCGACGCCGGCATCGGCGGTGGCGTCGAGAGTATGTCCATCAACTTTGGCCCGGGCTCGGTCTCGGAGTTTTCTGACTTTCTCGCAAACCACGAGGAGGGCAAGAAGTGCCTGATTCCTATGGGCGTCACCTCTGAGAACGTCGCCGAGGCGTATGGCGTCACCCGCAAGATGCAGGACGAGTTCGCCGCCGACTCATACCGCAAGGCCGAGGCCGCCCAGAAGGCCGGCAAGTTCAAGGAAGAGATCATCCCGATCAAGACCAAGTTCATCGATCCCAAGACCGAGCAAGTCTCTGAAATCGTCGTCTCCGAGGACGACGGAATCAGACCGGGCGTCACACCCGAGAGCTTATCAAAGATCCGCCCCGCGTTCAAGAAAGACGGCACCACGCACGCCGGCAACGCCTCCCAGATCTCGGACGGCGCGGCGGCGGTCTTGCTCGCGCGCAGATCCTTTGCCCAGAAGCAGGGCTGGCCTATCGTTGGAAAGTTTGTCGACTGCGCTGTCGTCGGCGTGCCTCCTGAGGTCATGGGCGTCGGACCCGCCGTCGCCATCCCTGCGGTTTTGGAGCGCAACGGTCTTACCAAGGACGATGTCGACATCTACGAGATTGTGCGTCTACCCTATTCTACTCTACTACTCTTCTACTCTACTACTCTTCTACTATACAGCACGCTAACATATCATTCACAGAACGAAGCCTTCGCCAGCCAATGTCTCTACTCCGTCCTCGACTGCAAGATCGACCCCGCAAAAGTCAACCCCAACGGCGGCGCCATCGCCTTCGGCCACCCGCTCGGCTGCACCGGCTCCCGCCAGATCGCAACCCTCATCCAGGAATTCAAGCAGTACAACAAGAAGATCGGTTTGACCTCCATGTGCATCGGCACCGGTATGGGCGCCGCCGCGATCATTACTGCTGAGTAGTTGCTGCTTTAGACGTGGGTGAACATCTGAGGTCTCTTGTTTCTTTTATTGTTTTTTGTCATTGTGATTGTGTCATTGTATTTTGTTATGAATAGGAATAAGACTGTCAGCATGCACTCATTAGTTGACAGTTTATATGTAATCTGTAGCAAGTCTCATAACCAGTAGTCATCTATCAACATATCTACACTCTACCAACCAGCAACCCAACATTCTCAAACGAAACCCCCCGCTCAACATACCTCACCAACCGCGCCTCATACCCCGGCATACTCCCTCGAACATGCTGCACGCGCGCATGATCCAGCACCGCGCGCACTTTAAACCCAATCTCCTCACGCTCCTCGATCGGTAGTCCAGACGGATGCTGCACCGCCGGCGCGCAATCTTCCTCGTCTGCCGCGTACTCCTCGTCCTCGTTCTCGTGCTCGGCGTCGTCAGATGATGCTTGCCTGCGCCGGCCGCAGACGGCCCACGAGCTCATCTTTGTCAGGATAGTGAAGCCGCGGCGGGTGACTTTGTCCGCGTGCGGAAGGTGACGCACGGGAAACGTCGCGTACGTGCATCTGTGTCGGCAGCAGAGCGCGATCAGCGCGCCCGCGAACGGGAGCGGGTGGTGGGTTTGTGGTGGGTGGGCGTAGTGCGCGAGGCATTGGAGCGTGAGATCTGTTGCTGCGCCGCAGAGGTGTTTGGATACCGCGACCATCTGTGACTGCGAGGAGGAAGGAGAAGAAGTAGAAGAAGGAGGGAGTTGGAGTTTTGGCGCAGCGACGAGGTCAAGGTCTTTGATATCAACCCGTAGTCTCTCGACTTGGGGAAGCGGACTTACGCCTGCTTCTTCAGAGTCGGCAATGATCTTATTATCCAGCTTCAACCGCATCGAATCCCTATCCACCAGCAAAAACCTCGTCCTCTCCCCCTTCTCCTCCTTGTTGTTCTTCCCAAGCAAAAAAACCAGCGCATGGTTCAAATACCGCGACAACTCCCCCCGTCCGCACCCAAACTCGACGTAGAAATTCCCGCACGCGAGAAGCTGTGCGGCCTCGAGATGCGCGATCAGTGAGGATTGCTGGATCGCGTGTTTCTTGTTGCTGAGCTGCGAGAGTCGAGGTTCGAGACTCGCGTGGGTAAGTTGTTGGAGCGGGTGGAGGTCTGCTGCGCTGCCAGAGGGGGAGGAGAGGGTGGAGTATGCCTGGTTTACGTAGGTGATCCAGGTTTTGTACTCCTCCGCCGAGACCTCCCTGCCCTCTTCTTCTTCTGCCTCGCGGTCTGCGTCGATATTCAAGACATTGACATCCGCCGAAAACCACGGCTCGCCCGCCGGTTCCAGCGCCCGCCTCGCTGCATTGCATTTCTTCAGATGTCGCTCGAGCTCCTGCTTCCGCACCGTATGCCCCGGGTCTAAAGGACACTTCACCCTATCCGCTTCGTCTTCCTACATATTCCATCAGCCTCTCTTTCTTCCAACTCTTCCTATCTCTAGCTAAGACAAGCCAAGAACTAACCTCTCTATGCTGCGCGCAAAACCGCGCGTCCGCCCGCCGCGTCATGTTGCAGCGCCGGAAATGCTTGTTCGGAAGCAGGTATTCGCATTGTAACCTAGCTTGTTTTGTCTTTGCTTTATTTTCTTTTTCGGATTTGTATTTCCGTTTATGTGAGGGTTCTGTTGTCATTGTCATTACTGAAGTGGTGAGAAGAGATGTTGGATGGAGACATAAAGACAGACGCAGTTGGGAGTTTCAAAAGTTTTTGATATTCACCTCCATCTCTCAACTTCACCACCTCACGAACAGTAGACATGACCCGATAACATGCCCACATCCTTCGCAGACCTCTCCTCCCACCGCACCCCCGTCCTCCGCCTCTACCGCGCCCTCCTCCGCCACACCCGCCTCCTCTCCACACCACCCACCTCCCCTCTCGCCGCCGACGCCGCCTTCCTGCGCTCCCACATCCGCTCCCAATTCCACGCATTCAAAGGCCTCCGCGCACCCACCGCTTGCCGCGACCGTCTTCTCTCCGCATTCGCAGACGAACGCACGTTAAGACTCGCGCTGCGCTCTGACTCCACGCACGACGAAATCCGCCGCCGCGTCGCGCTAATCAAACAAGTCAACCACGCGCGCGACCTCGAAACCAAAATCACCGCCGCGGAAGCGGCAGAAAAGAAAGACGCGAAAGAACGCAAACGGCGGCATATCACTGAAAAGTATGCGAAACCGCGGTACCTTGCCGCCGTGAAAAGGCAGTTTCCGCGCATGCCGCCCGCACGGCAGCGAGCGCGCGCGAAGGAGTTGGAGGAAGAACATACCCTTCGCGCGCGCGAGCGGAAGAAGCGGTACTACCTGCACCATCCGCGCGAGCCCGTGCTCGTCTTCCTCCAGGGCTCATACAAAGAATACGTAATCCGCCCGGCGTGGAGCACGCCGGAGAAACGGCACCGCGTGAACGCAAAGTTCGCGAGCCGGATCCGGACGTCGCAGAAGGCGGTCGATCGGCGGGCGATGTACGAGTTTTGGGCGGAGTTGGCGGCGCGGGAGGATGAGTGGGAGATGAAGGTTGAGATTCCGAATATATTGCGGCAGGCGGCGTCGGCGGAGGAGGAGGGGGGGAAGAAGGCGGAGATGATGGAGGTTGTGGAGCGGTACGCGGGTTGTACGTATCAGGAACTACATCGGAAGTTGGTGACGGAGGCGTATAAACAGTACATGGCGACAAGGAACGGGATCAGAGCGACGCGCCAGCGGACAGTCAACTTTCTCGAGTTTCAGAAGTGGCAGGTTCATCGCTGGCGACCGCAGATTAAGAAGCATTTTACCTTCACCGAGCAGGAGTTGCAGGATGCGTGGCTCGAGGTTGAGTAGCATCTTATGTACATACTACAGACAGGATAGAATAGTCTATAGGACATATGATTACAATGTGATACACACAAAGAAACAACAAAACCCTTTCACAGGTCCAAAGCAGCGCGAAAAACGAATGATTACATATATCACAAAAAGTAGAAAACAACACAAATCAAAAAAAGAAAAATCTCCATAGTACGAACAAAAGAACACTTGCAAGAAAGAAACACACAATAGATAGGAAAAAAAGAAATAATTTACATAGCCAGATTAACTACAAAGAACAAACAGACAATTTTTTCTTTCTCTCAATTACATCTCAAAACCGAGCTCCGCCGCCCATCAAACCCCCCCTACGAGCGCTGCCGCCCATCAGCCCGCCTCGGGTCAGCCCGCCCCCTGCGTGCCGCGCGCCGTTCATCAGGCCCCCGCTCATCAGGCCGCCGCCATGCCCGCTCGATGCGACGCGCATCGGGCTCGCGGCGGGGGATCCGATACTTCCTCTCGAGTCCGAGCGGCGGCCTGCGCGGCGTCTGCGCGAGACGTACGCGAGCCCGACGTCGTCGTCGTCGACGGAGTTGTCGTTCGGCGAGATGATTTCCTCAGAGCCAAAGTACAGCACGCGCACCGTGTTGCCGAACCCAATCACCGTCGACCGGTGGCCTAGTTTCGCGACCGGGCCGATGTGCGAGACGAGTAGGTCCTGCACGTTCGGGTGCACGTGGTAGTGGTGGGTATGTCGTTTCTTGCGCCGGCGCGCCGAGGTGCCTGGTTTTGGGTATTCTTCGCCGTTGCCGTTGGTATCCGCGTCGTACTCTTCGTCCGATGACGAGCTGTATGTGCGCTGTCGCGTGCGCGACCGCGGGTACCGCTGCAGGTCCCGGTGGATGTTGTCCGGTCGGAGGTCGTACGTGTTGACGGTGCCGTCCATGCCCATCGTCCAGCCTTCCCAGCATTCTTCCTTGACCTGGCCATCTGAACTTCTACCATACTTTTTCAACGCGACCTCGTTTCCTGCCGCCGCCGGACCACTGCCGTTCGCCACGCGATGATGCAGCCCTTCTGAGGTTGAATGGCCGTCGTTGGTGTGTGAGGCCGAGTGGATCGCGAGATCGGCCAACGTGCTTGTCTTGCGACGGATGCCCATCACGACGTTGATATCAGTGACCTCCCACCCGCTGACGTCCGCGAGCCAATGTTGTCGCTCCAGCACGCCTTCGAATCCGATACATCGTTTTTCTCGCGGATCTCGCTCGACTCGCAAGCAGATGTTTTTCCTCGCCCGGTTCGTCGCCACAAACGTGTGCATGATCATCATCCCCGACTCACGCTCGGTGTAGACGATGCACAGCGTCGCGATCGTCGAACATCCGCAGAACGGACAGTGCTGGGTGTGGTCATGGAACGCGTGTAGCGAGCCCCGTCGGTACTGCCCGATTTGAAATTCCTTGACAATCGTCCCGGTCTGCACGTCAATCAGATCAAGCTTGATCCCCCGCGTACGGAGGACCATTCCGATCTGCGGCAACGGCACGATCGACATAATCTCGTTCGGGTTCTGCGGCTTGTTTTGTGCGTTCGAGGTCAGGATGTCGGGTTTCGGGTTCATCGGGTTGAGGATCTGCTGCTGCTCGAGAATCACAGTCATTCCCGGCCGCAGATCGAGCTTTTGCGAGATCCACGTCGTTCGGACCAGCATCGTAATCACGATATTCCCGGCCCTCGTAGCCGAAACAATGCGCTTCGGCAACCGCGGCGTGAACAGCTTCTCGGCAGAGTCCAGCGTCTCGTCCGTGATCTTGTGCTCAAACACAACCCCGCTCGAGTCCGTCGCGATCTGGTACAGCATCCCGTTCCGGCCAACGACGACCAAGTTCACGCGCGTCACCATGCCCGGCACTTTTTCCGTCAAAAACAGAATCGCCGCCGGCGCCGCGTTCTCGAGTCCCGCGAGCTCGACCGTCCACACGAAGCGCGAGGTCGCGATCGACCAGCAGTGCACTTTGCCGCTCTTGCTGCAGATCGCCAGAAACCGGCCGTCGGTGTCGAGCGCGATCGCACTCACCGGCCATGTCGTGGGCTCGGACGGCAGCGGGACTTTGCTCGCCTTGAGCTTCTTGTGCGACGAGCTGTTGACTTGCCAGATGAAGATCTTGTGGTCGAGACCGAGCGAGGCGACGAGGCCGTTGGACGAGGTCGCGAGCCGGACGACGTCGAGCGAGTGGCAGCCGGACAGGTCTTTGGTGACAAACACGGGGCTCGATCGAAATCGCGGATCGGAAGCGGCTTCGTCGCGCACGTCGCGGAGCATGTGTTGCAGGACGAGCGCGGTGGTGAGAAGCGCGAGGATGAGGAGGGTGACGAAGAACACGCCGGAGGAGGGCAGGATTGCGGAGGAGGAGAGGGAGGAGGTTAGAGAAGGGTCGGCGACGAATAAGTCCTGCGTACTGTTTGTTGCGATGGTGAAGTAGTCTGGCTCGTAAAACTCGACGGAGATTGATGACCGGCCGGGGGGGAGAAGAGCAGCCAGATCGTCAGCTATGCAGCTGAAAAACTCTGGTATCCTGCACCATACGCTTGATCTGTGGCCGGCTATTAACGAGGACCAGTGCATTGTGAGGAGAGAAGATGGAATGAGCTGGCCAAGATAGTGGAACTGGATGAGCAGCAAGAAGCAACCCATCACAGCTGTGCCGGCGGTTGTGGTTGTCGGCACTCGACCTCTGGTGAAGTATCCGAGGATCTTTGGGAACGGATTCCATGATCTTTGAACCGACTCGTCGAGGGCGAGAATGTCGTCGTCATCCGAGTCATCGGCGTCGTTTGAAGGCGCGTCGAGACTGGACTGGATGAGATCCTCGAGCTCGAGCCGGCGGACGTCGATCGAGAGCACGGCGACGAAGTAGGACATGTGGAGGAAGTAGTCGATGATGAGAGCGAGGACTGTGAAAATGCAAATCTGGCGCACGGGAGGCGACGTGAGGATGCCGGCGAGGACGAGGATGCCGATGTTTGAGAGGTAGGTGACTGTGGAGAGGAAGCCAACTTTTCCGAGTGCGGTGCCGATGCGCACTGTTGCTGGCTGGTCGGGTTTTGTGTATGCGAGCGCATTTAGGAGACGGAACATGTTTTCTGTGGCGAGGACGAAGAAGATGAAGGGGAAGGAGGAGATGGGTAGACGGGCCGAGTCGGCGTCGAGCCAGTGCAGGAGCGTGGCGGCGCCAGCTAGCGAGAGGGCGACCTGAGAGAATTGAGTCAGTAGATAGAGACGGAATGATTAAAAGGAGAAATGGAGCATACCTCCACCATGAAGGCGACAAAGAGACCGTATTTTGAGCGCATGGCGGGCATGCGTTTTAGGGAGATGACGAGGTAGATGAGGGCGGCGAGGTAGGCGGCGGCGAGGATGAATCCAGAGACCGGGGAGAAGGTGGGGATGTGACGGAGGATGCCGACGGTGGAGTGGGCGGAGTAGCGGGTCTCGAGGTTGTCGCCGTCAATGGATTTGATGGAGGATGTCCAGAGGGCGTCGGTGGAATGGGAGGTGGAGATAAGAGATAGGATTAGAGAGTCGTTTGCGACGAGAGCGGAGGGAGCGCGGGAGAGAGTTGAGGAGGGGAAGGGATCAGCGAGGAAGGCGTCTCGGGAAGGCCAGAGCTCGGTGGGGGATAGGATGGAGGAGGAGGAGGTGGAGGAGGTGGAGGAGGTGGAGGGAGAGGAGGAGGAATCGAGCGCATGGGAGACGGAGGAGGTTATAGCCCACGCAATCTGGAGAGAGTCTGAGAGCGGCCCGCGAAGCCAGGCCTGTCTGACGACGAGATCCGGGGGGGAGGAGGCGGAGAGGTCATCCCAGACATAGTCGAGGCCGGGGGATCTAATCACGTCAACAGCGCCGGGGAACGCGAGGACGAGGGCGAGAGCGGCGGCGACGAGGATGACGATCTGGGGGGAGTAGACGACGAAGACGGCGAGCTGACGGAAGTACTGGAAGAGAACGCTGTCCGGCATGAGGTCGTTTGCGTAGCGCGTGCCGCGGAAGAGGGCGAGCACGGCGGTCCGGAGCTAAGAGGAGGGTGGTGAGCAGAGGAGGAGGAGAGGGATTGGGGAGGGGGAGGCGGGGTTGACTAACCATTGAGTGCTCAGTAAAGCAGTACCATCGACGGAGAAGCTCTTCTCAGCGGGTTCGAGACAGAGGCAGCTGTTTGTGGGGATAAACCGATGGGGAAGAGGAGGAGGAGGAGGAGCAAGAACGAGGAAGAAGAAGAAGACGACGAGCGACGGAGCCAAACTCAAAACCCAAAACTCATCAAAGTTTGTCTGCTTCTTGACTGTTTGATATTCAGCTTATGACTTGTGTATTTGCAATTGTATTGTATTCTCTTATATATACTGTGTACTTGTATTCATACTCTTCTCCTCGATAAACACCGTATTTACATCAGATTTACATCATCGGCATCCCCCGGCCCCGGCCACGCCCCCGCGCTCCCGTTCCCGCCCCCTGCGCCGGGCTCTCCTCGTTCTTCACCGTCTCGTCGACGCTCAGAATCAGACAGGCCGCCTCCGCAGCGCTCTGGATCGCATTCACCTTCACCAGCGCGGGCTCCCACACAAACTTCTCCATATTGTTTGCAATATCCTCGTTCTCAAAGTCAATGCCTGCCCACACCTCGCCCCGGCCGTGCCGCATCCGCAGTCGGTTCAGCAGGTCTGTAGCATCAAACCCGGCGTTATCGCACAGCTGTCGCGGGATCACCTCAAGCGCCTTTGCAAACGCCGCAATCACGAGCTGCTGCTTGCCCGCAATCGTGCGCGAGTACTCCCGCAAGTATCGGCTCAGCTCCATCTCGATCGCGCCGCCGCCCGCGACGACAGAGTTGTTCTTCACCGCGCGCTTCACAATCATGATCGCGTCGTGCATCGACCGCTCGACCTCCTCGATGAACTGGTCGGCGCCGCCTCGCAGCACGAGCGTGCACGTCTTGGCCTTCGGGCACCCGCTGAACAAGTTGAAGCGCTCGCCGCCAATCTGTCGCTCCTCAAACTTCTCGCACGTGCCCAGGTACTCGGGCTTGATGTCGGTGCACGTCGACTGCACGCTGCCGCCGACGGCAGACACAACCCGGTCGAGATCGTCGGCCGTGACTCGGCCGGCGCAAAACACGTTGCGGTCGGCAAAGTACTGCGTCGCCAGATCGCCGATCGGGAGCTTGGACAGCACAATCTGCGCGCCGGTGTTGTAGATCGCCTCGAGCTTGTCGTAGATGATTTTCCATTCGGCGTCGACGATGGCCTGGTACTCGCTCACTTGCTCGATGCGAACTTCGGCGTTGTCTTTCTCGGCCTTGAGCTCGAGCTCGACGTTGAGCGTCACAATCTTGGGGTTTGTGAATGCCTTGGGCTGCTGCTCGAAACCAGCGTAGGAAAACGTCTTTTTGAACGCGACACCGTCGACAAGGAACGAGTCTTCGAGGTTACCGCCCGAGATCTTCTTGACGCCAATCATCTTCTCGTCAAGATCGTCCTGGTCAAGCGCGAGAACGGCGTCGACAGCCATCTTCTTGAACAGGGCGTCGTTGCGATGAATCAGTTTTGATGACATGGCGGTGGCCGCGCACTTTTCGAGCAGGTCTCTGAATTCACTGGGAGGTGTTAGAATGAGTTTGATGAGCAGCAGCAGAGATAATGAGAAATAACATACGTAGGATTTGAACGATCAATGGTAACAGCGAGCTCTTTAATCTTATTGACGGCAAGCAGGGCAGCCTTGCGGTATCCCTTTGCGACGATATGGGTGGAGACGCCTTCCTCGACAAAGGCCTTGCTCTCGCGGAGCAGTTCGCCGGCGATGACGGTGACACTGGTTGTTCCGTCGCCGACCTCGGCATCCTGCGAGCGAGAGATGTCGACGAGGACCTTTGCGGCGGGATGGACGACGTCCAGGAGTTTTAGGATCGTGGCACCGTCGTTTGAGATGGTGGTGTCTCCTTTCGATCCGACAATCTGGTGATGTTAGTTATCGAATAAACAAAGACAGATACAGATACAAATAGAGATGAACATACAAGGATATCAGAGCCCAATGGACCAAGGGTCGGTCTGATTGTGTCCTGGATCGCAAGACAGGCGTTGATGTTGCTGATAATCTGGCCGCGGCCCTGGGACGTGTCGGTGCCCTCTTTGAGCACGACGATCGTCGGTGTCTGTCCTCCAAAGTTCATTGCAGCAGTGCTCTGGGAGGATTGTGGATGATGATAAGAATTGAATCGACGGAGACAGAAGAGACGGAGATGGAGCAGAGGGTGAACTTGCTGAGACGCGTAGTCGCGCGCGAGAAGGTGAAGGAAAATTTGTGTGGCCGAGGTGAGGCGGTGGTGGCGGTGCGCGGTCTGCTTCAGGTGCTGATAACTGCAATACAGCAACTGCTTCTCATCTAATTCACAGTGAGGATGCTCAGATTACTAGATATCTACTCACTCTCATGGACAAAAACACCCCGGTCGATCCACGGCAGCTGCGACGCAGGATCAGGGTCGTGATCAGAACTCACGGCGACAACGGCCAGTTCTACTACCCAGACGGGACTATCAGGCCAGACGACGATGACGACTTGGAGACTCTTTCAGACTGGGTTGGAAGGAGGTTGAAGGGGGCTGTTACGTGGTTGGACGGTGTTTTGTTTCGGTCTACTGAGATCAAGGAGAAGAATGAGCAGATACATGATCAGCACGATCAGCACAATCAGCACCAGGGCGATAGCAAGAACAACGACAGCAACGACAACGACAACAACGACAACGACAACGACAACGACAACGACAACAACAACAACGATACCCAACATCATCAACATCAACAAGACTCATCATCTAAATCAAATGACAGCAGCAGATCAAGACACAACACGCACTCTGACCAGAACCCACAATGACCTGCACTTCTCTCCTCTTTCTTATACCTCTCCTCTCATCTCTTTCTAATACCTCTTCTCACGATACCTTGTCTATACAATGTCTCTGTCTGTGTCCTCTTACGGCGCTGGCTTCTTTCTTTCTCTTTTATTTGTGCAATTGTTGTCTTGTCGTCTCTGCTGTCTCTGCATCTGTTGCTTGCTGTCTCTTGTCTGCTGCCTGTCTCTAGTCCTCTGCTATCAACAGCACTCTCCCCCTCCATTAATAATAACAATCACTTCTTCTCTAATAATAACAATACTCAACTATCCTCTTCTTAATTCTTTAATATCTATAAATCATCTCCTTCTTACCATACAAATAGCACTGCTGCATTGTAGATATCGCGAAACCCTAACCAGCCTCGGTGTATCCAAACCGCCAGGCTGTTAACTCTCATCCAACCTCCTTCCATCGCCATCACCAACAACCTTCCATCCATCTTCTACCTGTCTTTGTTGCAATGGTGTGTTATTCCTCTTATCTACCACATACATCTACTCTTCCTCCAAACACACTGCTAACAACACCAGGATTTCGAGGAGATCGAGGAGCTCGACGGCGTCCGCTTCAGCTGGAACGTCTTCCCCTCCACCAGGCTCGAGGCTTCCCGCACCGTCGTCCCCATCGCTGCCCTCTACACTCCCTTGAAAGAGCGTCCGGATTTGTCGGTTCTTCAGTATGAGCCCGTCACCTGCCGTGCTCCCTGTCGCGCGGTCCTCAATCCGTACTGGTACGTCTGTTGTTCTTTCTCATTCCGACCCGCCATCCCCCCTCCTCCTCATTGTCCATGCTAATCAATTCGCTCTTCTATCTTATCCAGCCAGCTCGATATACGCGCAAAGCTCTGGATCTGTATGATTCCCTTCCTCTAATAATCCACTCCCTTCCTCCCTACCATACTAACTTCTCAGGCCCCTTCTGTCTTTCCCGCAACCAGCTTCCGGCCCACTACAAAGACATCAGCCCACAGTCTCTCCCGCACGAGCTCCTGCCAAAGTCGACAACAATCGAGTACGTCCTTGCGCGTCCGGTTCAGTCGCCGCCCATATTCGTCTTTGTCGTCGACACATGCCAGACCGAGGAGAACCTGCAGGCCCTCAAGGATTCCATCATCGTCAGCTTGAGCTTGATGCCGCCTAATGCTCTTGTTGGACTCATTACCTTTGGTACTACTGTAAGTAGATTCCCAAGTCTGTTCTACAGATTGATGTCTAATACACTCATAGGCCCAAGTTCATGAGCTCGGATACGCCGAGTGCGCAAAGTCGTATGTCTTTAGAGGCGGAAAGGAGTACACGGCAAAGCAGATCCAGGAAATGCTCGGTCTTTTGGCGTCCAACCTCCGTCCTACCGCCCCTGCTGCGCCTGGACGTCCTGCTGTCCAACCATTCGGAGCTGCTGCTAGGTACTTATCACCCACATATACGTCTTCTCTACCGCTCTAACAAATCATAGATTCCTGATGCCCATCCAGCAATGCGAGTTCCAGCTCACCAACATCCTCGAGCAACTCCAGCCCGATCCCTGGCCGGTTGCGAACGACAAGCGTGCGCTGCGTTGCACCGGTGTCGCGTTATCGGTCGCGATTGGCCTTCTCGAGACTTCCTTCCCCAACACCGGTGCTCGGGTGATGCTGTTCGCTGGTGGACCCGGCACCGAGGGTCCGGGAATGGTTGTCGGACCTGAGCTTCGCGAGGCTATTCGTTCGCACCACGACATCGAGCGGGATAATGCCAAGCACTACAAAAAAGCGGTGAAGTTTTACGAGGCGCTTGCGAAGCGCGCGGCGGCGAACGGGCATATTGTCGATATTTTCGCGGGATGCTACGATCAGATTGGAATGCTGGAGATGAAGTCGCTGCCAAACTCCACCGGCGGAACGTTGATCCTCGCGGACGCGTTCACGACTGCAATTTTCAAGCAGAGTTTCCAGCGCATGTTCAACAAGGATCCGCAGGGCCAATTGCAGATGGGGTTCAATGCCACGCTGGAAGTGCTGACGACGAAGGAGTTGAAGGTATCGGGCCTGATCGGCCATGCGGTGTCGATGAACAAAAAGTCGGCGTCGGTGGGCGAGACCGAGATTGGGATTGGAAACACGTGCGCGTGGAAGATGTGCGGGATCACGCCCGGGTCGTCGTACGCGACGTACTTTGAGGTCGTGACGCAGGGGACGCCGGCCGCGCAGCCGCAGAGCCCGCAGCGAGGCCTGATTCAGTATCTGACGTTTTACCAGCATGCGTCTGGCACGTACCGGCTCCGGGTTACTACGCTTGCGCGCAACCTTACGGCGGGCGGCGACCCTGCGATCGCGCAGTCGTTTGACCAGGAAGCGGCTGCGGTGCTGATGGCGCGGATTGCGGTGTTCAAGGCCGAGGTTGACGACGGGCCGGACGTGCTGCGCTGGACTGACCGGATGCTGATTAGGCTGTGCCAGAAGTTTGCGGATTACCGCAAGGACGACCCGAGCTCGTTCCGGCTGTCGCAGAACTTCAGTCTGTATCCGCAGTTTATGTTCCACCTTCGTCGGTCGCAGTTCTTGCAGGTGTTTAACAACTCGCCTGACGAGACTGCGTTTTATAGACACGTGCTGAACCGCGAGGACGTTACAAACTCGTTGATTATGATCCAGCCCACGCTGATCTCGTTCACGTTCGATCAGCCGCCGCACCCTGTTCTTCTCGACTCGGTGTCGATCAAGCCGGACCATATCCTCCTGCTCGACACGTTCTTCCACGTCCTGATCTTCCACGGCGAGACGATCGCGCAGTGGCGCAAGGCAGGCTACCAAGACCAGCCCGAGTACCAATCCTTCCGGGACCTGCTTGCGGCGCCGCGCGAGGAAGCCGCGGAGTTGCTCGTCGACCGGTTCCCGTTGCCGCGGTTCGTGGACACGGAGGCGGGAGGGTCGCAGGCGCGGTTTTTGCTGTCGAAGCTGAATCCGTCGACGACGCACCAGAGCGGGGGCGCGTACGGCGGGGCGACGGGGTCTGCGGTCGTGTTGACTGACGATGTCAGTTTGCAGACGTTTATGGGGCATTTGCAAAAGTTGGCGGTGACGGGGACGTCGTGAGGGACGTCGTGGTGATGTAGAGGTGATGCTATATTATACTATATTATATATACAGTTGTGCTTGTTGTTTGTGCTGTAATTTGTTTTAATGTATTTGTTTATAGTATTTACAGTAGTGGTGGAGTAGTAGTAGTTGAGCAGAGTAGAGCAGAAAGCCAAAACCACGCGCCGAGCTCAACCCACCACAAGCAAAACTCCACACTCCACAACCATCCCCCGCAGCAAATACAAACAAACCAACATCGACACATCTCTGACTACAGCTTCTGAGATCAATTGAGGAATTTCTGAGATTAATTGAGGGATTGTAATCATGTCAGAGACGGAGGATATCTCAATGACGCCGTCGTCAGAACGATCGAGGTCGCGCTCGTCGTCGTCCGTGCCGTCGCCGAGTTCTACGCCTTCTGCGTCGCCGAGGAAGAGGAGTGCGTACCGGGATGGATCGTCACAGGAGAAGAGAGAGGATGGGTATGAGGAGGAGAGTATGTCTACAGCGGCGACGACGCCCGCGCTCACGCGAACAGGGTCGGCGAGCGCGTACACGATCCCGGTCTCGCACCGGTCCTCGTTCTCGTCCAAGAGCGAGCCCGGCGCCGATACCGACTCTGGCGGCGCGGTGATCACGCCCGCGACGCCGGCGAACGTGGCTGTCTACGCGATCGAGTACGTGCAGGGTCTGCTGCAGGAGCGGGCGCGCAAGGTGCTGGGTGTCGGGCGACGGCGGGCAAAGTCGTCGGCGCGGGACTGGGTTAGTACGGCTGAGGTTGTCGTGTTGGATTTAGGTGATCGCGGGTTGGATTTTGTGCAGATGGTGCTGAGGCTGTGGATTGAGCGGCCGGTGTTTGCTGTGAGTAGTAGTTGCTGTTGTTGATGAGAGGGTGGGATGCGAGCTGACGGTTGTGTAGGCGTTTGTGACGTTGCAGATTGGGTTTGCTGCGGTGCCGGTGGTGGTGGTTATGATGAATCTGGTGGTTGTGATGTCTGTCGTGATTGTGCTTGCGGCGATAACCTCCGCCATCCTCATCTCATTCGCAGGTATCTCCCTCCCTCTCTCTCTTTCGTTCTCTCTCTCTTTCTTGACGTGAACTGACGACATCTAGCACTGGCGTTAATCGGATTACTAGCCGCGTCGGGGATATTAGCGACGGGCGCGTGGATGTTTGCCGCGGTGGGGATCGTGGTGTTGCAGCGGGCGATTGTTTTGGGTACTGCGCTTTTTGGAGGGGGTGGGGAGGTGTATGAGGATGGGAAGGAGGGGTGGGTGGAGTAGGAGGAGGGGGAGTAATATGGCGTTTGTTTGTTTATGTTGATACTTATATCTGTCGAATTCAAAAGCTTTGCAATAAACGATATTTGTCTCTCTGTCGTATTCAGAAAAAAGAAGGAGGTACTCTAATACTTTACGATACTACCAGTCGCATTCAGACGAACCTCCACAATCCGATTCTCGTTAAAAGCCAGGATGACACCCGGGTCCGTGAAGCAGAAATTCGCAATCCCCCCCGGAATCAGAATCTTTCCAATCAAGATCCCGTCCGAGTTCCATACCTGGATGCCGTCCGAGCAGCCAGAGTACACGTTTCCCTCTGTATCGGTTTTGATGCCGTCCGGCGCGGCGGAGTCAGCGAATGCAAAGACGCGTTTGTTGAGGAGTATGTATGGCCGATTTGGCTTTGTGGACGCGGGCGAGAGGACGACGTCGAAAGCGTAGATTGTGCCTGGTACGTCGCTGATTTTGCCGCCGAGGCCGTTGGACGCGTTTGTGTCTGAGATGTAGCAGGTTTTAAAGTCCGGCGCGAAGGAGATGCCGTTCGGGCGCTTGAAGCCGTCGGCGACGACGCGCAGGTTTCCCGTGGCTGGGTTGAAGCAGTAGACTTGGGTGGGCAGGTTCTGGACAGTGCGCAGGTTCTGGATGATGGCGTAGTCTGGGTCGGTGAACCAGATTGTGCCGTCGAGCGGGAGGACGACGACGTCGTTTGGGCAGTTGAGCGGGCGGCCGTGGAAGTGGTTGAGGAGGACTTGAGAGGCGTAGGGCGGGTGGACGTCCATGTAGACGAGGGCGCCGGAGAGGGCGTCGCCGTAGCCTTGGGAGCAGAAGAGGGCGCCGTCGTTGTAGTTTATGCCGCCGTTTGCGGTGGGGATGTCGGGCGAGGGGGAGATCTTCTCCCAGGAGTAGGTGCCGCCTGGGGTGTCGGGGGCTTTGATTTTGGAGATCTGGATTGATTTGTGGGTTGGGTTGGCGGACGGGTCGGGGTAGAACTGGTTTGAGGTGAAGAAGCATTCGCGGGAGGAAGGGATCCAGATACCAGCTTCGTGAGCGAAGCGGAAAGAGGAGTCCTGAGCGACGACGCGGAGGGAGGGGGACGGGCCGAGGAGGGCGAGGAAGTCGTCGTCAAAGACGGCAAAGGGGCGGAGACAGAGGTTGTGGGGGGAGGTGCGGAGGTCGAGGGGCGAGGAGGTGGAGGCGATGGTTGCGGAGGGGGAGAAGGCGGGGGGTTCAGCGGAGCGGCGGGGGGTTGTGGGGAGGACTGAGAGGAGGGCGGGGGAGATGCGTTGGATGAGGTCCATGGTGAGTAGTAGATAGTAGAGAGCTGTAGAGATGAAGAGTGGAGAGTGAGAGTAGTAGAGATATAGAAAGAGAGAAGTAGAGAGGAGGATGAGTAGAGGAGATATCAGAGGATAGCGATTAGCCTAATTCGGATACTTTTCCGGAGTCATGAGTAGTTAGTACAGTAGTAAGCAACAAGCTATGGCGTAGAGTGGAAGAGTAGTAGAATTGAATATAGAGTAGAAGAGTATTGCAATTGAATATAGATGTAGAAGAGATATAAGAGATATAAGAGAATAAGAGAATAAGAGATGTCAGTGACTGCTCTGCTGCTTCACTGCTGCTAACCACACTACCAATACCACTACTCTGATAGGTTTACGCTGATCCTGCTCTTACTAACCACTGACACTAATATTGACTGATTGATGACTACCTACACTTTCTCTCACCTTTCACTGCACTTCACTCCACTGAATCTACTATTCTGCTGCTCCGGGGATGGGCCCGACTGCGGTGCCGGAGGTGATTACGTCAGCGATGACCAACTCCCGCGGGGGTAGCACCGAAAATGGGGGGCACCATAAAAGATGGGGGGGCACATTACAGCTGAGTAGTGTTGCTGCAATACTGTTGTGCTGTTCAGTTACAAGTTATAATAACAATAAGAATAACAATAGAGTCAATGCTTTATATCAAGAACTTCTTTATATAACCATCCATACAATAAACAACAAGAACAACACAAACAAGAAAGCGACCTGGGGAAAGAAGCCGCACGCGCGGGGTGTCGCCGGGCGTCGTCGGCAGAAAGGCCGTCGCTCGTCGCTATAAAGTCTTCTTCTCTTCTTCACCACTTCCTCGCTCTCTATATCTTGCTATAGTCAATTACACTCACTATCATCACCATGCCCGCCTACCCCGAAAACAACCGCACCTGGCAGATCCTGCAGGCCGCCGAGCGTGGCGGCTACGCTGTGCCCGCCTTCAACTGCTACAACGCCGACGGTGTCCTCGGATCCATCAAAGCGGCCGAGAACCTCAACGCGCCCGCGATGGTCGAGATCTTCCCGTTCTCGCTGCACTTCCACGGCCCCGAGTTTGTCAAGTTCGCGGCCGCGGCCTGCCACGCCGCTAAAGTGCCGATCGCGCTCCACCTCGACCACTGCACCCTCCCCGCCGACGTGTACACCGCGCTCGAGCTGCCGTTCGACTCCATCATGGTCGACGCCTCGACCGAGGACCCCGAGGCGAACATCGAGTTTGTGTCAAAGATCGTCAAGATGGCCGAGGAGCGCGGCATCACGATCGAGGCCGAGATGGGCCGCATCCAGGGCGGCGAAGACGGCGTGCCGACTGTCGACATGGAGGCGCTCTACACCGAGCCCGAGTTCGCGGCCGACTTTATGCAAAAGACGGGTGTGCACTACCTCGCGCCGTCGTTTGGAAACATCCACGGACCGTACCCGCCTGGTGGGCCCGAGAAGTACTGGCAGCTCGACCGACTGGCCAAGATCAAGGAGCTCAACCCCACGATCCCGCTGGTTTTGCACGGCGCGTACCCGATCATCCCTGATCTGTACAAGAAGACCGTCGAGCTCGGGATGCGCAAGGTGAACCTCAACCGTAACCTGCACGACGACTACCTCGACTACCTGAAGGAGAACATCGGAAAGGTCGAGATGACCGGTCTGCAGGAGAATTCGATCGCGCTCTGGGTGAAGGAAGCCGAGCGGTGTATCAAGATGCTTGGCTGTGATGGCAAGGCCGGGGATGTCAAGCCTATTGTTTAGTTGTAGTTATAGAGTCTTTATATCATTTTTATTACCTATATCCCTTATATCTCTTATATCACTTATCAACTCCAGCTTATTCATAGCTTACTTCTCTCTCTCCCTTCTTACTACAGCAAACCCGCAATTGGACGATGACAAATGACAATGTCATCACTAATCAATTACTAATCAACGGAGTTAAGCTGCGGTGCGTTTGAGCAAAACCCTAATATTCCGTCATCACTGCCTTCTTCCTCCTCTCCTCCTATCTGTCTCTTCACCACCTCTCCTCCCTCTTCACCACCCCTCCACCACGCAGACAATGCAGTCCGTACTCGCGCCGGACAGGCTCGGGGCCTTCGACTTCCCCGTCTCCTCCCCCGCCCTCAATGGCTTCTGCCGCGACCCCGAAGGCTGGGGCCCCGTCTCCGAGGACTACGACTTCACGCCCTGCTTCGCCGAGGGCACCCTCGTAGACCTCGTCGCCCTCTTCGTCATCGTCCTCGGCTCTATCCAGATCTCTGCTCTGTTCAAAGTCAAGCCCATCCCGACCCGCAAGAACTGGCACTACTGGACCAAGCTTGCCCTTGTTGCTCTCAACGCCCTCACCGTCCTGGGCACCGCCCGCCAGATGGTCGACATCTACGACGACGCCCTCCTCGACGTCCGTCTGTATGCTGCCGTCTTGAGCTTCTTTGGTTACCTCGTTGCTCTCTACCTCCATCATCTTGAGCACAACCGCATGCGCTACGCAAACGGCGTCTTGCTCTTCTTCTGGCTCTTTGTCGTCCTCGCGGATGGTATCAGGCTCGTCAGCTTCGTCAACCGCGAAGCTCACATCTTGTATCCGCAATTCATCACTGCCTTTGGTTTCTCCTTCATCCTCTCCATCATCACTTTTGTCCGTATGTATTCCTCTTTTTTCTCCCTACTCCTTCTTATCTCTATCTCTATTCTCTTATCTAACCCCATCACAGTCGAGGCGTTCGTGCCAAAGGCAAAGTCCAGCTACGAAGTCCTCGCCCAGGAAGGTGACGAGTCGCCTCTCGACCGTGCCAACCTCTTCTCGCGTCTTACCTTTGAATGGATGACCCCGATGATGAAACTCGGATACGAGACCTATCTCACCGAAGAAGACCTCCCCGGCCTCGCCAAAGGTGATAAGACCGCCGAGTGCCGTGTCAGCTTCGAGCGCTACTGGGACCGTCAGAAAGCGTCAAAGAACCCGTCGATGGTCCGCGCTCTTATCCGCGCATTCGGGTCCTCGTACTTTATCGCCATGCTCTTCAAGATGGCCACCGACATTCTCGCATTCTCGCAGCCGCGCCTGCTCAGACGCCTTATTCTCTTCATCAACTCCTACAACGAGGGAACCCCCGACCCCTTCACCAGCGGCGTCGTCATTGCTCTCTCGTTCTTTTTCGTCTCCATCGCCCAGACCGCTTGCCAGCACCAGCACTTCCAGCGCACTATGGTCGCCGGCATGCGCGTCAAGTCCGCGCTCGTGTCCACAATCTACCGCAAGGCCGTCGTGCTCTCTGGCGAGGCCAAGACCGCAAAGTCGACCGGTGATATCGTCAACCTGATGTCGGTCGACGCCCAGCGTCTCCAGGATATCACCCAGAACGGTATGGTGCTCTGGTCCGGCCCGTTCCAGATCTTCCTCTGCCTGTACTCGCTCTACGGACTCCTCGGATCGAGCATGTGGGCCGGCGTCTTTGTCATGGTTGTCATGATCCCCACCAACGGATTCATCGCCAAGAAGCAGCGCGCCCTGCAAAAGTCCCAGATGAAGACCAAGGACCAGCGTACCCGTCTCACTACCGAGATCCTGACAAACATAAAGTCCGTCAAGCTTTACGGCTGGGAGGCGCCCTACATGGAGAAGCTCCGCCACGTCCGAAACGATCTCGAGCTCCAGAACTTGAGAATCATGGGCATCTACTCTGCCGTCTCCTCCTTCCTCTGGGCCTGCGCTCCGTTCTTGGTCTCCTGCTCGACCTTTGGTCTCTTTGTCTTTACCTCCGGCATCCCTCTCTCCACCGACATCGTCTTCCCCGCGCTCTCGCTCTTCAACCTGCTCACTTTCCCGCTCGCCATGTTTCCCCAGGCCATCACGAACCTGGTCGAGTCATCTGTGTCTGCAAACAGACTCCAGGAGTTCCTGCTCTCGCCCGAGCTCCAGGACGACGCCGTCGAGCGCAAGGAGGCTGTTACTGAAATCGGCAAGGAGACCGTCGTCGTCCGCAACGGTACTTTCCTCTGGGACGAGAGCAAGAAGAACGCGCCCGCGCTCAAAAACATCAACTTTATCGCGCGCAAGGGCGAGCTCGCTTGTGTCGTCGGCCGCGTCGGATCCGGAAAGTCGGGTTTCATGCAGGCCATCCTCGGTGAACTCTACAAAGAGCATGGCTCTGTTACTGTCAGCGGCCGCGTTGCCTACGCGAGCCAGTCTTCGTGGATCATGAACGCGACCGTGAAGGAGAACATCACTTTTGGCTCGCGCTTCCAGGCTGACTTTTACGAAAAGACAATCAAGGCCTGTGCTTTGGTTGAGGATTTCCTGGCCCTTCCCGACGGCGACGAGACGATCGTCGGCGAGAAGGGAATCTCGCTCTCGGGCGGACAAAAGGCGCGTCTGTCGCTCGCCCGTGCTGTCTATGCCCGCGCTGATATCTACGTGCTCGATGACCCGCTCTCGGCTGTCGACCAGCACGTCGGCCGACACCTGATTGACAACGTGCTCGGCGCTGACGGTTTGCTGGCGACCAAGACACGTATCCTGGCGACGAACGCCATCACTGTCCTGTCGCAGGCATCAAACATCTCGATGATCCGCAGCGGCGAGATTGTTGAGCAGGGAACGTACGACGAGGTCATGAACAAAAAGGCCGAGATCTACAACCTGATCAAGGAGTACGGAAAGAAGGCTGCCGGACCGAGCGAAGAGGAGAGCGAGGGAAGCCTCGCGTCGCCTCCTAACGAGGAGTCCGCCGTCGACGACTCGGCCGAGGTCTCGGACGAGGAAGCGGCTCTGAAGCGCCCTGCCGACCGACGCGCTAGTATCAGCACTCTCAGACGTGCTTCGACCGCCAGTCTGACGAGACCAAAGTTGATTGACGAGGAGGGTCAGAAGAGATCGCGGCAGTCGAAGGAGCATCTCGAGCAGGGCCAGGTCAAGTGGACTGTGTACAAGGAGTACGCCAAGGCTGCGAACTTGTACGGTGTCATTTTGTTTATGGTTCTTTTGATTGCCTCGCAGGGCATCTCTGTTTGTAAGTGTCTTTTCGAGTTTATATTGTGAACGGCTGCTAACAAAGTATATAGTGGGCAACATTTGGCTTGAGCACTGGTCTGAGGTCAACACCGAGAGCGACAGCAACCCCCATATTGGCATGTACCTCGGCGTTTACCTCTTCTTTGGAATCTTTGCGTCGTCGCTCACGGTCTGCCACACGCTCGTTTTGTTTATCTTCTGCACGATCCAGGCCGCGCGCACGCTGCACAACCGCATGGCGGAGTGCGTTATCCGGTCGCCGATGTCGTTCTTCGACACGACGCCGATCGGCCGCATCATCAACCGGTTTACGACCGACATCTACCGAATCGACGAAGTGCTCACGCGCGTGTTTTCAATGTTTTTCAACAACACCATCCGCGTCGGCTTCACGCTTCTCGTCATCTCCACCACGACACCCGCGTTCCTGTTCCTCGTCATCCCGCTCACGCTGCTGTATCTCTACTACCAGCGCTTCTACCTGCGCACCTCGCGCGAGCTCAAGCGTCTCGACTCTGTCTCGCGCAGTCCGATCTACGCCCACTTCCAAGAGTCGCTCAGCGGCCTGTCCACGATCCGCGCGTTCCGCCAGATCGAGCGGTTCGAGAACGTGAACGAGACCCACGTGGACTATAACCTGCGCGCGTACTTCCCGTCGATCAGCGCCAACCGCTGGCTGTCTGTGCGTCTCGAGTTTATTGGCTCGGTGATTATCTTTGCCAGCGCGGGGCTTTCGATTATTTCGGTGTCGTCGGGCACGGTGCGCGCGGGTCTTGTCGGTCTTGCGATGAGTTACGCGCTGCAGATCACGCAGAGTTTGTCGTGGATCGTGCGGATGACGGTCGAGGTTGAGGTTAACACGGTCTCGGTCGAGCGCGTGCTCGAGTACTCGCAACTGCCGAGCGAGGCGCCGATGGTGATCAAGGGCCACCGACCGCCTGCGTCGTGGCCGACCTCGGGCGAGCTCGTGTTTGACCACTACTCCACGCGGTACCGCGAGGGCCTCGACCTCGTGCTGAAGGACATCAACCTGCACATCAACCCGAAGGAGAAAGTCGGCATCGTCGGCCGCACGGGCGCGGGCAAGTCGTCGCTCACGCTGTCGCTGTTCCGCATGATCGAGGCCGCCGAGGGCCATATCGACATCGACAACCTCAACACGTCGACGATCGGCCTGTCGGATCTGCGACACCGGCTCGCGATTATTCCGCAGGATTCGCAGGCGTTCGAGGGCACGATCAGGGATAACTTGGACCCGTCGCACGCGCACGACGATACGGAGCTGTGGGAGGTGCTTGAGCTGTCGCATTTGAAGGAGCATGTCTCGCGAATGGACGGCGGGCTTGACGCGCGCGTGGCGGAAGCCGGTTCGAATCTGTCTGTCGGCCAGCGACAGCTGATGTCCCTTGCGCGCGCACTACTCACGCCCTCCAAGATCCTCGTCCTCGACGAAGCCACCGCGGCCGTCGACGTCGAAACCGACCAACTTCTGCAAGAAACGATCCGCAAAGAATTCAAAGACCGCACGATCCTCACGATCGCGCACCGGCTCAACACGATCATCGACAGCGACAAGATCGTGGTGCTGAGCGCGGGCAAAGTCGCCGAGTTTGACTCGCCCGAGAAGTTGCTGGCGGACAAGACTTCGATGTTTTATTCGCTTTGTAAGCAGGGTGGGCTTGTGCGTGAGGGAGGCGAGACGGTGGATGGGGGAGCGTTCGTGTCGCCTTTGGGGGAGGATAAGTTGGATAAGGAGTAGGAGTAGGAGTCAAAATGAAAGAGTAGTGAAAGACGAAAATTTTATGAAAGTGAAAGATTTTGCATTGTTTGTCGTGGTGTGGTTTTTTGCTTTTTATATATAGTTTGCTGAACTAAATCATCAAGAAGATAATGCTGTATTGCCAAATTAAGAATAAGTTTTGATTAAAACAAGGAAACTCCTAACACATGTAAAACAAAATACAAGAGACGAGAAAGAGAGAGAGGGGGGGGGTTACTGAGCAGCAGTCGACGTGGTAGCGGCGTCCTCCTCTTCTTCTTCGGGTGCGTCTTCAAGTGTTGGTTGATGGGTGGTCTGCGTGGGGATTTTGGTGGGCGGAGGAGGAGGCGCGGGATCGGTGGAGCTGGATGTGGTGGGTGGTTGTGTCTCTGTCTGATTCGATAACGCCGACTCAGACTCAGAAGAAGAAGAAGACTCAGAAGAAGAAGAATCAACGACAGTCGTCACCGGCACCCCAAAACTCGCAAGCGGATCCACAGGCGGCACCCCGAGCACGCCGTTCCCGAGCGGAATCACGTACTGCAGCGTCGACAGCGTGATCCAGACGTTATCCCTGATCTGCAGCTGCTGCAGGCCGTTGCGGTACTGCCGCATCGGGAGTAACGCCCAGCCTTGGGGGAGGACGAAGGTCTCTGGGAGGGCGATCGCGGCGGCGGGGGTGGGTGAGGGGGTGGTGGTGGTGGTGGGGGGTTGAGGGGGGAATGGGCGTTTTGGGGGTCGTAGGGGGTGGGTGGGGTGCGAGATGGGAGGGGGATTGTGCCGGCTTGTGGGGGGAAGAGGTCACGTAGGTCGTAGGGCGGGACCGCTGGGACTTGTTGCGCATCTGCTTGCTGCTGCTGTTGCTGTTGCTGCTGCGGTTGCTGCGGTTGCTGCGGTTGTGGAGCGGCTGCTGCTGGGGTGGGAGTTGCAGAGTCGAGCACGGGACGACGGCATGTTGGACACCGTTGCTGACGTTCAAGCCAGCTTCGCAGACATCCAAAGTGGAGGACATGTCCGCAGGGTAATTTCTTCGGCCGCATGCGCTCATGCTGGACTCTGCGTCTGCGGTGGGCAGTGTTGCTGCTGCTGGTATCGGTCGGAGACGAAGGCGGGTCAGCGACGACGACCATTTCCTCGCGACAGATGATGCATGTAGTTTCGCGCTCGACGTCTTCAGCCGTAGCGTCCGGGTACCGGTTGTTCATCTGCGAGGTAGCCTGTCTGTAGCGCATAAAGTCGCGGATCCGGCCGACGAACGAGCGCGTGGTCAGGTAGAGGTCGCGGACGATGTGCAAGGGGAGGCCGTAGACGGTCACGACGAGGATGAAGAACGGGAGGTAGATGAAGAGTTTGACGAGGTCGGTTAGCAGGTCGAGGTAGAACATGAACTCGCCCTTGCGTTCCCAGCCGTCGACTTCGCCTTCTTCAATCTCAAACCCGAATTCGTCGTCCTCGTCCTCGTCTTCGGGCGCGGCGTGACTCGCAGCAGCAGCGGCAGCAGCAGCGGCAGCAGCGGCGGCGGCCTTCGACACGATCCGCAGCTCGATCAGCGAGAGAATGTACCGGCCGGTGGTAGCCATGGCGGAGGTAGAGAGGATTGCGAATTCGAACGCAAACATGACCATCATGTTTGGCCCGCGGGAGGAGATGTCGTCGAGCGCGTAGCAGATGAGTTTGAAGTCGACGACTTTGAGCAGGAAGAGCGTGATTGAGACGCGGAGGTGGAAGAGGATTGGGGAGGAGGGGGTTACTTGTTCCATCTGCGCCGGCTGTTAGTGATTGCTTTGAGTCAAGAGCACAAGAGAGAGAGGGAGGGACATACGTATTCAACACGATCAGCAACAAGCCAGTGAAAAATCTTAAGAAACAGCAACGTGACAAACATAAACAGAAACAGCGCGTCAAAGTCGTCTCTGAAGATCGTCATCGCCAGACACGTCTCGGTGACGGCATACCAGGTTTTCTCATACAGATGCTCGACCTCGATCACGCGTAGCCTGCCAAACAAAATCGTTTGTAAAATCCGGCCAATTAAGACTGCGACAAAGACGCCCATGTTTGCGAGGATCTGGGAGATGTGGTTAGATCGCCTGATGGGGGATATACATGAAGAGAGATAAGTACCATTAGACATGCGTTGCTCTGCGCGAGGTAGACGCACGCGGAGTAGAAATTAGGGCGCTGCTGGAACGCCGACAGCACGATTCCGATCGCGAGAACCGTGCTGGTCTGCATACGAAAGATAGTAGTTAGCAATCCGCTCTGCTTGTTTGCGATGTGGTTATATCCGGGGAGATCAGATTGATATCCAGATACCACCACCACACGCCAATTCCTCGAGACTCAACCTCAAGACTCAACCTCAGGACGCAACAGGGAAGACTACGTACAGCACCATAAACCGCTAGACGCATCTTATGTCTTGAGAACGCGACAGACTGATGAATTGCGAAGAAGAGCAGCTGGTCGAGTCGGAAGTCTGTCCGTCTACGTGTCTCCAAGTACTTTGTCAGCAGAAGTTGTCGTCACATGATTGTTATTTTATTGAGGGTCTGGTGGTGTATGAGTAAGTTGTTATGTAAGGTGAACAGACGCCGGAAGTGGAAGAGGGCTCGAACTGGCTTTTGAGGGAGGTGTGCTGAGAGTTATAGACTTTTATATAGTAACGGACCCTGCACATGTGCCTGTGTGCGGAGGAGTTAGATGGAGAGCAGCGCAGGTGAGGAGGAATGATGCTTGATTGTTTATCCGAAGATAGAGACGAGAGCGCAGGACATTGTTGGAATTCACTCGGATACCGCACGGCGCGGCTGCATCGATCTCAATCACGCAGAAGATCATCAGTGACGATGGGCTGAGGAATGAGTGAGCGAGTGCTATACAAGATCGTATAGGATCGATCGGCACGGCCGAGGTGTTGCCTGCTTCTACTACTATAGTTGTCGTCGTCGATGGTTCTCGCGCGCGCGCGCTTGGATATGTTGATAGTCTGCTCGGAAGACTGAATTTCCCGAGCCGGCCGTCAGGAACGCCTTGGTCTGCTAGTCTACCGCAAAAGCAAAAGCGACCGGAAAGGAAAGGAAAAAGCAAGCAGTCCGCCGCTGCCGTGCGGCCCCTTTCGCAATCCATCACCTCTCCTTCTCGTCAATTCAGACTGAGACTAATAGATCCAACGGCGTAGCTCAGCTCAGCTAAGCGCGAGCACACGCATAGACCACCCGAGAGCGAGCCGAGCCGAGTGCAGACATCGTTCGCAGCGATTGGCTGCTGTGCTGCTGTCTGTGGTGCAATCCCCGACGACCTGCCCGAGACCTGCCTGCCTGACGGTGGCTTGTGCATTCGATGGGGCGCGAGTGTACCACCGTGTGTACTACGTCTGTGGGAGACAGAGCCGTGTGGAGTCGTTGCTTTTTCTTGGTTATGTAAGGGGTTAGTGAGCAGCAGACTTGTGAACTTGTTCTTGTTCTTTCTGACAATTACTACAAGAAGAGAGAGAGAATGATGCAGGGATTAGATTATAATTAGAAGAATAGCAAAAATACAAGCAAAAGCCGACGCCAAAAACAAAAAAAGTAATCCAGAACACACATGTTTTTCGTCGCAGTATAAGTCTATTATCCAAGCTCTTCATCACTCCGACTCATGCCCGAGAACCCCCGCGCTATCAACATCTGCCTCGTTCGGATGCATGAGCGCGTAAGTGCACTCGTTGAGATGCGCAAAGAACGCGTCGACGCCGTAGTAATGCTTGCTGCAATTGCTGCACTCGAGTTTCTCGTACGAGGCCGTGTTCTTGACACCCCGTGAGCGACGACGAGGACGGCCTGGACCGGCTGGCGCGCGCGAGTTCAGGTCGTCTTCTTCCTGTGCTGCGGCGGCAGCGGTGGTGTCTGTAGCTGAAGACGAGGCGGTCTGCACGCCGTGCACGATGCGCAGATGGCGTTTGAACGTATCAAGTCTGCCGAACCGCTCGCTGCCGACGCGGCAGTTCGCCGCGCCAAAAGGACACACGAAGCGGCCGTCGTAGTGCTTGAGTTCGTGGCGATTGCGGTCCGCGACGCGCGCGAAGCCCATGTTGACGTACTGGCACGTCGGACGGCCGAGCGTGTAGCCTGCGCGGCATTTGTGGGGTTTCGGCTCGGGCGAGTGGGTCCAGAGATGGTCTTCGAGCTTCTTGAACCGTTTCTTGCACACCATGCACTCGCGCTTGCCGTCGCGGGTTTGCGGGCTCGGCACGGAGTGTCTGCCGGCGATGCGTTTGTGGGGGGCTGTGGTGGAGGAGGAGGGGGTGGTGGTGGTGGTGGAGGGGGGGTCGGTTAGGTTGCTTTCTTCCTGGGTGCGTTTGGTTGAGGTTGAGGATAGGTCGGTGACGTCGGAGTGCGCGCGGCGGACGTAGATGCCGGTGGGGGGAGGGGGAGGGATGTACTGTACTTCGGGCATGTAGAGCTGTTCGAGCTGCTGCGGCGGCTGTACGTACATTTGGTAGAACTGCTGCTGCTGCTGCTGCTGCTGCTGTTGTTGTTGTTGCTGCTGTTGTTTCTGTGTAGTCTGGGGAGGAGAAGGTTGAGCCTCTGGCTGGGACTGTGAGAAGCTGAGACCGCGAACAGCAGGGACGACTTGTGAGGAGATTTCAGTCAGCGGCGAGATGGGCTGCTCGTATATCTGGATGGGCGTGAATCCGTGGAATTGAGTAGAAATCTGCTGCTGCTGCTGCTGTTGTTGTTGCTGCTGCTTTTGATGAAGCATGATCTCGACGGAGCCATCGTCAGATAGATGAGGGCTTGCGGATGTTGCGACAGAGACGGGGGGTGAGGGAGAGCGGTACTGGAAAGTGGCAGCCGAGCTGAGGTAGAATTGCTGCTGCTGCTGCTGCTGCTGTGGTTGAGAAAGAGAAGAGTCTGCGTAGAGAGTGGGAGGGGTGGAAGGCGCGGTGTTTGCTTGTTGTGGTGTAGGAGTTGGGTTGGAGGTAGGCGGGAGCGGGGAGGAGACCTGCGAAACCAGCGGCTTCTGCGCGGCCGAGCTGGCGTGGTGCAGGATCTGCTGGAGGAGCGGGCGCGGGCTTTGCAGAAGCTGGCGCGGGTAGGAGAGCGGGGCGACGGCGATGGAGGAGGAGTAGGTTGGTGCGACGGAGTATGCTTGGTCTTGCGCGGCAGAGGCGGAGGAGGAGGAGGAGGAGGAGGAGTAGTCGTAGAAGGAAGGCTGGGATATTGGTTGGGTGGGGTGGTGGACGTCGTAGCCTGTGTAGTCCAGGGCGGAGACGGAGTGTTGGAAGTAGTCAGCAGCCGACGAGGATGGGTAGGACGTCGGAGGATGCTGCGGAGACATCATGGGCTGGGGGGAGGTGTGAGTGAGGGCTGAGGAGGGGGAGGGGGAGGGGCTAGCATACGGTGGGAGGAGAGGAAGGACCGGAGGTCAATTCAATTGAAGAACGAGTGGATGGAGAGAGAGGAAGATAAAGAGTGAATGAGAAAGAAGAACGAAGGAGTAGAGAAAGAAGAAGAGAGCAGCATGGAGAAATGGAGGAGTGAGTGGGGAAGGGTGGTAGGCGGGTTAAGTAGGAGGATGGGCTGTGGAGAAGCGAGTTGGGGTGAGGCTCAACTGCGGTACGAGACAGGGTACCTGTGGCTGGTGAGGCGGTGCGAGCGCAGTGATGAGTGAAGTCGAGGGATGATGATGATGAATCTTTTTGTGTTGTAGAGTAGCAGAGTAGAGTAGAGTAGAGTAGAAATGAGCAGTAGAATAGAATATATCACAGTTGACCATAAGAAAGCAGAATAAAAAACAGTGAAGCACAACACAGCACAACACAGCAGAAGCAGAAAGTACAGACGTAGAGCAGCAGTTGAGCAGCAAACGAAAACGAAGAAAGCAGCGCAGGTGAGTCAAAACGGACTCGGCAGATACGCGGTGACCAAAGCGTGAGAAGAGAGAGGATGGATAGCCGGGCAGAGGTGGTGCTGGACCTGGAGCTGGATCGGGATGGTTTCGGGTATCTTGATGAGGTCATTAGTGAGATGAGATGGGTTACTACGATTCACTACTACTACAATAGACTATAGACTATTGACTATTGACTAGACTACAGACAGGATATAAGATAGAACTGATAACTAGTGACTACAGTAATAGACCAAGATAACGAATAAGATATAGGATTGTCGAATAGAGAAGAGTAGACCACAGAGCGCCTACGCAGCAACACTGTCACAGCAGCACACTCACATCAACACACAACACTGACATCAACACACACACAACACACAGCACAACACAACACAGAACATGCGGTGCAATCACAATGCTTATAACAAAAAGAAAAGAAGAAGGAGAGGCAGTAAATAGCAGGCACGGAGGCCAGCAAAGTTTAGGTTTAAAGATGGAATTTTTCCGGATGGCGCGCGGCGCGGATGCCGTTCGTCGAGAAGAAGAAGAGCGGAAGAAGAGGTGGATGACGGAAGTGTATTGTGTTTGGTGTATTCTGTATCTATTCTGTGTTCTGTGTTCTATATATATTCTGTTATATCAATTACTACATCAACTACTACATCAATTGATTCTACTCATCATCATATCTACTCCTCCTTGTGTGCTCTACTCTACATCCATCGCGAAGGGCGCGGTGCCGTGTTCTAAGCCCGCGAAATCCTCCGTCCTCTCGGAGCCGTGCGGCGGTCTCTTCTCTTCCTCTCCCCCTTCCTTCCCTTCCCTTCTCTGCTCGGTCTGCTTTTGTGTGTATTGTATTGATACAGTGTAGTCAATCGCATTATCTCTATACTTCTCATTATCATTCCTTCACCATACCACCATCACTCCTCTTCTCAACACCTCACCTCACCAGCTCTCGAGCCCTTGTGCCGTGCCAAGCCACACCCCGCCACGGCCTCATGCGGCGCCACCAGCCACTGCCGCTGCCTTTTAATTTATTTTTCCTGAAGCGAAATTCAATTCCTTTAACGACCGCCGCTCACAACCCGCCCGATGCTCGCCGCCTCCGTCTCCGCCAGCTCGAGCACCCGCTCCTCGCGCTCGACTACCTTCTCTGCTAGATCTAGTAGTCGTCCTAGGTCCGCTCGTAGATACCGCGCAAACTCAACCTTCTTCTCTTCTTGTTCTCGTGTGAACTCTCGGTCCGGAAGTGCCTACTTCTTGTTAGCATCACCATCCTCTCCTCCTCCCTTTTCAACACATCTCACTCACCTCCATCGCGACCTGCAGGCGCTTCAACAGCGCCGCTCCCCGCCCAACCTCCTTCTTCAGCGTCCAGTACCGGCACATCTCAGCCACAAACTCCTTCCTCTTCCGGATCCCGTACCGGCTCATCCGCTCGCATATCTTCCGGTATATCGCATGCGGCACAACCGGCGCACCCGTATTCGTCTTCCACACAACCTTCACCACCTCCTCGCCTGTCCCTCCCTCTCCGTCCTCGTCCACCCCTGTACTTGTGCTTTCTGCCGCCGCGCCCAGACTCGTCAAATTAAGCATAATCCGCGGCCTCGTCTCCACCCCTCCCCCTCCCCCCGCGTTCCTGAGCGCGCTCGTCTGCGCGTCCGCGTACTCCCGATTACTCCCCAAAAGCATGCTGTAATGCTCCTGCGCGCGCCGCACACTCGTCTTCAGATCGTGCTCCCGCTTATACTCCTCCGTGCAATGCCGCTCGCAAAACGCCTCCAGCAGGTCGTAATTCTCAAAACACGCCGCCACCGCCTGCGTCGCGCGCATCCTCAGCTGCAGCCCCGCCCGCCGCGCGCACGTAACGTGGAAGGCCATGTAGCACGTCTTGCTCATGCACTGGATGCACGCGCCCGTCTTTTGCTTGCAGATATAGCACACCAGCTTCCATCGCTGCCGCGGCACCCGCTCAACCCCTTCCACCGGCTCCATGTACACCAGATTGCCCACGCTCACCTCCGGGATCCACAGCGCACATAGCAGATGCGCCCAATGGCCCCGATCGGTCTGCTTGAACGCGCCGGTTTTGTTTGGACAGAAAATGCACGACACATCGCGCCTTGGTCCACCACTCAAGCACCGTCTGCAAAGCCACTGGCCTTCGGGGATGAACGGCACCCCGTAGCAGTCCTGGTGCACGGCCACATTGCATCCGTCGCAAAACACAATCGCGTTGCTGTTCTCGCACTCGCCGTCGTCGCATAACGCACATTTAGAGTCGTCGTTCTCTTCCTCTACCCTTGCGCTTGTTGCTGCAACTATAGATCCCCCTCGTGCTCCATCATTAGTCACAGTAGCAGCTGCACTAGTTATTGCCTGCGTCGTCTTTCCCTTTGGAATATGCCGCAGCAGCGCAAACCATTCCTTCTCCAGCATCGTCATCACCACCTCAAATATCAACCGCGTGATCGGGGTCGCAGAATACCTCTTCCTCCTCTCCTCATTCAGAATCGTCAAAAATTGATCATCTACTCAACAGTTAGCCTCCTCTCCTCCTCCTCTCATCATAACACATCTTCTCATCATCAAATACTCACCCTGCTCGTTCATATCATACTCAACCGCATTCCCATCATCCGGCTCCAGCCCAATCTTCTCCTCCCGGATATACTCCCGCGGCATCACAAACCTCTGCTCCCTCCCCGCCGCATTGCTACTCAGCGGCAACTCCTCCGCCGCCCCCGCGATCCCCTGCCCCGACCTGCTCACCACCCTGAACTTTGGCTTGTTCAGCCCCGCAGGCTGGCTGCTTCCTCTCTGTCGTCGGCGGCTTGAAGTCCCTGTACTGCTCGACGCGGGCTTAGGCTTATCGACCTCGTCCGCGTCAAGAAGTGGGAGTTCCGCATCAACCGCCAGAGAAGGATGGAACTCGACATACGGACGTTCCTCGCGTGGCTTATCATCCACCACAGGGACCCGCATATACCCCCCATTACTCGGCGACCGCGTCCTTGCCCGCTTCATAATACTCCCCCGCCGTCTTTTCTTCTCACTCACCTCGCTCTCACTCCCACTACTCCCCTCCTCCTCCTCCTCCTCCTCTTCTTCTTCCTCTTCTGCTGCCTCGCTGCTCTCGCTATCATCCCTCCTCCCTTTTCTCCCGCGCAACGTCCGCGCAGGCGTACTCCGCTGCGTCAAACTTCTCGTCCGCGTAGATCGCACCTCCTCGCGTAGCCTCAGTCGTACCGTCGGCGTCATCTCTTTCTCACCTATCATCTCTGAATTCTCTCTGCTGCTGCTGTCTGCTACTCAACGCACTCCGCGTCCTGGATCATCAACGAGATGAGCCCTCCACGCGCAGGCCGGGTAGCACATCACAGCAAAGCACTTACATAATCACATTACATAATCGCTTACCTCACCATCCCGGTCTCTCCCGCAGAGAAGAGAAAAAAGGCGCACAAAGTTTTTTTAAATTTTTTTGGTTCTTCGAAGTCGTTCCTCGCCCGCCTTTTTCTTCTTTCTGAACTGTTTTGTGTGTTTGCACTGAAGCAGAGAGGCAGCAAGAGACAGCAAGAGAAGAGGTGAATAAGAAGAAGGAAGAAGATTGAATATCGTCCTTGTTTGGGTTTCTTTGAGGATTTGGGATATACTACAGCAACACTACTGCTTCTATCTACGTCTTCGCCATCTACCTGATCTCACCATGCTGCTAGCTCGCCATATCGCCCGGCGGCCGGCCTCGTCGATCTCTGTTCTCTACAACACATCGACCTCTTCATCGTCATACACCACCCTCCTCCGATCCGACACCTCGCTCGTCCGCGCCGCCCTCCGCTCATCTACCACCCCCTCCACCACCTCCACACGCACACCCACACCCACACCAGCATCCGCTCGCGCGTTCCACACCACGCGCACTTCCCGCGCCGACGACGGCGGAAACCAGAACCGCAAGTCGCCTTACCAGGTCTTTGTCGACACTTTTAAGGAGGAATGGGGGAAGTCAAAGGAGCTGCAGGAGAACATCAAGGCTTTGCAGGACGAGACTGGGCGGATGTCTGAGAGCGAGGCTTATAGAAAGGCCAAGGACGCTTACGAGAAAGCGAAGGTTGGTTTCTTCTTCTTCTTTAGTGTATTATTTAGTTAGAGACAGACAGCTGACAGCATTCTAGACTGGAACCTCAAAAACCGCAGAAACCTTCAAAGCCGCGGGCAAAGTCGTCGGCTCGGCCGCCTCGACCGCCTGGGAATCCCCGATCGTGAAGACCACGCGCGAGGCCGTCAACGCGACCGCCGAGGAGCTCGACAAAGCGACCGCGCCGATCCGCGAGACTAAAGTCTACAAGGAGGTCAAGAGCGTGATCGACGACGGGAGTAGTCGGCGGTACGGCGGGTTCGAGGCGCGGGATGCGCGTCGGCGTCGGAGGGCGGAGCGGACGGCGCAGAAGATGAAGGAGAGGTTGGAGAGTGGGATGGGCATGTCTAGTAAACCTATCGAGGAGGACTTGGAGTGAGTCTGTCTATTTCTACTTCTACTACAAATTCAACCATTGCTGACAATCTTTTTACAGGGCCGGATCAAACGTCATTGTTCACCCGACCGCGAAGCCGGACGAGGAAAAACCACAATCATCCATCCGTCGGTCGATAGACGAACTCAAGGAGAAAATCGAAGAGTCCGAGAACCCGATCGTGTCGACCTTCTACGGCATCGCGTCCCGCGTCGGCGGCCTGTTCGCCGAGACCGAGCACGCGCAGGTGACGCGCATGTTCAAGGACATGGACCCCTCGTTCTCGATGGAGGAGTTCCTGAACGAGGTGCGCGAGTATATCGTGCCCGAGGTGATTGACGCCTACGTGCGCGCCGACGACGACACGCTCAAGCACTGGCTTTCCGAGGCGCCGTACAATATCTGGCACGCGCAGGCCAAGCAGTTTAGAGAAGCTGGTCTGTACTCTGCCAGCCGCGTGATCGACATCCGCAACGTCGACATTGCGAGCGCAAAGATCCTGCCGCCGTCGGACGTGCCCGTCGTGGTCATCAGCTGCCGCGCGCAGGAAGTCCACATCTATAAAAACCTAAAGACGAACGAGATCGCGGCCGGAACCGAGGACCATATCCAGCAGAGCACATACGCGATGGTCTTGACTCGTATTCCGGAGGATATGGATGATCCCGAGACCGCGGGCTGGAGGGTTTTGGAGATGGTCAGAGGCCAGACTAGAGATTGGACTTAAGCCCTCTATAATGTTCTTTATCGATCAAGAAAAGTTGTGCAAGTGTATATAAGTTGCTATTTTGGAGTGGTTCAGAACTCGTCTCTTGTCTGTATATCATGATTGGAGGATGGAAACTAATAACAGCAAAAGTCTGTCTCATTGTATATAACTTTTACTTTCTAATCTTGCATTTCCTTTTAAACTTGGTTTAGAACTTCGTCTCCGCCTCCGGATCCTGTAGCTGCTTCGTCCAATCAAACTTATCCCACATCTGCCTAAACCCCTTCATCCGCGGATCCGGCTCGCGTTTCCACCTCGACTGCCGCTTAATCACGTCCGGCTCGAGCTCCAACATCCCGCCAATAACCTCCCTCGCAAACAAATCCCCCGTCGGCCACCGATCCGCGTCCTCGATGATATGCCCATACCCGCCATCGAGCGTGAACCAGACATGGAAATACGGCGCCTCCTTCACCAGACTCTGTCTGAACGCGCGTTTTCCGAGTCCGCCTTTTGTCGCGCGCTCGAGCGTGTTGATGATTTTTTGGTGCGAACTCCATTCTTCGTCGGACGAGAGGATCGCTTCGCGGAAGTACGCGGAGGCTGTAGATGCAAGCTCGTAAGGCATCGGGACGGCTTCGATCGAGGCGTGCCGGCGGCGGCTCATGTTTGCGGCGTTTTCGTAGAAGAGCACGCCTCGTTTTTGCGAGTGGTACATGCGGGCTAGGCATTTCATGAAGTTCTGCGAATGTTAGTACTTGCTATATAGTAAAAGTGTAAACCAGTAATAGGATGTAAAGTAGGAGGCAACTCACTCTAATCTCATCCCACTCATCATCATCGCACTCTAGCGAAGACCGACGGTGCGCGATGGGCACGATACTAGCCGCCCCAGGACTAAGCTGCGGCATCGTCGGCAGCGACAAATAGACCCTCGTCCCCATCGCCACCACCGGCGCGATCGGCGGCGCAGAGTCCTTATGGCACAACGGACAAGTATCAAGAATATGATTAAGCTTATGGACCTCGTCGATCGCCGTGTTTTTCAAATCAATCTGCTTCTTGCTTATCCTTCGCGCGAGCTTCTCCGCGTTCTCGTCCATGTACTCGAGGTCGTCTTTGAACAGCTTGTCGTGCCCGATTCGGTCAGCTAGCTTCCGGCCTTCGCTACTGCTGCTGCCAGGGGCGAATCCGCGCGACCGCTTTTCCTCCGCGACCATCTCCGCGATCGTCATCTCGTCTTCGGGTTTGCTCGGCGCCGAAAGCACGCCGCGCGTGTCCATCATCGAGAGCACTTCGACGCGGTTGCCTCCGGTGTTGCTGCTGCCGCGGCCGGTGCGGTGATTGAATGATTCGAGGGCGGCGTTGTATTCTTGCTCTAGATCGGCTGCGTTTGCGGCTTTTCGTAGTTTGGCCTTCATGTACGCGGCTTTCATCTTGTTCAGCGTGGTCTCGGTCACGATTGGATTATTATCTTCAGCGGTCTCAGGCTGGCTTTGGCTCTGGCTCTGAGGATGAGGCTCGATCGAGGGCGCAGGCGAAGGCGACCTGCTTTTCTCTGGAACCTGTAGTTCGTCCGCAGCCGTGCGGACAAAGTATGGATCCGTAGGTTTCTTCGCCGGTCGATTGAACACCGTCCGCTTTGGCTCACGTTTACTGCGCTCTGCCTCTCCCGCAAACGAACCAAAGTCGAACCCAGACCCACTATTTTCCTCCTCGGCGGCGGCGCCGTCCATCATCCACGACTCTCGTTTGGAAGATTGTTGCTGAGGTGGTGGTGGCGGGATCGAGGCGTCGTCGATGACCCATTCGCCTTCGTCGCTCGAGTCTTCTTCTACCGCGAGTCTTTTGTGTTTCCTGCTTTTCGACGCGTCGATATCATCTTCTTCTTCATCATCGTCGTCATCCTCTTCGCTGTCAGTTTGTCTCCGTTTCTTAGACCTGCTCGACTCGTCTTCTCTGTGCCTTGAGGAACGATGATGGTGTCGATGATCACCGCTCCGATGAGATCGTGAGGTTGACTTTGATGAGCTGTCGTCATCTCTTCGCGACGAGGAGTGGTGCCGGTCGGTGTCTTTGGACGAGCGGTGGTGTCGGTGGTGGGAGTGGTGGTGGTGGTGGTGTTTTGATGAGGATGGGAGTTTGGAAGTAGATGCCGCGTCGTCCATGCTGGTTAGTCCCCTCTAGTTATCCTTCAGCTCTAGCTATCCAGCGGCTTGAATGAATAGAATAAAATACCGCGAGGATGTTGGATCAATATCAATCTTGGTTGTACGCAATAAAAACGTACTCAAGTTTATTGTCGTTGGGACGATGAGTTTTAAAGTTCATCAATGACGTTTATTTTTTCTCTTCTCGAAATCCATCGTCCACACCGCTCAGCTTATCTTTGACAGCACAGTGCTCAAAACAAGACAACACGCTATCAGTCAGTCTGCGTTCTGATACAGGTTTGTCTTATTGTATTGTGTGCTTCTTGCTTTTAGTCTGAGGATCCGCGTGCTGCTACAATGTCGAAATACTGGTGCAAGCCTTGTAAGACTGTACGTCCCCCTCCCTCCCCTCCTTCCGTACACACCCACACACAGTACTAACTCAACTTACACAACAGTTCGTGCTCGACACCAAGCTCGGCAAGTCCCAACATGAAGCCTCGGTCCGCCACAAATCGTCAATGGACCGCATGATCCGCGACCTCAACCGGACAAAAGTGCAGGCGCAGCGGAGTGATCGCGACGCGAAGCGGATTCTCGAACAGATTGAAAAAGCAGTTGGTGGGGAGATCGGGACGTCGGCACCTTCTTCTGCGCCAGTTGCAGCGACGAAGACGATTACTACGACAGCTGCGAAACCTACCTCGTCAACGACGCCGTCGCAGAAAGTTCCAATGATCTCCAGCAAATCTAAAGTGCTCCCTTCCTTCATCCAGAAAAAGCCCACCTCTACAAAGCAGAAATCAAGTGTGCTAGGCATGCTTCCCGACGGTCTTCCGCCGTCTTCGTCGGTTGGCGGGATCCAGCCAAAGAGTGGGGGAAGTCGGATCGCAAAGGGAGGCGCGGGCGGGTCGAAAGGGTTTAGTAATGGGTCTGTAAAGAGGAGTTGACCGTGATGTAAATTTTTGTGTATATGTGGGTGTTGTATTATAAGATATTTTGAGGCGTTTGGATATGTTGTCTATTTGATAAGCTGTTGGGTTTTTGTTGCTGTTGTATTTCGATATTTTGGTAATATATACAATTTGCAGAGAATAATACAGAAAGACTATAAAACATATTAAACCAGACTCCAACCATGTAAGTTATGCAGTACAATGCAATAAAGAATGCTACAATCACCGCCTCTTCTGCTCGCAAAGATCCATATTCCGATCAATAATATGTCTAACGATCTTCCATCCATCCGCGTCCGGGAAATCCATAACCATAACCCCGCATCTCCCCTTCGAGTCCATCAGCGCCTTCCCGATATCCGACATCACGCCCGTGGCGATCGACCGTGGCCAGCAATTCGGGTTCCAGAAGTTTGCCGCGGTGGTGAAGTTCAGGAAGAGCGTGTCGAGGTTTGACGACGACGCGCGGGTGATGTGTTGCCGGACGTAGGATGATTTGGCATCGATCCCGGACGGAGAGAGGACTTCGCAGTAGTCCTGTACTGATAGAACTGTGCCGTCGGTGACGTCCTCGCCTGGGGTGTTGTATTTCCACGCCGTCGCGGGGAATCCGAATCGAGAAACTTGCTCATCTCTACACTCGAACCTGCGAAACAAGATGATCTTCCCCCTCGCTTCCCCCAGCGACGGCATCCGCGGCTCCAAAAACCACCGGTGCTCGTGTCCCTTGATATACCCGCTCCAGAGAATATCCGCGAGCTCGACCCGGCCTTTTGAAAACGGTCCCTCGTGCTTCAACGACATGATCACCGTCTCGCTCGGATTCGCGTCAAGGAAAGCGTAGACCCTGCCGAGCACTTTCGAGAACGTGACCGCGCGGTAGGCGCAGACCGGGAACGCAGAGTGTACGACGACGAGCTCGTGGCGAGACTGGCCGAGCGAGCAGAATTGGAGAAAGGGTCGCGATAGCCGGATGTCGAGGAAGCGGATTCCGCGATCTAGTTGCTGCACTAGTGGTGCGTTTTGGCAGCGTACCGACGGCACTTTATGCGCAATAAAGTGTTAGTATTTATTACAGAAACCGTCGTGATTTGCTTTGGAATAAGAAAGAAAAGAGACGTACGAGAAACATAATGAGCACAAGAGTTATGAGTCCCTGGGATCGACAGCGCAGAAACGGAAACCTTGTCCGAGAAATAAGACATCCACTTTGCAGCCGAAGCAGATGGCGACCTTTTCAGCCCACTATCAGTCGCCATGATCACGTTTGCAGAGCTGAATGCTGAAAAACGATGAGCTGTGGCGGGCCGAGGATGGTGATCGTCGAGGATCTTCGAGGTGGGAATGTATTTTAGGATAAGAAATTCAGGGGTTGGGATTAAAGTCACCGCTCGACGACTCGAATATCTCGATTTTTGCACATTTTTGTCTGTTTTCGACCGACACAAGCATTGTTTGAGAATATATGAAGCTGCCCGAGCAATGAACATATTTTAATAGGTTTGAAAGACCAGGTCGGAAGCAAGAAACCAGTCTACTAAATTAATTAGCTCGCGTCAACCAGCAGTTCCTACCGGTAATTTATATGTTTATATACTGCAAAATGAGATCTATTTACAATAACGACTTCAATCAAGCCTTAGGACTACTCGACGAGCTTTTCCTCAACCGCACCTTGTGCTCCGCCACAACTCCCTTCAGACACTTCCGGAACGACTCCTTCTCCTCCTCCATCGCCTTTGCGCACGCCGCCCATCTAATCTTACAATCGCCGTCGACGATGTAGACGTACCCCGTATACTTATTCACCTGTCCGATCGCATGACTGAGCTGGTCCGGCAGCGGCTGCGCGTAAAAGAAGAGGTCGTGGCGGGATTTTGGCAGCTTGCGTCTCGTCCTGAACGCAAAGAACTTGGAGATCCACTTATTCACTTTTCTATCCGGCACCGTGATGTCCACGGTCTGATACCCGCTTTCCTCGCTCACATCCGCAATCGCCTCCGCGGAACTGCCAAAGTACGAGTCGACGTGATGTTCGCCCGAGAGCTGGGAGTACAGCTTGACGACCGAGACCTTGCCTTTCAGAGCGGACGTCGTGTCTTTCTCCGCGGATGAGGCGAGCGTGGTGCCGTGGAAATTCGGCATGTACAGAGCCTTGTCGGCCCGGAAAAACATCTGCGGGGCTTTCCATTCTTTGCCCTGCGTTTTGCGGTAGTCGTGCATGTCGATGAAATATGACTCTGCCATTTGTCCGATGCTAAAGTACGCGTAACGTATCAGCACCCCACTCCACAACTCCACAACAAAAAGAGAGAAAAAACGACTCACAGCTCCTTCCGTCTCTCAATATTCTTCTCATAACTAACAAAATCCGCCCTCTTCTGCGCAAACGTCCGCTTATCCTTCACCGAATTATCAGCCGGCCGCGGCGGCGAGTTCATCCCAATCGGCCGCACGAGGTACTGCGCGCCGTGCTCTTTCAAGTATTTCGCCTTTTCGTTCGCAGCATCGATGTTCTTCTTCGACGCGGCCAGGAACTCGCCGAACGCGCTGCCGGCGCGCTGCTGGCGCGGCGGAGGGAGCGTCGTCTTTGGCGAGGGCGAGGGAGAGGCGGGGTTGCTTTTCGTGGCGGCCGCGGGGGCGGGGGCGGGTTTGGATTCGGAGGGGGATTGTGGGACGGGTTTGTTCGCGGCACGAAGTAATTGTGTTGATGAGAACGATCGAGCGCTGATACTCATGCCCACCTTCGTCATCATCGTCGTCGTTGTCGTCCTTGTCGCTACCGACGACAACGCACACCCATTCATCATCCTCAACTTCTCAAATCCCATAATCTTAACTTTCAACAATCCTCAAGTAATCTTTCTTCTTTCTCTATCTTCAATTCCAGAACTTGTCCCGCGTCCTTCGTGTTTTCCGACCAAACGTTGAATACTTCTTCCCTCGTATTTTCTTTTCCTCGAGAAGGTCTTCTCCCGTAAACCTTCGGGAGAGAAAATCGGTGAATTGCCCTAACCCGATGTTTGCACGTTCTAACTACGTAAGGTCGGGGCAGGTTATTTGATTGAACATATTTGTGCATGAATTGTGGGAGGGTGTATTATTGGGTGTGAGTGTAGTGGTTTGAGGAAATAGTGAGGACTGGAGAGGAAAATAATGGTTGGATGGTTGAGAACGTTGGGTTGTCGTAACGCGCGCACATTGAAGATCTCGAAAATCTTTAAGCAGCGCAAACGCATTGCAAAGCGAAAACAGCACATGAATCAAACAAAAACGGGAGCTACAAATACAAAGCATGCAATAAAACATTCGAATTGAAATAAAACCAAAAAAACTGCGGTGGAATTTGTCAAAACGAATGGTGCGAGGTAAACTAACAAGATCACTTGTGCTTATGAACGTGAACGTCCGAGAAGAGATAGGGAATAGAAGTAAAGAATACCGGTGATACTTTTTGTGATATATTGATATATATATATATGAAGGATAGAGAAATAAGCCAGAAAAAAAAAAGGATCGATATTAGCGGTAGGAAAAAGAACGACAAAGGCATTATAAATGAAAGAAAAGGAGAGGATGCGATATTCCTCTTTCTCATTTCAAAACAAGATAATATAGATACGGAATAAGAAGAAATATAAAAAAAAGAAGGCGCAAAATGTGAGCATATATCAAGCGGGTAATAGCAATGGCACAAAAAAAAGGGGGGGGACAACAAAAATAGTGAGAAAAAAAAGAGAATAAGAAAGAACCGAATGCATTTTTTTGTCCGAGCGCGAGAAATTAAAAGAAGAGAGAAAAAATAAGAACAAGTAACAGACATCTTTGCGAATATAACAATAAATTGAGATATAAAGAGATGAAAAAAGATAAGATTGAACAACAAAAAATAACAAAGACCAAGCAAGTGATTTTTCTCTGCGACTATGGTGTGTGAAATTTTGTGAAACATCCGTCTTTGATTCTCATGTCCAACTCTCTTCGGGAAGAAGCCAGAGATTGGCAGGAAACAGGATAGGAAAAATCCAGCGTGCTTTGAATGCGGATGAATAACGACATAGGTATAGTGATCTCAGTATCACTTATTTTCCTTCCAAATCCTCATGAATTTTTGATAGAAAAGAGAAAAGACAAATTGAAACAAACAACAAACGCAGGCATGACCAATATCTACAAACCTCCCCACGACGACACGATGAAGTAACCCGCACTCTCAAACTTTGAAGACGATATATGATGCAGAAGACAAAAAAACGGAGGACAGAATTGTAGAGTGCTGATTTTTAGACGAAAGGATTTAGACCGATTACTCTGATCCAGCAGCGACCGCTGCCGCAGGAGCTGGAGACTCATGCATAGGCGAAGGAGTTGACTCGTCCTCCTCCTCGCGACCAGCATCCGTTCGCTGATCGGGCGACAACACAAACTGCTGCCAGTAGTGAATCGATCTGACCTTCTGGCCGACGAGCTCGACATTGGGAGCTTGTCTGCAGGCCTCGACAAGGACGTTCAAATCGCCGCCGGTCAGATTCTTCAATCTGTTGAACCCGGCGAGAACAGACAACGGGACCAAGCCCTTGCTGTTCATATTTCGTCGTAAGAACATATCCCTCAAGAGGTTGTCGAGAGAGAAGTAGAACTCACTAAATCACGTATTAGTAAAAGAAAAAACAGATTAAATGGATTTGTAACATACATTTGTTGGACGACCATGCTGACTGGATCATAAGGATATCCAGGCATCACAGGAGCAGGGAAGGTGGGGTAGCCGAAAATGACAGCGGCAGCGGCAGCAGCGCCATAGTCTTGCTGAGGAGCATAAAACTGTCTGCCCACCGGCTGGAACGGAGCAACATTGGCAGCCGATGATCTTCTGAGCTGATAGCTGCCGCCGTTATGATGGTTGTTGTTTCCATGCTGCTGTTGCTGCTGGTACCCGTAGTGGGGTTGGGTGAATTGAGGGTTCGCGTGGCTCGCACGCGGCGAGTGGTTACGAGTACCGCTGGCGCTATGCGTTGGCTTGACGTACTGACCTTGGGGTGCAGTAGGGGCAGATGAAGAGGCCTGCTGTCCATTGATAGCATGGTTGCCGTTGTAGAACTCTCTCGGTGGTCGGTTGATGCCCTGACCGTTAGTGTGGGCAAACGATCGCTGAGGGCGAACAGCCTTTCCGTTCGCCGGGACACCCTTGGCCGACTGATGCTGTCCAGAAGCAAAGTGCTGCTGGTTGGCGTTATGGTGGGGGTAGAAAGGCTGACCGGCGGCCGAAGGAGCCGAGGGGGAAGACTCCGAGGCTCGCTCGGTAGCAGGAGCCGATGATTCAGGTGATTGCTGAGATTCAGTGGCAGCAGAAGCAGCGGCGGGAGACTGAGCTTGGCTGGCAGAGGCGGTGGTAGAGTTGGAAGAAGGCTCAGCTTCCTTGCTGGCAACGCGCTCAGCCTTGGTCGAGGACTCCTCCTTGTCCTTGGCAGCAGCGACGTCTTTCTTCTCATGCTTCTTGTGGTATTGCTTGTCCTTGTCAAACGGAGCGTTTCCGGATGAATTGTTCGCCGGTCGCTTTTCAGATGAGTTGTTGGCCGCGCCAGCGCTCTTTTGCTTGTTTCCCCGAGCAAGGTTCTTGTTCCCCCGCGAGGAGTTTGAGTCGTCGGCCGCGTTTGCGTCGTTCGATGTCGAACCGGATCGGCCGCCGTTGTTATTGCTGTTGTTGGTACGGGAGCTGAATGGCTTTCCGTTTCTACTTGATTTCGGTTGGCCAATTATAGCAGGCGTGTACGGAACCCACTTTTCTTTTCCTATTTAGGGTTAAGTGGTTAGCACAACGAAGCTCTGGCACATCATCGGGAAAAACACAGGGATTAGCTCTGTGCAGCAGGAATAAGGAATTCAACGTACCTTGGCGCTTGGCGCCCTTTGAAGCAGAGTCTTTCTTGTCCTCATCGTCAGGACCGGCGGGCCACGACTTGGAATCAAGGTCCGTGGAAGCCGATTTCGACTTTTTCTCGCCAGCGACCGTGAGCTCGGCAAGACTTGGATCAGACTCGCCGCCGATCGCGAGGGTCTTTGGCGGGGCTGCGTCGGCCTTGACTTTCCAGACGTTGACCTTTGGGGGAGGGGCGGGTGTGAGGTTGGGCTTGGAGGTCGCGGACGCATTTTTTGCGGCGTTTGCGGCGGTGTCGACGGAGGATGCCGAATCGGCCGAGGTGGAGGATGCAGATGAAGATGAAGCCGAGCTCGAACCGTTTGCTGTAGCTGAGGAAGCAGTTGCGTCGGAGGCCGAGGCGGTCTTGTCTGCAGCATCGGATTGCTTGCCGTTGACTAATGGCTCGGTAGCGTGCGAATCGGCGGAGGCATCCACCGACGACGGCGCGGCCGCGTGATCGTCTTTTGAAGGAGAAACTGTAGAAGAAGATGAAGGGAGGGCGGTAGAGTCTGCCTCATCCTTGGTGGTAGAGGAGGTGCGTCGGGATGATGGCTTCGCACCGGCGGCTAGCGCATAGGAAGGTGGAGTGCTGGTTACAGCTGACGACATGATGAGACGCGATTAAATCGGCGATTGGCTAGGCAATCGGACAAAAAGAAGATAGATGGAGGTAAGAAGCGGACTGGCGAGAGGTGGACAAGAACACGAAGAGTTCCCGATGGAGATCAGAAACTCGCGGTTTGACAAAGGTCCGGAGCACGCAGGCGCTGAATAGGAAAAAAACCGAGGACTATGTCCGGATACAAGAGAACGAGGAGACGGCTAGGCACGGATCGGGTTCAAATGCCTGAGAGAAGAAGAGACCGGCAAACGCAAGTGAAGCACAGCCGAATAGTCGCGAGATAGGGAGAATAGTCTGATCCCCAAGAAAAGGCGGAGAAGAATTTGACGACTTGAGGGACTGTGGAAAAAGGCGAGAAGGGGTAGAGCTACTCGAAACGAAAGCGAATTCTCACAGACCGGTCGACAAAAAAGAAAAAGAAGCAGGGCTCTGGAGAGAGACGAGATTCGAGCAGAAGGAGAGCGGGGATTAGGTAGAGGGGAGGAGGAAGGGATGCTGGAGGAGGGTAGAAGGGGGAATGACGACGAGAGAAGAGAAAAAAATTAGTTCTCAGTTGAGTGCTTCTCACTCTGGCGCGGGCCGCCTACAGCGTTCAATCTCGCGGACAAGGAGAGGACAGTGACTTTGCTGTGACTTTGTGTTGTGTCTTTCTGGTGTGGCTCACAGCTGTCACGTGAAGAGCTGTGACTGAAGTTCTGCTTGATGTTGCAGATGCGGCATAAACAGTGCAAAAGTACTCTACTTACAGCCTAACAGCGTGTGTGATGAGCCATATTATTCTGAGCTTCCGGAGCGCCCGCGTGCGCGCGCGCGACTGCAGAATCAGGACGCTGGCCACGCGCGCCCCGAATTTTGCCTCTCCGACTCCTGCTCTCTGATCGCTGGAGTCAATCAGCCGACGGTGGCAATAGTCCTCATTGTCTACAGTTCTCAAGCGATGATACGGCCTACGCAGGCTGATTTTGGCAGACACATACAGTTTTGTGGCGCTCGCAAGCTTCGGGCTCACTGTGGTCGGTCGGTCGGCTAGGTGCCCTTAGTGAGCCACAGCATGGTGAACGAATCTCTCGGTGTAAGCTGTAGATGTACGCTCGTGAAGGTGAATGCTGATGAATATTCAGCATAGTTGATGACAATATCTACCTGCTATGAGCCATAGCCAGCCATCGTATTGATTGGCATGCTCTCGAACCCTTGTGCTGGCGTCCGCTGCCGTCGCTGTCCCTAAGTTCGTAATAAGCCTCTCCTGTAACTATATCGACCCTATGGAGACCGCTACCAGCCGATCACTCGCACGAGCGGTCAAGCAAGCAGCCAGATGCTGAAAAGGAGACAAATGAGCGCAGATTTGTCTGTGTTTGCTCTTACAGAATCTGATGCTCGTCCTGTCTCCTATTCGTGCTGTGTTCTCCTGCTCCTCCCCTGCCCATCCATGCTGCTCTACACTCAGCTCTTAGACTACTAATTACGGCATCGGCGCAACCCGCTCCGCAAATAGAATTACAATATGAATCCCGTTACATTATTGCTCTCCATTACTCTGTAAGAATAGTTGATACTCAAAAATTCCATGATCGAACTCATCATCAACTCGACAATTCCTTCAACGATTGATCGCTCTGTGGTCAAGACGATCGTTCGTTCCCAGAAAGCTGATGCTGAAATGAGTCCGTTGACTCAGACACCCGATTCGCTATTAACTTCAGCACTGTCACTAATCACCACGACTCTGCACAAAACAACTACAATCCATCTACATCTACTTGCAACTATTTTTTGATCAAACAGTATTTCTCCCATATAATACAACTGCACAAACAAAAAATAAAAAGACGAAAAAAAAAATACAAATTCGAAATCTTCGATACCGGGAATCGAACCCGGATTTGCCCGGTGAAAGCGGACCGTGCTAACCGTTACACTATATCGAACTGTATGCAAAAAATTGTGATGCAGTCCATTATAAGCTCGTTTCAGAACTGAGTCGCGAGCCGTGTTTTTGCGTGTATGCTCTATTATAGATCATGTTTTTATTGCTTCAGTGACTCTGAAAGGGCCTGAAGCTATTAATAGCACTTTGGTGTGGTTCTGCGGAGTGGTGGTGGAGGAACGCGTGATGCTACTTCTAGATGACCTGTAGCAGCGACCGATTTACTGCCCCAGTTCTGGGTGATTCAGCAGGCCAACGCACCGCTGCAGTCAATAGCGGGCAAACTTAAAAATGATTTGGTAGACAGCTGAACAAGTACTGTGGTGTTTGAGCAAGTGTAGAGCTTTGCTGGTGTAAGTTGAAGCATCTGAAAATAAGACCGCTCGTGGATCTAACCACTTAAATGAGAGCAGCAGCGCTTGTTGGCAAATCGCCTGCAAAACTCGAAAAATACGGGTTTCTCTGCTATATTTTACATTCAGTCTCTTGTACACTTATTTCTAGTCAAAGCAGAGTATAGTAAGGGAGGAACAGAATATAGTAAAGAAGGGTATTTATTTCATGCCACCCGCTAATACTCAACCAGCGTCAGATCAGATCAGATCTGCTGGTTTCATAGCTCCCTTACCGACGCGACCTCTTCAAGCGGCCGTCAAACCTCACGCATCGGCTATTCGGCTCTCGTGAGCTCGTTCATGCAAGGTCATCTCGACAGGGTACTGATCAAAGACATGGGGTAGGGAGGCAGCACCACCCTTGCTGCTAAAAATATGCGTGCAGTTCCGCCTGCCATATACTCATAGCTTCCGACACCGAATAGGAGAGTTTGCTATGCGATGTAATTAATAACCAGGTTGCGCTTGCAGATTTTGCAGAAAACAGAAAAGGGATAGGTAAGCGAGAGTGTAATAGAGTTGGAGCAGGGTCGCGCCGTTTTGGGATTCTTGAGATCTAGGATAGGTGGGGGAGATTAGGACGCGGGATATGTTTGTCGTTACGGGTTTCTGATTGCAGGTATTGAAGTATGTTGTGAGATCGAGTTCTTGATTTATTTATAGGAACATTTTTAGCGGATCATGTAGAAAGATCAATAATTGTAGCTCGTTGCGGAGACACCACGAACGTGACGCGTCAAGATGTGTCCGAGATCTATTACGTAGTTGAATTCCGAAACAGAATTACACCTGCCATACGTTTCTCGCGACACATGCAAATCTCCCGTGAACGCTCTAGACAGATCGGGACAGGAGGGATGAAGCCGCTCTGAACAACCCAGATGCGTACGAAGCCGTTCAAAAACGACAGGACAACGCGTACATCGCGCGTCGGTCCCGGGTTGGATAATCAGATCTGAGAGTTTTGTGGTTTGCCTGGCACTACGATCCTCAGCGTGGGAATATGACAGCAGATCAGGAAGAGACTAGTACGGTCAGACCAGACCCTTGGGGCCATGCTCCCGGATCAGACACTTCTTCCTTTAGCTCCAGGGACTCTTCGTTCTCCTCCTCAGTAAATAACAGAGGAGGAACAACACAAAGAGCACTATACGGATTAGAGTTCCCCAAACGCGTCGAGCACGCGTCGCGGATTGAACTTACGTCAAACGTTAATTCTGCGCGGCGAATTCTGCGCGGCGTATACTTTTAAAGTTTTCAGGGGGAAGCAGAGGGGGAGAGAGAGAGGAGGAAGGAGAGATTCGACACAGGAAATGATGTAACCTGGACGTTGTTACTGGGACTAAACACATCGAATGAGAATGATTGAGATCGCAAATAGTTGAAGGAGTCTGAATAGAGAATATACGTAGGCTGCTGTTTTGATCTCTCTTTCTCGCTCTATTTGAATCGCCCTCGTAGTTTGTCAATAGCTCTGCCGGTCTTGATGTTTGCACTTTACCTTGTTACCCTGGGTCTTCCCTCTCCAAAGCCAGGAGCACAGGGAGAAGTAACACTGCAGGAGGCAAGCCATCTGTTAGTTTCCATTCCTCTGGAAAGAGGCTCGCCTGGTCGGTGGAGTTGAACGATTAGAGTCTTCTGGATCTCTGTTTGTCTGCAGACCTTTCTTTTTACAGCCTGCATGCTCATGCTCTGAAGATGCGGCAACAGTATGTCATCTTTTCCTTTTGGTAAACCAGTAGGCATGCACTAAAAATCCCTTAAATCAGAGGACAAATACGAGATTATAGCAGGCAGCGCAAGTAAATGACACTGCCGCGCAGGAATTTTAGCAGGACGTGCAGGGCCCTCCAAGGAGCTTGGACAAGAGTCTGTCCGCTTCCTACCTGACCCTGTCTCGGACAGACCTGCCATGCCCCCAACAGAAAAAAAAGCAAGACCGTCGCTCGCTCTGGCTGGCCACCGGAAAGCAACTTACCTGGCAGACCGGGTTGGTGGTTAGTCATTTGGACGGCATTTCGACTTGGTACGAACGGCTCACAGCTTCGATGTGTTTTTGTTACCGAGCTCCTTGTAAGGATGATTTATAGCAAAGATTTCTGACTGCGCTATTCCAATTCGCGCACGCGCCGAATTCTTCGCACTCTCAAGCAAAGCCGTTGAGAGTTCTTTTTCTTTGCGCTCACTTTCTTTAGTCTGTGAAGATGTCAAATGCCCGGAAGGATCGTAGTAGACTGCTCGGCTCGACTAAGGAATGAGGAATAAACTTCAGCTTGGGAAATTCGTGCTGCTCCTGCCTGTCCTGTTCTGCTCCTGCTCTCTTCCTGCGGCTGAGGTTGAAGAGGATGGTTGAGTAGCTCAGGCTGCTCATTTCACTATGCGCAGCATGGATGCGAAATCAACTATCCTTAAACGCATGCACGCATGGCCGCATGCATTCGCATTCGCATTCGCAATTACACTATTCGTTACTGTCTAGCATGATTTAGTCCACACCCAGCTCGTAAGCCGCCAAAAGCAGCTAGCAGACAGCTGAATCAAAGGAAGTAGGAATGTAATGCATCTAGCGTTAAGTTCACAGCGTTGGTGGTGCCCGGCAGATCAAGAATTCAGAAAAACCGAAAACTGAACTATAACACTGGAAATGGCTGGGGCGCTCCTACACCCCAGATGGGCGATGGTTGAAGCGCTCGAGAGTGGAGGGCCTTGTATTATTCGGGAGACTAGTGTACGCCGTTCATAGCGTATTCTGGATCAAGAGCGTAGATAGATCAGGGTCCTTCATTCTCGACTGGAAAAGGACACGGAAGAAGAGATCACGACCAGACACGCGGTACAGCGATCAAACTGTCAAATCATTCCCAGATCAACAGCTGCAATCGGACAAGAACTAACTGCTCTATCTTTAGCATCCGCAGCAGAAAGCA